GGGAGGCTGATCTAGCGAGAAACCCAATGCCGGTTCCGTGTTGTGGCGCTCGGCGTCGGGGGGCGCGCCTGGGGGGCGTTGGGTATGCCGGCGCTACACGTACGACGCCCGTGACCGTACTTGCCCTCGTAACTACTTCGTACCGTCTCGGCCCAGACAGCATCTATTAGCTTGCTTGGTACAGCAACGGCCTCACCGCGCACCCATTAGGGCCGGCCGGTCGCTTCACTAGTTGTGCTCCGGACACCTACATCCTCACCTGCTCGTGGATCTGTCGTGTCAGGTTACGCGACGGGTAGTATCGTACATCGACTTGTTAAGAGCATACGTGCGGCCACTTGTTGCTGAAAGGGGGTGCGTGGGTTTGAAACGACTCTGAGTCACTTTGATGGGGTGTGTAAAACGCAGTTGGTCGAGTTTTGTTCATTGTCTGGTGGCGTTTGCTTCGTCTTGCCCTGTCAATCTGTTTTTCGAGTCCTTTAATACCATTTATTGGACCCCACGACGCGCAGGCGGTTAATCGGGCCAGCCGTATGGCTCAACAAGTACATACCAGCAGCCCTGCCAGTTCCGCGGCGATCAAGGTCTGGTGCCTGCTGAAACCGTCTCCACGTTTTCGCCTCCTATCGAAAATATGTCCTTCTTTCCTCGTTTCCCTCCTAGGTAAGTTCCCCGTTGCATTTGCCTGGCGCCACCTGCTTGTCAGCCAACGACGTAATAGGGCCACTTTGTTTGGCGCGCGCTCCCCCTTGGGCACTTCTCCCCCAATCGCTCATATAACCAACCTCCTGGTTTGGTGTAACCATGTATATATCCCAGGTTATAAGGGAGATATCCCACATCTGGGTGCCCACAAGGCTCATGGCAAGCATCTGATGCGGGACCATGCTTGAGCTGCGGCGCTACCAGAGACGCAACCACACGGCTTGCGGACTGCACTTGTCAGAAACTTGGACCGACACAAGAATTGTCTAGCCCGCTGACCACGCACCCATCGAGTGCCAATGACAGTTGCCGGGAACAGTTTGCCGCCGTAAAAGGGGTCTCCGAATGGGACGCTGGAAACGTCAGGTTTCCCTGACTAGTTACTCCATTTATTAGTCTTCACAAAAGGCCCCGGGGCCGCTCCACTGCCAGAGCAACCGCGCCGGATTGGCGATAGCTCCCAGGCGAGTGACCTATAGACTAATATTTGTTGCAGCCGACCAGGTTCTGTAACTACCCAATTACTCTCGAAAAGGTCCAAGTACGTTGTACAGTGCGTTGCAGAATCATGGAGGGCGGTCGACTATACGCAATTCATTGTTTCACATGAGTGACGAGGTGATTGAGGCGGCTAGAGCCATATTCAACGTCATAAGCTCTGTGCTGGAGTCAGAAGAACAAGTCGTCCCAGAATGGAACCTCTGAATTCGCAAGTATCACATGAACATGATTGCTTCTGCCAGTGGTTCAACGGCGAGCCAATATCACAGCTGGAATGCTTCCATTTAACTAGCGGCGATTCAAGTGCCAGTGGGACTCGGCATTATAGTACAAAGGTCTTAGCCCTTTCTGTCTGTCTATAGACGAAGTGTGACTTCTCACCTTATAGGCTTATGGGCCGGACCTGCCCGCGTCTGAACCATGTACCAACGGGCGAAGCTTCCGAATTGATCAAGCTAATGCCACATAACCGTACTAGGCTCCGGAGTACTAGCAACAGCAACGGTTATGACCTACCTTGGCAGCTCCCTCCCGGTGACAAGACTACTCTCAATCTACCACTCAGGAAATTTGTCCATGGCTGTTTGATCACGAATGCCTCGGCCCGTCCCACCGCTTTCCACTATTTCGCATGACTTGAAGACCTTGCCAACGTACAGCGACGTGGCGCGGCCACCATTTGTCATTCCCTATCAGAGCCCATCTCGCAGACCCGGAAGAGAACCTCGGAGAAGCCGCCCCCGCCGCCACCTCTATAAACGGCCGTAAAAAGACGCAAGTATCCGAAAAAGAAAGAAAAAAATTTGCCCGCATACAGAGGTTGCATCAGAGGCGGGTTGGACTGTTCTGCAGCCCAGCAAGCCCCCCGCCTCCTCAGACGTATGCGGCAGTCACCGGGAAGAGGTCCGGTTCCCATGGCCGACGTGGATAGTGACTGTCTCGGCTGCAAGTCGTTGCGCCGGTGACGCCTTGCTGGCTTTGTGCCAAGCGCCATGCATGACAACAGGCAAGACATCCCGCAGGCACACACGCAAAAGACGCGGGGAGGCGGTGAAGGAAGGGATATCATGCCCTGCCAGCCTGATCTACTCCATGTCACGTTTCTATTCGAATATCCGTTTTCTCCCTCTCTGGGCTAGTACATGAAGAGGCGAGTTCATGTTGCAAATCCACAGTTTTTTAGGTACGGGGACATCTCCGCGACTGGCCTGCTGAAGACGTGAGAGTCTACATTTGCTAATATAAGCAAAGCAGCGCTGGCCCAGGAACCGTCGTCCCAGTTCATTGGGGCAGTGTATCTTTATTGCAGATCTCATGACTGTCTTGCTGTCGTTCCTCGTCGAGACATGGTAAAACTACGAAGAGAGAGCAAAGGCCGAGCGACATGGCAGTGTAGCGTCACCATCACATCACGTACAGCTATTCGCCGTTCTCCTGCCGCATAGGATCTCCCGTGTTGCCTGCAAGCCTTGCTCAAACTCTTCCAAAGCTCAGCCAAATCATGCAGTCATGCTCTGCCCAATGCCTTCAGAAAACACGACATCCCTGGTCATAACGCAGCCCATGGTATCGCAGCCTAGCCTGAAGGGATGTCATTGCTGCGCTGTTCAACAGCACAACCCAGTAGCCTGACGCGAGCATTAGCCGGGGGCACAGAAGCAGTTCCATTGCATGATATTCACACTAGGGATGGGGTATCCCTGTCTGCCAGCCTCGTCTATCCAGCTGAGCGGGCCAAGACAGAGCGGCGGAAGCGCGCCCGAGCCCTGTTTTCTGACCGCACTCAGCGACGACGAGGGCTTCGCGCTAGTTTGAGATTCCGCGGAAAGGAGCAGCGAAGAGAAAGAACATCACGGATGACGCCGGTCCTCCATTTCGGCTGTATCTAGAGCTCCGCCCCACCGTCTTGGAAGTATAGGAACGCCGAACCAGACTGTCGGTACCGACAAGTAGTCAGCTGGCCCCCCTCTCCGAGCCTGCTCTCTTGTTTTTTCCTTGGCTTCTCGGAGCAAAGTGCGCCCCGGTGGCGGTGGCGGTCAGTGGTTGAGTTGAGTCAACATCGCAGATGCATTGCAACGTGGACGAACAGTAATCACAAATGATAGAATCCCCAGCGTGGACTTGCCACCCCACCCCCCCGAGCAAAGCATGTGATCTTGGCTTCTCCAAGGGATGCCGCGGTTGGAGCAGAATTCGAGCGGCGGGCAGAGGCCACATCACATTCGGACACACTGAACGCCTGGCTTGATCCGTAAAGGGAATTGCCGGCGCGCCTGTGGCGGCCTGGCGGTGACGGACCAGGCTGCGGAGGCGGAGAATGGAGAAATGAAGGGCCTTGGCGATGTTCTCTGACTGTACGATGATTCTGTACTTGCAGTGGGAGCGGATTCGCAGTACATTCTCTCACCAAGCGTCGTCTGTCTTGGCATACCTCAACTGAAGCACTTGGGGTGGGGAATACGAGCCATGTGCTTCACCCGAAAGCCTTGCAGTTGCGAAGAGTAGATCAGGCTCGGGGTCTCGTCTCGTCTAGCCTCTGATGAAAGGGGTGAGGCCTCTCACGACGAGGCTTGGGGGGGACCGCGCGGCAAGGTCGGCAAAAGAAAAATACAGGCGCGTATTCCAGAACAACTACCATGCAAGCACGCAGAGGGGGGGAGGGACAAAGGTCTGGTCGTTGTATTTGCTCGCCTGCATTGTGCTAGACCCCCCCCCCCCCCCTCCTTCTGGGCCTTGGGTTCGTCTCGTCACCCCATATCTGCAGGCCACCTCCAAGTCAGCTTTCGTCTGACAAAGGGGCGCTTGCAGGAAGCCTGAGGGTGGGGGAGTGCGCATACCAAAAGAGAAGGGAGCGCGCAGGGAATAAACGAAGAGTGTAATGCGCCGCGATGGAGTCCGCGCTTCTTCTTGCCCGGGATGGTTCCTTTCTCAGCTGGGTTCGTCAGCCCTGAAAAGGTATAATGCGGCTTAACTATAGTAAGCTTCTTATGGCCTGCAGCCTGATGAACGAACGAACCTGTCGCCATGAACCGTTTGGTTATTCGTACCCTACAGCTGGTTGTTGGAGCTATTTTCCCTAGCGGTCTACCCTTTGTGACAAGGTCTTATACTAGCTTGCGGCTTGGCTGTTTGCTGATCGAGAATATCCTAGATTCGGGCTCATTGGCTTATCCCGCCTAGGTACGGCTCGTGTTCGTTCCTTTTAACGACCTCGAAGGGCCTTCGGCCATCAAATCTGCGCTGCGTACCGCAAAACCTGGACGGAAAAGAGCCACATTCTGTATGGATGTTCATAAGAGTTACACGGAATTACAACAGGGAGGAAGAGGTCTTTTGTCAAGTTTCTTGTATTGGTAGCCGTTTCCCATGGCAGCTTCTATTACTCGGTCGTTGCCTGTGCAGGTGCTACAGCTATACCATCTGATGTACAATGATTCTTTTGTGATACAAAGGGAAAGGGTAAATGGCCAAAAAAAAAAGAGTCCCGGAGCGACAGCCAAGTATTTCTTGCATCGCAGCTCCTCCATCCGGGTGCCCACAAATAATCGTCTATCATCCTCCCGTATTTTGTTCTATCCTTGGTGTTTCCTGCGCTCTCTAAAAGAGCAGATAACAGCATCCAACAGTCGAGGGCGCAGAAAAGAAGCGGATTACCGGCAGCACGGACACGTAGCAGGTCCTAACTTCCTTCGCCGCCTAGGTTGCTGCTACGCGCCCATTGGCGTCATCTTGATTCCTTGCCCTCACCTTTTCTGCCATTGGGGCGTCTCCCATGCAGCCTTGGCGTTTGTTCTTTAGTGGTGAGCGACCTCGCCGTGGTAGCCGACAAGCTTGAAGCGGCCGATGATCTCGCCGACGGTGAAGAAGCCGAGGCACTCGGCGAGGATGACGCTGCCAGCGACGAGCTGGGGGGTTCCGAGGCCGCGGACCTGCTGGATGATGTTCTGGGGCGAGATGGAGCGGCTCTGGATTCTCGACCAGAGGTTTTGGTAGGTGGTCTGGAAGGTGGTCAAGGAGCTGCGAGTGCGTGTCAGAACCGGCTATGCCAATATCGGTCGGGCGTCGCCCAATGTCGTCTTGCGTGGTGATTGTGCGCGAAAGCGCCGACGAAAAGAACTTACGGAGGAGCCATCTTCTGGCCGTGGAAAACGAGCTTAGAGAGCTCTAGGCCGACTTTGCCGTAGTAGGTGACGAAGGGAGTCTGGGCTGCATTTCGCGAGTTAGCCATCATCTATCTATCTTATGGCCGAACAGCAATGCAAGGGGCCGCGAGTGCCGCCCGCTGTAGGCAATTGGCTCGTGGCAACCGAAAGACGAGACGCACCCTGGACGAAGTTGATCAGACGGCCGGTGCGGCCACCAATCTTGCTGAGGGCATTGCCGACACCACGAGCGGCGCCGGCAATGGCAGGGCCGGCGGCGCTGGTGACCTTGGACAGACCCTGCTGGGCCTTGGAGGCGGCGGTGGCGGTGGTACTGCTGCTGCTGCTGCTGCTGCTCTCGAAGCGGCGGCCGGCGATGCGCATGGGAGCGCGGAGCATGGGGCGAGCGAGCGAGGAAGACATTTTGGCTCGGTGTTGTTCTGTCGGACAAGGGGACGGACGGGCGGTCGGTTGGATCGGGAACGGACAGTCAAGTCGTTGAAAGGGAAGAGGTGATCCGGGAGGTGTATCGAGAGGCCGGACGAGGAAAGCCAATTGATGCCGACGGATGCGCTCGGAGGGGGTGAGAGATGGCGTGAGATGGCGAGATGGGTTGGATGATTGCTGGCTGGTGAGGGAGAAAAAAAGAGCTCGGGAAGAATCGTTGCGGCTCCCCGGCGGTTCCTGGATTGGAGGCTTCTGATTGGTCGGCAGGGCTTATCAGGCTAAGCTGGTTTAGGTGGGAGGTGGTAGTCTGTACACAACGCAGACGACTGTCAATTGGGTTCATGTCAATGCTAATTACTTCCGAATAATGTTGAAAACAATACCAATTATAGATATGTACCTTGTGTGATGGTAATTAATTCTGTGTATATTCGGTGGAAAATGCTGCGGCATTCTGCAGTAAGCGGTAAAGTACTGGTTGGCCGAGAACGAGTGTACTTGATGGGCCTCAGCTACGTGTACTTGAGCTTTAGGATCTCAAAATGATGACTTTTGCAATAAAAATAAAATAAAAAATCTCATTGTATACTAGTGGGACGATGCATTCTTTTCTAAGACTAGTTAAGATTATGATGTGCTTTGCACGTCCAAGTCTATCAATTGAATATTAGTGAACGTGCATAATTGTGGTGTTTGCTACCTAGGTAGTATTTATGTACAACCAGTATCAGGTCCGCGCACGGACAAACAAATCTTTCATTATTTCTTGCCACTTGCAACTCTCCCCAAACTCCTTTGGCAGCCCAACTCGGCCATGCACGTTTAATCGAGGCTCTGGATCAGGACCTTGATGGCGCCGCTCTCAGGGTCCGCCGACGTCTCAAATGCCTTGACGGCCTCCTCGAGCGGGAAGCGGTGCGTGACGAGCTTGGACAGGTCAACGACGCCGCTCCGCAGCAGGCGGATGGCGCGTGGCCAGGTGTTGCTGTAGCGGTACTGCAGCTGGACGTCGACCTCGCGGACCGAGGCGCGCATAAACGGAATGGAGATGTCGTTCTTGCCGACGCCGATGATGAAGACCTTGCCGCCAAACTTGGTCGCCCAGATGGCCGCCGCGATGCTGCTCTCGACGCCCGTGCACTCCATGGTCAGCGCGGGCTCGACGCCGCCCATGGCCTCGACAATCTGCCGACCCGCCGCCTCCGCCCCGACCCCCGGCGCCACGTGATGCGTGATGACGCGCGGGCACACCTCCCTCGCAAACGCCAGCCGGCGCGCGGAAATGTCCGTGATGACGAGCGGGCACGCGCCGGCGGCGGCGCAGCACAGCAGCGTGACGAGGCCGATGGGCCCCGCGCCGCAGACGAGCACGGGGTCGCCGAGGCGCGGCGCGGCGCGCTCAATGGCCGCGAGGGACACGCTGAGCGGCTCCAGCAGCGCGCCCTCGTCGTACGACAGGCCGTCGAGCTTGTGGCACCACATGGCCGGGTGGTGGACGTAGCGCCGCAGCAGGCCGTCGACGGGCGGCGTCGACAGGAAGGCGACGCGCGCGCAGCCGTTGTACCGCCCCGTCAGGCACGGCTCGCAGGCGTGGCACACGACATTGGGCTCGATGGCGACGCGGTCCCCGACGGCGAGCGACGTCACTGACGGGTGCGCGGCAATCACCTCCCCGGCCGACTCGTGGCCGAGGATGTGGTCGCCGGTGACGACCATGGGACCGATGCAGCCGGCGTGCCAAAAATGCACGTCAGATCTGTCTTACTGTGAGTGGTTGGAGAACGACGATGGGCGAGGGGGCTTCGTTCAGACGACGTACCCGCAAATGCCGGTGCTACGAATGGCAATGGTGACTTGGCCCTCCTGGAGGCCAGCGCCGGACTGGACGCTCTCGGCGCTGGGACCCGTCTCGGCCAGCCAGAGCTCGTGCTTGGGGTTGGTGTAGACGCCAATGTTGGGCTTGAGGCCGGCGGTGCCATTCGCCGAGGGACTCATTTTGTAGCTGGACGGGTTATCGTGGGACGAGGAGTGCTGGTATAATAGGAAGACCAAAGGGAATGCGTATTCAGACTACAAAGTGGACGGGACCGGTGGTTTTATACATAGCTTGTCGTTTGCGAACAGAGAGGTTCCAATTACGGCCGCCTATCCGCACGAATAGGAACGAAAAGAAGGGCGGGGGAAACGCAACCACGTATATGAACAAGCTTTCAAACGTTAGTTGTTCCCATTTTGTATGAATCCCCCGCTTTATGTACAGCCGGCTCCCCCACCATCACTCGTTGCTTTTCGGGGAAGTCGGCGCCAGTTGTCCGTCGTTGGAGAGTTGTGGGGGCGACCAGACTGCCGCGCCAATTACAGGCCGACGGCTCGAGTAAGAGGTGTGGGCGAGATCGGCCGGTCTGGTCGGTCAAGGGATGTGGGCATTTTGCAGAAAAAAGGATGAGAGCCGCCTGAAGCAGGATACGCATGATTGGGGGTTCCCATGGTTGTGATACGGTTGCGCCTGGTCTGGCAAGTCCTCGGGCCGGGCATACGGGTGATAAAAAGAAGATGCAGCTTTCTCGCCTGATGATGCTTGGTATTTACGGGTGTATTTTTGCTATGGTCTTTATTCCCGTTATTTCCCGTCATGTTCGCCAGTCTGCTTAGTAGATTACTGATGACTCTAGAAAAGAGTATCGTCAAAATAGAAGCCCAAACGCCAGTCGCCCAACCCAGATATGTCGTCTTTCTTTTGTAAACCAGAAAAAAATACAGCGCGTTATTATGCGAGACCGAAAGCTATCCAAAGTTTCACCTCATCTTCCTAAGCGCAATGAAGCCCTTAGGAGTAAAAGTGCCCCCTTTGCATGCCGCCGGCAGTGACATAGTCCTTCTTGCCCTCTTCCGAGGCGCTGGTCAGGGAATTTGTGCGGGTGCTGTCGACGACGGCCTTGATTTGTTTAACGTCCTGGCCGGGGCGTTTGAGGACTTCGAGGTAGGTGGACGGGAGGTAACCCTGGCGGCCGTCGCGGGCGCGGCACTGCCACCACTCGCTAGGCTGGCCGGCTGGGTCGCTCTTGGTGAGGACAGCCACGAGGTCGCCTTTTTTTGCGTCGAGCTCCATGCCGTTGTTGGTCTGGGGTGCAAAGTCAAAGAGCAAGCGGCAAAACTCGAGCTTGGAGGGGTCGATGGGTTGCTGGGCGGCGAGGGCCTGCTCTTGCATGCGGCGCTCCTCCTCCTCGGCGTTGGCGGCGACGGAGCGGATCACCTTGGACATGAGGTAGGGCAGGCCAAAGGCGGCGAGGAGGAAGAAGAGCAGGGGTTTCTTGCTGGCGCGGGGGGCGCTGCCAGGCGCGCCGTCAGGGCCGGGCCGGCCTTCGAATCGGGCAAAGGCGGCGGGTGTCAGAGCGGTGGCGTCTGCGGGCGGGGGCCGGCCGGTAATTTTGGCGAGGAGGGTACGTATCCAACGCATGAGGGTGAAGATGCCGAGGATGGAGCCGAGTGTGTCGCGGAGGTTGCCAAATTGTTCGGCGACGGAAACCATAGCTGGGTCAGGGGTGTTAGCAAGTAGAAGCAAGGAGTGATCAAGAAGAGATGTTTACCAAAGAAACTAGAATGTGTAGCCATGTAGGTGCTTTCAAGCATCTGTGCGAAACCGCCAAAGGCCCCAACAATACCCTCGAGCATCTGGAAGGTGGCGGCGGTACCATTGTTGAAGCGGTTGGTCAAGCTGTTGGGATCGTTCATGCCCATGCCGCCGCCCATGCCGCCGCCCATACCGCCGTACATGCCGCCGCCGTACATGCCTCCGCCATAACCGCCCATGCCGCCCATGCCACCCATGCCACCCATGCCACCGTACATTCCGCCTCCGTAGCTGCCCATGCCTCCATAACGAGAGTAGGGTGACGAATATGCACTTCCGTAGCCGCCTCCATATCCGCCTCCGTAGGGCGAGGCGCCGATGCCGCCCATGGTACCCATTGGACGGCTGTATGCCGAGGCGTTTTGGTTGACTGTTGAGGCGAGAGAGGAAGGGAGGGCGGGTACGGGTGGTGGCGCTGTGGAAGTGCCGATGGTGGATGTCGAGGTCGGTGTCATTGTAGGGGCTGATGGTACGGGTAGCGAGGCTGTCCAAGGAGGAGCGAAGCCATTAGCATGTGATGATGACGGCCAAGACGAAATGCGAGTGTTACATACCTGCAGCGCCAGCACCGGCTCCAGCGCGCTCCCAGGGCTTGGGCGGAGAGGCCATAGCTCAAGGGGAAAGAATGACGGAATTATATTTCACGGATGAAATGACGGGTCGCCGCGGAAGCCAGCAAGAGGTCGGCGGAAATAGAGAGCGGGCGAGTCGCGTTGAGGTGCGCGGACTGCACAGTCTGGCTGGGGTGGAAAAGGTAGGAAACTGGAGGGAGTTCGGTAGGCTGCGCCTGTGGAGGACGGCGGGGGCCGCAAGGACCGAGAAACCGAGGATGGAAGCCGAGAGCGCGCTCGCGGCTGGATGGGACCGCGACAAATGGTATTTGCCACAACAGTCGCGTCGATGAAGGGGTATCGTAGTTGGCGACGGAAAGGGGAAGAAAAGAGATGGCGGATGACGGGGTTATGAGATTGATGGGTTGCGGTTCTCTGGCAGTAGCAAACGATGGGTAGAAAAACCTGGGGGCGGACCGACTTGTGCTTGGTCTGGCAGCGCTGTTGCCCGCTGCCTATTTGCCTGCGACTCGCCCAGGTTGGTTAGCGGGAGTTGTGGTTGTGGTTAGCCTAATCACTGTGGCGGCTCCTGCACTTATCATACCGAGGTAAAAGGTAGAAACATGGAAAATGGCTCGGCTAGTGTTAACTACCTTAGGTACCTATGTAGTTAGCAACGGCTTGTGTTTGACTGCCGTAAACCAGAGTTTTTTCCTGTCTTGATTTGAATTGCTGCTGCCATGCGACTCTGTCCGTGGCCGTGACGTTATCAGGGGCTGTATACTTGTACTGAGCACCCTGACTGTTCTTGAGATCTATCTTCTCACGTGCCCTCATGTAGAGCAAGGCGTCGTGACGTGGCGTATTTCCTCTTTCATCCTTTATATCCATAGCTTCGCTTTGTTCAACAAGATACTCGATAAGATCATCCTCCTGACAATCAAGAGCGCGGTGAAGTTGAAGCGGCGTACAGCCACGCATATCCTCGGCGTCTACGTAAGCCAACCGGTCAATGAGCATCTTGGCCACTGCCCGTCTCTCTCCCGGGCACGTCGATTTGGTGTGCTTAGAACCAGCCACCAGAAGAAGCGGCGTGTTCCTTTCATGATCCCTCGCGTCAGGAAAAGCGCCTGCCCGAAGAAGGCAGTCCACCATTGACGGGAGCACCAAACTGGCGGCATAATGGAGTGGCGTGCGGCCTTCTCGGTCCTGCATGTCGAAACCTGCACCAGCATCCATGAGATACTCAGCTATCGCCGTGTGTCCCATCCTAGCTGCTATATGAAGTGGTGCTGTGCCGGGGGTTGAACAGTCGTCTCTGTTGACCGTCCTGTAAACGTATAAAGAGGTTTCTTCGGACGGCACATTGACATTAGCGCCGGCAGTAACGAGACAATCTACCATCGCCTTGTCCCCCTGCGCAGTGGCTATATGAAGCGGCGCGTTCCCGTCGCGATCAATCGCGTCCACTAAAGCGCCAGCCATAGTAAGACGCTTCGCAATCGCCGTGTTCCCGCACTCAGCAGCTAAATGAAGTGGCGTGTGGCCGCGATCTCCCTTCCTGTTGACCTCGGCGCCCGCGCTAATGAGCTTCTCTACAATTGCTTCGTTCCTGTTGCGAACGGCTATGTGAAGCGGCCCGTCTTCGCTAAAACAGCGTTGGACTTCGACTTTGGCGGACGCAGCAATGAGCTGCTGCACGATAGCCTCGTGCCCATTTTGAACGGCCACATAAAGTGGCGTGCCGTCACAATAAATCTCGGTATCAGCGCCTGCATCGATGCATTGCTTGGTATTATTAGCATTACCACTCTCCGCGCTATACCAAAGTGCCGTCCTATTGCGCTCGTCACTGGCATTCACGTTAGCTCCCAATTGTAGCATTGATCCCAGCACCTCGTCCCACCCATTTCGAGCAGCGAATGGCACTGCCCGCCGTGATAAGGATTCATGAGAGCAATTCTCGACCAAACACAAGCAATACAGAGCACGACCACGCGCGTTCTCATCATGCTGGTTATCAACCGCCTGCGCCAGCATACCGCACAATTCCAGAGGGGTCATCCTGGAATCCGTCTCCAATTTTTTCTGCACATATCTGTAGCAGCATAGGATTTGTGTCGTCTCGTCCGCTGGATCCGTACACGGGTATGTGCGGTGCATCCAATCGATGCCAGCTCTGCCAAACGCGCATGCCTCGTCGCAGCCAAAATTGCCTTTTCTAAGAGACCAGCGATACAGCTCTCCCGTCGCACGCAGAGCCCGTGCGAATTGGCTACGACCGCCGGTTGTTGACGCCGTAGCCTTCTGGCCGTTGGAGGAGGAACAAATGTGACATAACCATTGCAGTAGCCTTTCCGCCCATAGCCACTCGCCGCGCCGACGGTAGCTGTCCGCCATGGCAATGGTTGCCGACATCATTTCTTCATCGATCGGGATGGCAATTTGTTCTCCAAGCGCTGGAATGACGCTCAGAATCGCGTCGGCTCGTGACCCCAAGCCGTTCTCCATGACCGCCGTCGTGAGAATGGTGACTGTCTCACTTTGCAACAGCATGTAATCATCTTGCTGGTTAACGAAATTGGGCTTCACGACTTCGGCGATTCCGGTAAGCGACGCTGCCAGCGTGGCAAAGAGTTCCCGGGCGCAAATGTCCAACAGCGAGCCCGCGGTAGGGAACATACGGACTGTGCACTGTTGTGGCGCCGAGTCGCTCGTTTTCTCCAGCGCCAGTGCTTCGCATACGGCATTCCAGCCGCAGAGCCTGAATGGTACGTCATTTTGCTTCGAGATATTCACATCTACCTTTGTCAGGATATCAATCTGGCCCGGTTCGGAGGTGCTCTTATCGGCTTTATTCGAAATGCATTCGCTGCTTGACTTGTCGTGAATGCGCCACAAGTCAATAAGGCCATTTATATGAGTTTCTCCAATCTGGAGGGTGGCTTCCGTGACCTTGACGCCCTGGGAACCAAGCCAAAAGCTCAACTCTTGTTGTGTATTACGGCCAGCCGAAACAATGCTCCGGGTAGGAAGCTTTTCATTGCGGAAGCAGACTTGATCAACCTCGCGGCCGTTGGAGACCAACGACCACATCCAGAGTCCTAATATGGCCTCTACCCGTGCTGAGTCGATTTGCCAACCAGCCAACGTCGACTCTGATGGTGGTTTGAGGGTGATGCCGAGCGTCTGGCTATGATTGATGGTATTGCTTATCTTGTTGCCCGTGTTGGTTATTGTTGATGTGGACCCAATAATTTGAAGCACGATATCCGAGTTGCGGTCTTTCCAGGGAATCAGCTTAGCAGCTGTTTGACAAATAGCCGAAGAGATTTCGTTGGCTTTGGTGCGAACTTTGACCTGGTTATTCTTCCATTGTTGGCCCTCCTTGGTAGTCGCGCCAAATGGAATATGCCCTGTCAAATGCGCAAGGCGCGCTCGGGTCCGAAGCAAGTCTGTGCAGCTAGTTTGATCCGTGCCGTCTTTCTGAGGCGGATTGGACGTGGTATTGTCTTGCAGCATCCCAGTTGCACCCGTACTCGATGAATTTGGACGCACATTTTCCTTTTCCACAGATACTGTACTGGTAGAACCAAGTCGCGTCACATCATGGCTACCGGTGCTCCACAAGGCGTCCGCATCCGTGGACGACGAATGCTTGCTGGGTGAAGACAGCTTTGATGCAGAGGCGTCGTCCGTTGGTCCCAGAGCCTGCTTATACTGACCGGTAATATGCCACAGTATCTCTTTCTTAGAGGCTGGTCTTTCATTGGGAGCTGACTTTTCCCAGAATGCTAGCTTCTTCAGGAGTAGTAGCGTCTGCCAGCACCTCATACTCTTACCGATGGCCGCATTTTTCTTCTTGGGCGCCGGCCATTCTTCAGATGCAGTCTTGAGCAGCTCAAAAGCCATCCAATCAAGTTCATGACCGGTAACCGCATCGGGAACCTCGCGGTTTTCCGCCAAACGGTTGGCGCTCTGGCTGATCCGTTGTGCGCGAAGCCCACCACGGATCATACTCATCAAAACGGTGGCAGCCAGCTGCGCGAGAGAGACCCAGGCCTTCATTCCACGCAGACCGATGAACTGCATGATGTAACCGATCAAGGTAGCCCCAACGGCCAGAGTGGTACGAAACCTGAGTTTGGGGAGGGCATTTTTAGTTGACAGCGTCCAGTCTTTCATTGGCTCGTCCTCGGTAAACGCGAACGGATCGAAACACTGGTCGCCGATGAACTGAGGACCAGGCTGAAGCCAGAACAAGCGTGTCTGTGGTTTCTTGAGCTCGTCTGGTCGTCGCTTGTACTGTATCTCGTGTGTGGTCTGCCCAATGACGGCTGCGCAACCCCACATACCCAGAGACATGAGGGTGGTGCCTATGATATACATTATGGGTGCGTAGATTACCGACGACGAGGCTCCAGCCTTGTTCACGGCCCAACCAAGCTTCCATCCGCCAACAGCCGCCAGACCAACGAGGCCCGCTTGGAGAGTAAATCCGGTAATGGCCACCACTATAAACACCCATCTAGGGCGTTTTATAATGCCGACGTTGAGGGATATGTTGGGGGGGTGGGAAGCCAACAGATCATTACCCCAAAGCGATTCTTGATGCTTCTCTTTGCTCTCTTTAGTCATATGCCATCGCTCTCCGCCGTTGGATCCGACCCACTGTCTGAAGGAGTGTACGCCGGCCTTGTCTCCGTCATCGTCTTTGGTGCCGGGAACGTGGACGAGTTCGAGAATGCTTGGGCGGCCGAGGGCGCGCGTGATGCCGCCACGGGTGAAGAGCTCGCAAACATCACGACCGGTCGAGGTGCACAGCTCGGCCTCGACAGTGCCCTGGCCCTCCTGCGAGCGACCGATGAAGGCGCGAAGCGTCGAGTACCCGCAGACGCGGATGGCAGCGGCCATGGCAGTGAGCACACCGATGGGGGCCATGGCGAAGATGAAGTAATCCAAAAAGGACGTGGACTCGCTGAGATATTGCTTGGTCATGGCCTCGCCGAAAAGGACAAGAAGAGGGCCCAGGTCCGTGGCTAGATTGTTGGAGAAATCATCCAGCTCGTCAGCGGCAACGACGACGGGGCCAACGACGGCCAATGCGAGGATCCATTGTTTAGCCATGACTGCAGAGATGTATATCAGATCTAGCGGTCTGTCTTTTGTGCCGTGTGAGCACAGATCTGGCTGGAGTGAAGAGGAAAATAGCGTATCAAGGATGCAACCCGTCCTGTACCGTCTTCGATTGCGTTACATTCAAGCTTGGTTCAAGCCTTCTCGAGAGGCTTGCATTTAGGAAAGCAAGTGTTAGGCCTCTTTTATCCGGATATTTTAGTATAATAGAGCGGGGGACTCAAGCAATCCGGAGGAGGGGCAATCATGGATCATGATCTTGGTCCATGATCCCGCTCACTTAGCAGCCAACATTGAGGAGTAAATGGAGTCTCCAATAACCTGAAGAGGAGTAAAAAAGTCCAAAGGCGGTGAGTATGCATTACAGGTGTTCTGCATATGCAAAAAAGCCCGTTGAAGGCTGGCTTCCGAAGAACATACGACAGGGGTCTTGTTAGTTGCTCAGCACTAACTGCTGTTGCGATAGTTCCAGGTCGTGTGAGTTCCACGGCCCGAGCCGTCTGTCATCAAGGCTGGGGCGAAGGTACAGCGCTAGTTATTAATAATATTCATAGCATCCGTGACTGTGTCTTGTAGGAGGAAACAATAGCTCAACAGTATTATCTCGGAGCGTTGGTGATGCTGCTGCCCCAATACCAAGTTGTGCTGGGCCACTCCTACTCTTGTCACCAGGTTCCATTCGCTTCGAAAAGTTGGTGTGTGGCTTGCAGGTTGATGCAGCGACAAAGAATCACCTCAGCTAATAGACCTGTCTTTCCTGTGCCATGGTTGCGTCGAACTGTTGGCCTATCAATCTCGCTTGCCAACAGTTTTATCTTAGCTACATCTATGTTAGTAGGACTCGAGTTGATACGGGTATCGGTGGCTAAGTCCCTTCAGCCGCATTTTTCTCAAGCATCGTACGGAGTAGACCTTTCCAGTTGCTAGTCAGTTTAACCCCAGAGCCTTGTCGGCGGGGGGGGTGGCACCAACGGCTTCTCGATATGACATGTCGTAATCGGTTGGCTTTGTCGTAATAAATTATGAAGGAGTAGGCAGGTCTCGTTGAGGCTAATCAATGGGCAACGACCAGAGGTAATCCCTCGTATTTGCCTGCTGTAATTAATTCATCAATAGTAAGGTAGTGAGGTTTATTTTTCAACCCCCTCACCCCCCGTTTCGATTATGTAACCGACTTGTCTTCGAACCACCAGTCTTCATCTTTTTCCATCCACCAGGCTCGTCCAACAGTTTCACAGGTCTCTTATTCATAATTTCTCTGCCATCTTAATGCTGTATTAAATTTCGCAATCATGTCTCGTTCGCCACGATAGCCAGCTCCATGGATACCACACCCTCTCACAAACGGCCCCCCAGCCCGCATCTCATATCTAACCCCTTCATCAAGAAGAAAAATCTACAATGGACTTTGAACGCACCAGGTCCCATCCCCCGAAGCTCCCCGCCATTGGATAGAGAATCCTATCCAGGCCTCCGGACAGACTACACCGCCGGCCCTGGCTCCTCTGCCCCCGAGCCGAGGCCCACTGCTCCCGCTGTGGAATCCGGGGCTGCCATCATCGATGATCATTTACAACACTTTTCGGAGCATCTAGCTCAATTCGTCAGGCAACGGACAGGAGAAGATAGTATACTGTGCAAGCTCTCGATTGATGAATATGCCGCTATCTATACCGCCAATGCCGGCTCTGAGCAAGGTGCACACTTTGTCATTCATCAGCATGATCATCCTATCGCCGGAACCCACTATGATCTTCGGTTACAGATTAACGAGACGAGCAGTGTCAGCTGGGCCATCATGTATGGCTTACCTGGCGATCCAAACAGCATGAGACTAAACCGTAATGCGACTGAAACTCGCATCCACTCGATATGGGTGAGTCGGCTATGCACCATGGACAAGGCTACAATACTGACTCAACCAAGAACCATTTGATCGAAACCGCCTCTCCAGAAACAGGATCTCTCATGATATGGGATACAGGCACGTACTCAATCTTGCCTCGTCGCAGCAAATATGCTCCTGCGCTTGATCCGGATTCCGGCGCGTCGGACGGTGAAACAGCTTCGCCCTCACCACCCACCACGCAGCAGTCTCTCCTACACGCAGCCTTTCAGGCTCGAAAGATTAAAATTCGCCTCCACGGTACCAAGCTTCCAGACCCATATGTCATATATATGCGTCTCACCAAGACAGAGGATGCTGCCGGACGTGCCAAAGCCACTCCAACCAAGAGCCCAAGACGTCGGCGTCGGCGGGCAGCCAAGTCTGCACCAACACAAGATCCAGAAACCAGTAATAGTGAGACAAACGGGTATGGGGACTCTGACGCGGACCTAGTCCCTGTGACCAGCTCACAGCTTCCGCAGAAGGATGCGGCGGCACTGTCGGCGCTGGAAAAGGAGCTGCGGGAGTTGGACGACGACGAAGTGCGACGCACAAACGCATACAAAGGCGCAACCAATTCAATTGGCAGCATTCACCAGCGTAAATGGTATTTGTCTTTGGAAAGGGACCTATCTGGCTTCGCACCCACAAAGTCGAAGAGCGATCGTATGACATGGGAGCCAAAGCGCTCCAGCGCCGCCGAAACGCTTGATCCTGGCACATCCGACTCTTCATCCCGCTTGACGTATCCCTTCTATGTTCGCGGTACGGAATTTGAGCGCAGTGTTGTCACTGGCCGTCTCGGCGCTGATATCCTTTGTGACGAAGGTGTCCGTGGGTTTGTACCCAGGATGGGCTGGAAGCCTGTGGTCAATTGATCGCATCACGTTATTATCTCGATTTACAGGACACCACTTATGGTAGTTGAAATCCCGCTCAAACATAATCTCTCATGTATCAGTTTTGGTGCAGAGAGCGACTCTGCGCCGTACTGGGAAGCGTGGCACGCGACCCAACGCAAGACCGGTTCAGCCCGAGAGTCTAATGGCCAAAATAGAAGAGAACAAAAAACCCTTGTAACAACGAACGGATTAAATCCCTAATACTAAATCTTTGGGAGGTCTTACGTCTCATGCTTTTACCGTCAGTCTCAAGCTCCCTTGACTTGACTTAGACGAGGCACACAAGCTGGTGGAACACCCAGGGGTGACAACCGCTGAATATAGGTCGGCTTTCCTATCTTGTATCTTGTTAGGAAAAGATCTCATAACTCTACATCTTTTACTTTTAAACAATTTTTTCTAACCTCAATCCCCTTAACACTTTTGCGAGAGTTCAGAGTTGTCACTCATGTAAACTTAACTCGTCTGGTCGCATGACTAAGCTACTTCGAGCCTCTGACGTGGTAGCGATCCACGGTTCAGGCCACCGAACCTCGACCTGTGCAAGCTTCGCCGTTTCAGCCCTGAACAGCCCTACAACACGGGTTCGGATTCGAAAACTATCACTTGCGTGCTGCATTCTACAAACAATGGAGGTTTTACTGGCGCCAACGGGCGACCGGACGGCCGAATTCAACGAGCTGCTGCGCAAGCGAAACGCAGCACCAGCAACTGCACGACCCGACCTTGAGAGGGCAGACGGCTTCCTAAAGGAGGCATACAGAATTGTGCGTCATGATTTAGACAATATCAAGTACACAGCTGCTGACAACGTCGGCTCTCCCGTAGAACTCACACGTTACCACATTACATAAGGAACTCCGCGATGTACGACAAGCCTACCTCTCGACAGCGCAGCCCCGACGAACACAATCGCGCACGGTGCAGGGTCAGCCGCGGGTGCTGACGGACCGCGAGCGGGAAGAGGTCGACGCCAACGCCAAGCAGATGATCCGGGAGCTCAACGCCAGCATCCGGGCGGTGGACGACGCTGAGCAGCTGCGACGGGAGACAGCGGCGGCGATTGTGCGCAAGACGTACGGCAGCGCGCTGGGGGCGCTGGGCTCGTGGGCGTCTGGCGGCAGCGCGCTGGGGGCGGGCCAGTCGGCGGAGCATGCGGCGGCCGAGGCGCGCGGGCGGCAGACGGAGATGCACCGCGACAGCGTCCTGTGGTTCCTGCGGCAGCGCCTGGAGCAGTGCTGCCGCACGCAGCAGGACATGATGGAGACGCGGCTGACGCGGGAGCTGGAGAAGTCGCGCGGGTTCCTGGCGGCGCCGGCGTCCGACTTTGCCGACTTTGCGCAGGCGACGGGGACGGCGGCACCGGCGACGTCGAGCGCCGACGCGGCGTACGGGGCCGGGAACGAGGGCCTGACCGAGGACCAGGTACAAATGTTTGAGGAGGGTAACCAGGACATGATGAAGCACTACGAGAGCACGCTCGCCAAAGTACAGTACGTGGCCGGGAGAGTGTGCGAGCAGACGGTGTTGGGGATCCGCGCTAACGATGCATGAAACAGGACGGCGGAGAAATCACTGGTGGAAATCTCGGAGCTGCAATCGATGCTGGTCAGCAACCTGGCGATCCAGTCGGCGCACATTGAGCAGCTGGTGACGGACTCGCTCTCAACGACGGAGAATGTCGGCGGCGGCAACAAGGAGCTTAAAAAGGCTTCGCAGCGACCGAGTGCGGCACGATACACATTTTTCGCGGCGAGCGGGCTATGCGCCTTCTTGGTGCTGTGGGATCTCATCATATAAGGCTCTTTGGAGTGAGGCTGACAAGGGCCAATGTAACAACAACGATCTGGCCAATTGGGAAAAGCCTGTTTAGACGATTCAATGCATACAAGCGATTTTTACTGTATTTAAAGTGGCAATTGACCTGAGGGTATCTGGGACTTTTCCTCGTTTTTTTGTCTTAGAAAAAGAAAATTGTACCAGAGTCGGAGCATGTGACGACGTGGCGCATGGGAAAATTCAGGTACAAGTGCTGCGCGAGCATGTGTGTGCTTCTGCGACCAGAGGGCAGTATGTCAAGTGCATAAAAAAGAGTTTCGAAAGAGACTAACGTTAGGTTCCGGAGCTGATAAGAGGAGCCGACTGTGATGGTCGGGCAGCTGTTACGCAATGCGCGGAGCTTCGGCGAATGTCCAGTTGGACAGTGGTGTATCTGAATAGGCTGCTGCCGAGTCCAATGTCTCTGAAAAAGAGTGTAAATGGACGAATTGGAGCATGAGCCGCCCGATTCGGGCATATTGGCCAGCGAGGTGGCGTGGGCAAGAAAAGCTCATGACGGCAGCGCGAGCCGAGTGCTTGTGAGAGGTGAGAGAGAGCCGAAGGGGCCTCGGTCAAATCAAGTGCGCTTCCCCACGGGCCCCCGGGTTGGCTTATAAGCGGTAGGTGGCCCGCCGCCCCCGGGAACGCGATTGCGATTTATTCTCGAATCGAAAGAAGCTTTTTTGTGTCAATTCTTCCCTCCTTCACCTGTATTCTGACTACATTGTACAATACCGGTCGCAAACTGTGTTGGTTGTACTTGCTGGTAAGTCGCGGGCGTTTAGGGGTTTTCTGTCGCCTTTTTTCCTCGGACTGGCGACTCTGGGTGCAAATCGCAGGCTCATTGAGCCGCCACGCACTTGCTAGCTGCAATGGTTGATGCGAGGCGTTGCGTTGGCTGTTGCACGAAGGCAGAGCGAGTATAGCCGCCTTGCGCCGCCACCCGGGAACGGGTGGAATCAACAATACGAGAAGAGACACGAGGATGAAGAAATGACATTACTAACAGCTTTGGAAAGTAGAAAAGCCACGATTACACCGAACGAGAAATAATCGACTCTGGGTCGCTATAGCCGCGTCGAACTGTTAGAGACACCCCTGCTTGCCGAACGACAATACTTTGGATCGCGTAAGTGTGATTTACATTTCTGTGTCTTGCCTATTTTTCTTCTTCTTTTTCACCTCTCTCCAATGGATGTCATCTTGCGCCGCAGTTCTGGCAATGATATTACTCTTCTCCCGTAAGCATATTATGCTTGGCACGACAAAGCTGTCAGTGTGCGGATGGGGCGCGCGAAATGGACGAGTAATGCAATCGATGCCATGATGACTGGACCAGTATTTGGCGCAGCACCGGAGCCAGGACGGCAGGCCTCCAACAACCGTGGGACCAGAAGAAGCAGCGACAAGAAAAGAGCAGGGCAGGGCGGAAGAGAGAAAGAATTGAAAACAGGCCATTTGCTTTTTTTTTTCTGGTCTTGTGCCTACGCCAGGTTCCGGTTACGGGGACCAGGGGCGGACGATTGGGGGCGCACGGAGGGCGGCCGCAATCAAAACGTGGACCGGACTGTGGCACTTGCCCGATTCTCAGTGGGCTACAGTGGCTTCGGGGCACCTTGCGCAATGGCTTGTGGACGGCGTTCGGGCCCCGTCTTGCCGTGTACCGAGCCGCAGGATGGGATGTTGGGTGTTTTTGGTTCTTGTTTGAAAGGGTGCACAGCGAGAGACCTCTCTACAAGTGGTGCTGAATTCTCCCGTCTGATGACATCGGTTCGTGATGGTCTGCTCTCGGCTCTTGCGCATCGAAGCCTGGTCTTTCTTTGCTGAGCAAAAGGGACAACCTGACTGGGCGGGCGGCTTAGCGGCCGCTGGAGTTTTTGATGGTCACAGGCCCTTGACAACGCTACAATGCTACCCCACCCCCCACTTCTATTATAGCAGCTTGCCCACTGCAGCGATTGGAGCAGCCCACCAGCCCACTGACAGAGCAGCTCATGACACCCCCAAAACCACCCATTTCGACTCATTCTCATTTCTTGACAGCTCCGCGCACCGGGAGCTACAGCGCATCGCCGTACATCTTTTAGACTCGGGCTGACTGACATTGTAGTAGAGAATCCGCAGGGGACAAGAAAATCAACCATCCATCAGGCTGAAAGAGCTCCATATTACCCATTTCCCGCCTGCTGCCTGCCGTCCGCCGGCATTCTTCCAGCACTTGCCTTGCCTTGCCCAAACTCGACTGCCCACTCCTCTCTTATCACCCTCTGGCCCGCCATGGCTCCATCTTCTACTTCTTCATCTTCCCTCGATCGCCTCAACAGCATCGCCCACCACATCTCCCCCGCCATGTCTACCATTTCGAGCTTCCCTGCCGACTCGGTGCCCCAGGCGCCCGAGGACGCTCTCTTTGGCCTGGCCCGCGCCTACAAGGCTGATAGCAGCTCGATCAAGGTCGATCTGGTGAGTCAAATACTGGCGCTGCTTCTTCGTTTGCGCCATCACATGCCCCTCCACAACTACCGGTGAACTAACAGCTTTATCCTCGCAGGGCATTGGTGCCTACCGTGATAACAACGCAAAGCCTTGGGTTCTTCCCGTTGTCAAAAAGGTACGTCCTTCTTTTCCTGTACTTTTGTACAACAGCCTCGCCCGTCTCGTTGCGCCCGCCTGGCCTTTGCGCTACCGCACTTGCACACCCCCGTCCGCCTTGAGCACAACTCCTTTTGTGCGACTGCAATCCGCCACCAGCCAAGCCTTTTGCCTCGCAAGATTCCCATCTCGCTACCTTGACCTGTCGTGTCACCCACCCTAACCCGTATACCCGGCGCCGACCTTTGCCTCCGTCCAAGCTAATCACGCCACACTCCGATCTAGGCCGACGAAATCCTCCGAAACAACCCCGAACTCAACCACGAGTATGCTCCGATCGCCGGTATCCCAGAGTTTACCTCCAAGGCCAGCGAGCTCATGCTCGGTGCCGACTCCCCTGCCATCAAAGAGGGCCGTGTCACCTCAATGCAGACCATCTCCGGCACCGGTGCTGTCCATGTCGGCGCCCTCTTCCTTGCCCGCTTCTACAAGGGCTCCCGCCAGGTCTACGTCTCCAACCCGACCTGGGCCAACCACCACCAAATCTTGCGCAATGTCGGCCTCGAGACTGTCGATTACCCATACTTTGATAAAAAGACTCGTGGCCTCGACTTCGAGGGCATGAGGTCCACCATTCAGTCCGCCCCCGAAGGCTCCATCATCCTTCTGCACCCTTGCGCTCACAACCCTACCGGCGTCGACCCTACACTGGATCAGTGGAAGGAGCTTGCAGCCATCATTCGCAGCAAGAAGCACTTCCCCTTTTTCGATTGCGCCTACCAGGGATTTGCCTCTGGCAACTTGGCCCGCGATGCCGCTGCTGTCCGCTACTTTATCGAGCAGGGTTTCGAACTCATTATTGCCCAGAGCTTCGCCAAGAACTTTGGTCTCTACGGTGAGCGTGCCGGCTGCTTCCACGTCGTCACCGGCCCCAGCCCTGACGCCAAGTCCACCATTGGCCGCATCGCTTCCCAGCTTGCCATTCTCCAGCGTTCAGAAATCTCCAACCCCCCTCTCTACGGTGCTCGCATTGCTGCCACCGTCCTCAACGATGAGGCTCTCTTCAAGGAGTGGGAGGGCAACCTCGAAACCATGTCGGGTCGTATCATCGACATGCGCAAGGCACTGCGATCAAAACTCGAGTCTCTCAGCACCCCCGGCACCTGGAATCACATCACCGACCAGATTGGCATGTTTAGCTTCACTGGTCTGACTGAGCCTCAAGTCCAGAAGCTCCGTGAAGAGTACCACATCTATATGACTAAAAATGGCCGTATTAGCATGGCTGGTCTCAACACAAACAACATTGACCACGTTGCCACGTCAATCAACAAGGTTGTTGTCGGCTCTCAGTGATTTTCGCAGCTGCTTTGGTGTGCATTTCTTTTGTTCAGGGCGGCCGCGAGCTACCAGTGTAAGAAAACGGAACAGCAGGGTTAACGACACATTTTGGCCCGACACAGGTCAGGCGTATATACATCACAGCAATAGATGCTAGCGACATGATGCTCTACTGCCATTGAATTTAAACTCACGTTGATTGAATCGTACTATTCGAGGCATGTACTTGTACAATCGTGTCTTTGAAAGTCTCTACAGGTACAAGGTTACATACATGTACACTCTTCATCATCTCATCTCACCAGCATTACCAGCTGCCGTGGTGACATGTAGAGCGACGCAAGGTACCAAGTATGTCACGAACAATGAAACGGGGTGCATGACTCCAGCGCAGGAATACAGATTTGAATTCTTCGGTCGCTAAATATGTATACGAGTTTACATGCAGCACGGCGCAGTTCTGTCATGGCCTAGTACTTGGATGAACCTTATGCCGCCACGCTTCGTCTCTTTCTGCGCAACCGAAGCAGCTGCTCAGCCCAGCGAGCAGTGGCCAACACGAAGCCAAAAGACAAGATGGCGATGGCGACGCTAAATCCTCTTCTGTAGAGCGGCTTATCGTCGCTGCGGAATATTTGGGCGCCGTAGATGCCCGCAATATTCGCATTCATAATGACACTGGATACCAAGTTAGCCACCCCGCTGTAGAGTAGGGAGGACGGGGACAATCTTACCCAGCCATGGCAAGAGCACGCTGCTCCGAGTCGTGGCAGGTCAACGAGAGCCACGCAATGTTGAGCGGGTGCGAAAAGGTGCCAAATATTTGCGTCCAGATGACGCCAAAGTAGCGCACGCCGCGCGAGTTGACCTGGGTAAAGGCGCGGTTCAGGATGTAGCCTAGCAAGTGGCCAAACAGGCCGAGCATGACCGTCTCGCCGCGACGATTGCTTGGAGCTTTTGTTAGTATCCATGAGGGATGATGGTAAAGACGACGGCAAACTCACAACTTGTCGGAGAACCAACTAAAGGCAAAGGACACGGGAACCTGCAGGAAAAGACCGACGGCGGCCAGCGCGTTGCTGCTCAGACCCTTGTAGCCGAAACTCGTCACGATGGAGGGCGCGTAGGTGTCGAATGCTCGCTGGGGACCGTTGTTGCAGAGGGTAATAAAAAAGTGAAGCCAGATACGCCAATCGAGAAACTGCACAAAACGGTTAGCCTCTTGGTTTCACAGCTGCCGGGGGAGGGCCAACGGCCAACTTGCCGCTCGCTTGAAGGCGCCCAGCGGGATCCTCTTCTTCTTGTGTGCCTTCATAGGATCGTCAATCAGGACACGCGTCTGCAGGATGTGAATCTCGCGCGGCGTGAACCACGAGTGTTTCGGCAGGAACGTGCTGCACGGGTTGCGAAACGAGTCGGGCAGGCAGAAGCCAAAGATGAGGCCGCTGAAGACGGTAAAGGCGCCCATGAGGGCAAACAGCCAGAACCAGCCGGGCTGGCCGCCGACGCCGCGCATGTGCAGGATGCCAAAGGCGAGCAGCTTGGCCGAGGCCTGGCCGATCTGGTTGCCAAAGTAAAAGACCATGACGCGCTTGGCCGTCTCGGTGCGCGTGTACCACGTCGAGAGCGTCCAGAGGCCGCCGGGGATGAAGCCCGACTCGGTGATGCCGAGCAGGAAGCGCGTGGCGATGAAGGCGCCGTAGCCGCGCTGAAAGGCCTGGAACGTGCTGACGGTGCCAAAGAGGAAGAGCTGCAGCGTGAGCCACTTGCCAGGGCCGACGCGGTAGAGGATCATGTTGGCGGGGATCTCGGTCAGCACGATGCCGAGCGACAGCATCTGCTGGCCCACGTTGAACTGGTCCTGGTTGATGCCGACATCGCTCATGAAGTTGTCGGTGATGGCGTTGGCCATGTTGCCGCGATCGAGTTCTGTGGCGAGGCTGCCGTGTTAGCGAGGCGGACTAGAGCGAGGAAGGGAGGAGGTAGGGCCGTACGTAGACAAAAGAATCCAAGCGTCAGAATGGGCATGATGATCAAGTCCAGTCTGTGAGTTTTCAGTTAGAGAGTTGCTTCTGTTGGTGACGCGGCGTGCTGACTTACTTGCGCTTTGCCTTCTTCTCTTCCTCGATGGTCCAATCGACAACCCGGCTATGGGACAGTTCTTGTTCGTCCCCCAGGTCCTTCTGGACCTCCTGGACCGTCGGACTGTCTAATTTTCCACTCATCGCAAGAGACTGTTGCTTTTCTGTGTCTATGTGATGAGCTATACTAACGAGGGTTTTTCCAAGAACTCGCGTCGAGAACGAGGGCTCCTTATAACATCCTGAAAACGGAACGACAGCGAGCACATTTCCACCGCCCGTCTTCGGCTGGTCGGCTGCCAAGTCAAGCGTGGCGCTTTAGAATTTTTTTTAAGCATATCAATAACATTTGGCGACAGCGCTCTGGCATTGGGCCGTGGCTTGTCGGGTGCTCGGCGAGGCAAAGCTTGGTGCTCTTGGCGCGAGCACGACATCTGGCTGCGCTTCTTGGCGGCATCGAGGCACCTGGCTCGTCCATGTCGCCATTGCGCCGCAGATTTGCACAATTCGAGATCTGAGACTTAATATAGTGGAATTGCAAAGCACTATTGGTTTCATGGACGCCTCATGGCAGATGTCAGCTCACCATGGAACAAGGCGGTTTTCGTGCAACGGAAGTGCTGGCCCGGACACTTTATCCACAATGGCAACTTCTCGGGGCGGATTGGGGGCGTCTTTTATTGCGCGCCGTCAACAATACAGAGAAGGGTGCGCAATTCTTAGCGCTGAAAGAAATAGTTATCGGATTGTTCCCCGGGTGTTGTTTGTAGATGACAGAAAGTGTGGCTGGAAGATTTACATTGTGGAGGTCCCGTTTATTAGGCAGCTGCCAGCATCTCGCGCCAGCTCGCGTTGTACTTTGCGCAACGCCGCAACAGCCTTATTCGACAGCTCTTTTTTTCTTTTTCTCCAAGCCGCCATTACATCGCGAAAAGGCACGCCAAGGTCTGTCGCAAGGCATGGCTCGCAAATTACCATGGAAGAGAGTCTCAGACGCTCGGTCAGAAGCGCAAGCACCCAGTCCGCGGCGCGCGTCGCCCAAAATCGAGACGCCCAAACGAACCGCGGCCACCCCGAGCAGGGCCTCCGCGGCGCGGCATCGCCCAGCCGTCCTCGCCGCCGCATTCAACTCCTCTGGTTAGAGACTCACGAGCATCTTCCTGCCCGAAGATGGCGTCCCCGCTAAGACAAAAGCCTCTTAGATCCCTTGCGCAGCCCGTCGACATCTCCTCCCCCGGAGCCTCCACAGCAAAGGTACGATATACCCACCAGCCATTAGCTCTCTATTTCTTTATTACATTTCTTGTATTTTTTATTTTGCCGCTGCTTCCGTCATAAATTGGGCGAAAAAGGGGCGAAAGAGAGAAAGAGGGAATAAAAAACAGCTAACCGTCAATGCAGGGGCATGATGCCAGGCGATGACCAATACCGCATCGTCGAGGATGAACTGCTGCAAACCGCGCAGAGATTCACGATGCACCTGCATCGCGCCGAGTACACCCGCCTCAAGCTCATCGCCAAATCCAAGAATGATGCCGCCATCCGCGAGATTGAGCGTCCCGTCGTCGGCCCGCTCACGTCTGATGCCAAGCGACGTCGTGATCAGGCCAAGCGACTGTCCAAGCAGCGCTCTGTGCTGTCCGCTGCTGGCGGCAGCGGCAGCGCCAACCACCACGAGGGTAGCTCGCCCTGGGTTGGCACGAACCTTGGAGGGCTCCTAAATGCGCCGCGCACAGAAACTGCTGGTACATCCCTGGCGCCGCCCCTGGAATTTGCTGCTGCTACACCGTCGTCGTCGTCGCTCACCAAAGCCGCCGTCGGTCATCGTCCGCCTCGCCCTGCTGCGCCGGCAACAACACCCCGGCAGCGGTCTTTGCATGAGGACAGCGTAGCGACTCCCGTTTCGGCGGCGCGCGCACGCCATCCTGCCACGCCCGCCTCGTCAGGAAGTCATACGCTCAGCTCCTCGGTGCCAAGCCAACACGCCAAGATTGAGGCTGATGCGCCGACTCCTGAGGACGACGAGCTGGATTTCGAGGATCCGTTTGGTATGAACAAGCGACGGTTGGATCGACAAAAATCCAGGGATCATTTCAGAAAGTCTGTTCGCTCAACGCCAACGAAAACGTCATCACCATCAAACACCATGCCATCGTTTGTGTGAGGATACGCAATGGTCCAGACAGTGGTCCAACAAATGCAGTGCTGGGAATCGTGCTATTTTTATTTTATGGCATTGTTCTATTTTTTGCCCAGCTATGAATCCTGCACCGTAAGCTCATCAAAGTCATCCAACAGTTCACCCATGTCAACTTGCGGCGATTGATCGTCGCCATCTTCAGTCTCAGCGACGCTCATCTCTTCCTCATCGCGCTTCTTTTCATTCTTATACAGAGCCATAGCAGCGCGAAGATCCTCATCTTCCTCAACATCCCGCAGGAACTGCTCGTATTCACGATCCATGCGCTCCTGGTCCGACTTCTTCGGTAGAAGTTCGCCGTCGTCCTTGCCCAGGCGGCGGAGCTTCCAGTTGCGCTTCTTGTTCCTCCTACGGTTGGGGTAGTGCTTCTTGACTAGCACCACGTCGGGCAGCATAGACGAGTACACGTGCGACTCTTCCATGGCCTCCCACTCGGAATTGTTGTAGTTGGCACCCGTCAGCAAATATCCCATGACACTATCGCCGGCCTGCAAGAGACCACCAAGGTGTGTTCTTGTGAAATACGTTGTGTCGTTAGCGCCAAGATCGACAGCGCGAGCCACGGTGACCTCGCCGAGACGCCATTTGCCGTTGGTCTTGCCAGTCAGCTCAACGTCCATGACAATAAACTCAACCAGCTGCTGGGAGTCGGCCAGGGACGTGAATGGCGCTCTCCAGTAGATGGGGCAGCTAATGTCTGCAGTCTGCAGCGTCTGGGGGTCCATGAGGTAAATCGACGTGCCAATCTTATGGCAGAGCACCAGAGGAGTGATGTTGCCGCTCTGCTTAGCTAGTTTGATGGGCATAGCGACCAAATCATCTTTACATATAGGCACCAATTCGGTGGAAAATGTGAACTTGTATGACGTTTTCGACGTGTGGGTATCGTGCGAGATGAGCTCTTGCGATGTCTTGACCGTAACGGGGACGACGGAGTTGAGAAAGTCAATAAACTTCTCAGCTTGATTCCTTTGCGAGAAGAAGAAATCGATACCATCCTTGGCTTCCTTGATATTGAGCGTATCGCGGTGCGCGCCGTGCTTCATAATCAGCTGTTCGAGGAAGAGGAATGTGCGCTTGTGGAGGACCTTTTGGCGGACCTGGACGCACGCACGCCAGACGTTGGCGGTATAAGACTTGGCACACTCAGGACACTGCTGGGTGGCGACGACGTAGAGGACCTCGAAGCTCTGCTGCAGCAGGACACCCTCCTGCACCTCATCCTGGATGGTAATCTTGACCTTTATCCTTCGCGAGTGAGGCTCGGTCCACACAAAGCTAGCGTCGACGATGCGGACCTTGTTCAGGCCGCGCAGTTTCTTGAGGCACAGGGCCAGCAGCTCGCGGGATTCGGGGGACGCCACCACCCAGCTGGAGGGGGGCAGCAGCCAGCGGTCGCAGTCTCGGCAAAAGTTGATGACGGCTTCGCGCTGGACGCCCTTGGAGATGTCGATGGTGAGCTTGACGCAGTCGTAGCAGAGGGCACCGGCCGCCGTTGTTCCGTCGATCGGAGCGCCGCAGTTGCAGCAGAGAATACTAAAACACGACAGGACGTCAGTCCTCGATTTGCTTCCTCGTCGTGGTGTCGACTTGCCGACTGCGGGGTGGTGGGATGGAAAAACTCACGTTGCGCCACCGTGGTGGTCGATGGCCCCGATGGACACGGGGGCATCATCTAGATCCATAGACATATTGAAAAATAGCAACACACTTCAAAAAAAAATGTTTCAAGGAAGATGCTGCCACAAGATTTTAACCAGTCTGGCTGGGTTTGGGAAAAAGTAGTAAATGTGAGTCGAGTCACAGCCAAATTTTTGCCCCGCCGCTTGATAAGCGGGCAGGAAAAAAAAGTGAGAAATCTTATCTCAGAGTGTGGAGTGGCGAGGGGCAACAAACGTATACTGCCCATATCAGGTTTGACTTGGAATATTCGTATGCATTCGTTACATGTTAGATAATCATTGAATAAAGACTCTGGAATTATCTGTATATTTACGGTATAATTCAAGCGTCTTCTCCCTTTTAAGAGTCTTTGCTGGTATCTTGTCACGCGCATCTTTGCCAACGCAAGTGAGCATAGTATATGCAGTTACCGGGTCTCCAAAAACAGTAATCATATGCTCGAGTGCTAATTATATACAATATGCCATTTAAAAAATATTGTTCAATACCCTCGTAACCCGTTCGGGCTGTTCATCCATATCCTTGCTTTTCTTGACCAAGGATGTTTGCTTAAACGTTCTCGCGCGTCGCTGCGGCTTCGCCTCCCCGTCCACCTCGGCCGCACCGGCCGCGCCATCCAGCGGCGGCGCGGTACCTTCGTCCGTCGCCTTGCGCTTCCTCGCCGCCGCCGACTTGGCGATGCCATCGAGCACCTTGGCCTGCTCGACGTTCTTGACAAACTCCTTGTTCTCGCGCGACGTCTTGCTGATTTCGGCGCGCATGCGGCTCGCGCGCTCCGCATTCTCCGTCGCAATCTGCTCCGTCAGGTTGTGCCACTTGAAGCCCTTCAGGTATAGCAGGTTCCAGAGGTCGTCGCGGTAGTAGGTGCCCTTTTTTCCGCCGACGGTGCGCGCGTTCAGCAGCGCGCAGACATTCTTGGCGTCCTTCTTGCGCAGGAACTCGACCCAGCCCTCGGTGAAGGACCGCTTCTTGTTGCCGCCGGCCTTGACGCGCCGCGCGTGCGCGGTCGGGTCCTCGGGCGCGAGGAAGACGCGGTTGATGCTGCCGTAGGGCTCGAGGAGCGACCGTAGCTTGGCGGGTTTCATAAAGGGTGGGATACGGGACAGGTAGACGACGCCCGACTTGTGTATCGCCTTGTCGGTCGTGACGAGGTTCTTCTTGATCAGCGTGCGCGAGACGTTGGGCAGGTCGCTTTGGATCTTGGGAAGCTTTCTCTTTTTGTTGGCAGATTCCTGGTCTTGTATTGATCTTGGTTCCTCGGCGCCATCTTCTTCGTCGTCGTCGTGATCAATGTCATTCGCATCTCGGTCGGATTCGCTGTCTTCTTCATCGAGGCTTAGTTTTCTGCGCTTTGTGCTTCGACTTCCTCCCTTGGCAATTTCGTTATCTGAGTCATAGGTATCGATATGATCATTATCGCTTTCTGAAGCATCCAGGAAATCATTTGCGTTTGGCGCCATCGTCGCGGCTATTTGCTGTGAATCTGTTCTGCGATTACTGTCATTTGCTTAAAAAAGTTGCTGTCACCTAGATCTCTTATCGATATGCTAGTACTGGGGTATTGCTTTAGCCGAGCATCGAGAGGCTGGGTCTTCTTACCCGGGAGCCCGGCTTAGTTATCAATAAAAGATTTGCTGATTTTATTTGGACATAAACGCTACTGAAATGATATAGTATTGTCTTACTACAAGGTGTAGATGGGTTTTGGTTATAATCCAGGACTCCGTGGCTGGTCGAGGCCGGGTCCGGTTGAGGCAACTATGCGCTCGGCGACAAGTTACAACGTGGGGTAGATAGAGCTTCACCACATGGATGACCACCCTCCACCCCTCATCAACTTACTACTACTGACTGTACCTGGCATTTTCACGGCCGAGCCCTCAAAATGTCCGTCGAAGTAATTAATACTATTTCACCAACCACAGGTGAGATCGTCATCTCCCGCAATGGCCCATCTTCAGCCGACCTAGACCTGTTGCCCAAGGTGGCGACTGAAGCGTTTCAAAGCTTCCGCAAGACCACCCTCAAGGAGCGACAGGAGATTGTTAGAAAGTTCCTGAAGGGCCTCGCCGACCGTGAATCGGAGCTCGCTGAGGAGCTTACTGTGCAAATGGGCCGACCCATCGCGTTTACTGGAAAGGAGATCACAACTGCTGTGAAGCGGGGTGAATATCTTCTTAAAGTCAGTGATGAGGCCCTTCAAGATACCGACGGCGAGGCAGAGAAAGGATTCAAGCGCTTCATACGCAAGGTTCCAGTTGGACCCGTACTGGTCATCTTTGCATGGAATGTGAGTATGCCTGTGGACCGAGTCCAGAAGTCAATTTTGGCATTTACCTTGGGAGAGGCACGAGACTGATGTATGCTGCAGTACCCCTATTTGATTCTCGTCAACTCTCTTATTCCAGCCATCCTGGCAGGCAACAGCGTCATCCTTAAACCATCTCCTCAGACTCCCACCATTGCGGAGCGTGTGTCCGAGATCTTTGCTGCTGCAGGCTTGCCCCAAGGCGTCCTCCAGTATTTCCATTGTGGCTCGCCGAGTACAATGGAGACGATTGTGCGCGATCCTAGGATCGAGCTTGTATGCTTTACCGGCTCTGTTTCTGGCGGCCTTTCTGTGCAAAAGGCAGCCGCCGACCGCATCGTCAACATTGGTCTGGAGCTTGGTGGCAAAGACCCAGCCTACATTCGCAGTGACGTGGACATTGATTGGGCCGCCGAGGAGATTGTAGACGGCTCTGTATTCAACTCGGGCCAGAGCTGCTGTTCTCTCGAGCGTGTGTACGTTGACGAGAGCATCCACGATGCTTTTGTCGAGGCAGTGCAAAAGGTGCTCAAGGGTTACAAGCTTGGCGATCCATTTGACAAGAGTACGCATGTCGGACCCGTCATCTCGAGCCGATCAAAGGGTGCCATCGAGGGCCATATCAAGGACGCGGTTTCCAAAGGCGCCAAGGACGCCACCCCGGCCAATGAGTCGTTTGACAACCTGCCATCCAAGGGCAACTTTGTGAAACCGACGCTGCTCACCGGTGTGGACCACAGCATGACGGTCATGACAGAGGAGACATTCGGACCCGTAATCCCCGTTATGAAGGTCAAGGGCGACGCCGAGGCCATTAAACTGATGAATGACAGCGAATTTGGTCTCACAGCCAGTATTTGGACCAAGGATACGGACAAAGGCTACAAGCTTGCCGAGGACGTGGAGGCCGGCACCGTGTTCGTGAACCGCTGTGACTACCCCAGCCCTGTAAGTGAGACATGCTGACCCAGGATCTTGGCCGCAAGCGATAAGTACGGCGCTATGAGACGGTGACGAGACGCAGGAAATAAAACTATAAAGCGCAGGCTAACAAATATATGTGGCGTAGGACCTTGCGTGGACGGGCTGGAAGAACTCTGGCCGGGGCCAGACGCTTAGCAAGTTTGGCTTTGACGCCTTTGTCAAGCTCAAGAGCTTCCACTTGAAGGACTACCCGAAATGAGGATAATTCTTGACCGAGACATCTTCTTAAGTGTACGGATAAATAGCTCGATCCATCGAAAATACCGTGCGAATTAAAATATCGGAGTAATAATGCGGTCTTCAGGTCCGAATTCTGCATTCAAGCGACTTTGTTCAGTGATCCTCCGAGCTTATCGGCGATGTAATGATGGAACCCCTGTGGGACTGATATAGCGCTTGGGGCAGCGCTTATTATTATAATAAACCACAGTGCCACGCTGATTCGGGCGCATGAAAAGCCATGCTCTCGGCTTAAAACGTGGTCAAGATGAATTTGTGAGTGTAAAGAAAGGGTACATTTGCGATAGATGAGCAGAAATGATGGCAGAGGTTTGGCAGCCACTCACAGGGCACAGTCAAGCAGGTCAGCAATTCAGCACAGCCTGGCAGAGAGGCATATGGTAGTACAAGGCTTTCGGCCCACTATCAAGTATGGGGTTTTCCTATACCGATAACTATAGATGTTATAAGAATGATAATGAGAGTAATTCGATTAAATGTAACAATGGAGAAGCAAGGCCTCCTGGTGGCCATTCCAGAAAACCAAGAGTCAGTTGACCTGGCTTGGCGGGGTGGCCCTGAAAATGGGGGATCGATTGTTCGTTGCAGCGTTGCATCTAACAGGGGTTGACCTTATCTTAAATTCAAGTCGCTTCTTAAATTCAAGTCGCTACTCTCGCTAAACGCTATTCTTCCAAGGTCCTAAGCCGTTATGTTGTCGACTCCTTATGTGTCCCAGCTTCATAGGCTGGTAATAATTCCTCCGTCGTTATGTCCGCCAGTGCCTGGTGAAGGTACTCTTTTAACTCGACCAAACGAACCACGATTGCCCTACTCCATAATATTGTAGTCGCGAGCTGTGACCAACCTCTACTATAGTAGCAGAAAATGGCGAGAATGATCGGCAAAGCACTAGGTATCACAACAAATAAAACTTGTGATATCCAAATCTTAGGCACGTTGGCAGATGATGATGCTCCAAGGTAAAATTGACAGAAAAGATGCGCAACGTTATAAGTAAGGCCGAGCGGGACAATCCATAGCACAAACTCTAGAATATTGGTCAGTATTTTATAAATTTAGAGCGTAATAAGTATATACCATCATCTACCGGTGTACGGGTAAAGTTGGACATCATAACGACGTAGTTTTGATAGTGATAAAAAGTCGAGGCAGTCTTGGTTGACGTGAAGATTGAATAGAGATAGTCTTGAATGATGATGGATATTGGATGACGAAATGATAGTCTTGAATGATGATGGATATTGGATGACGAAATGATAGTCTTGAATGATGATGGATATTGGATGAAATGAGCTGGAGAAGAAGAGAAGAGCACAGTTCAAAGTTTGGACTGAGTGTTGTGACCAACAGAGGTGGGTGGGAAAGAGACACGGTGGACGGTGGCGGGTTTTGGCAAGAGAGCTCGGCGCACTGTGTGATGGCCGACTCATGAATCATGGTTTGCAAGGCTGTGCTTCTAATAAAAGTAACTGAACTATAGACTCGGCAATTAGGCGACTAATACAGCGGTTGCCTGAATGCAACTACATACACTCTTTGAGCAATCCACTCGGACTTGTAGGCTAGATGCGGAACTTGTCTTACACCGGGGTATGCGCGGCATTCTGCACAGAGGGGGTCATGTTAGCTGAAACAATGACACCCCTCACCAGAACTAGATGTACACAATATCGGCGTCTACTAGGAGTGAAGCCAATTGTAACAGTTACGCGTCATGTTATTGCTCAAGAGGTCACGCTTGCCGCCAAGAGACGGCATACGTACACGTGTACAAGTCTTGGACCTAATATTTCCATGTGTCCAAGGGGCTAGGCAGCCAAACTTGTTCCCCTCAGTTTTACAAGTGCTTTTAAAAAACGACGGGCGCGATGCGGGCGGCGGCGCGCATCCAAGCGATGCGATCGGCATCCTTGATGTTGTAGCATACATCGTGAAATGGCTTGGATCGCCAGTTTGTACCCATGCCATCGGCGCTGACCACAATGTAACCCTTGTCTGCTAAAGTTCGGAAACTTTGTGCCTTGTAATCCTCGGCAACGCGGGCTGTAGCATTAGTATTCGGCTTCTCCGCCATCTAAATGGCTGTGTGATGGGTTAGTAAGTACTGCTTAATAGGCCACAAAAGAACAAGACTTACCTACCCACTGCAAAGAATAGTACCGCGGGCTCAAGACATAGAAGCACGGTTAGCTGGTAAATAACGAGCATGGAGCAACAATATTTACTTGCTGCCTAACATTAAATAAATCATGAGTTGTCAGTTGGAGCAATCGCGGTATGAGAAATGATGAAATACGTATAAAACCATAAATTAATAAGTAAAGAAATGAATCGGAATTAAATTACAGGCTTTATCATTGTGAATCATGTGGCGTGTATTTTTTAGATTGCCCGCGGGGAATCAAGGCAATGATGGCGGTATTTTCGATGCTTACAATTATTATTCACCGACTTGCGGCGATCTGTCTGTCGTCTCTGCGAAACGTATGGTGCAACCAGCAACTTAGGGGGGGGGGGGGTTAGTTGCAGTTAGCTTACTTATACTCGCTATTTCACAAGAATAATGCATTTCTTGTGAGTTCACGCTTTTACTCTACTATGCTTTATTACCTTACTAATACCGGCTAACAAAAGAAATGCTAGTATAGCCCTATACTTGGTAGGTGGCTTTTAAATACGTACACTCTATAATAGTATTAGCATTGGGGCACCTAGTAAGAAATAGGAAGACTACGTGACAGCGGCCGAGGCTGTACCAGCGAATGCCATGAGGAGAAGGCTTGGCGTTCATAGTTGCGATTGGTTGATGGAGAAAAGACAATGGATTGGCGGCTTGGTATAATAGGAAGCCTGTGTTTAAAAGACGAGTCGACTGAGTCGAGTTGTGCAGGAGGGAGAGTTTACAGAAGCCGAGTGTAACGTTGTCAATGTTCAACTTCTCAGAGCCCCAGACGGCTCACAACGCAGGCGCTTCAGCCCCGAGGGTAATAATGAGAGACTGGTCCACATGGATGCAAATCAGGCTGTAAATTCCATTTTTTGAAGAATGATGTCGCTTAACTATACACACGCCATTGACAGCTTGACCCCCCATATTTGGGCTGTCAACACATGTCGGTGTCGGCATGATCTATCATCTATCCAACCAAGAACATTCAATTCAGTTGTTTGGGACACTACATGCTATAGGACGGCACTTGAGTAGAGCAATTAGTTCAGAATGGTGGCTATAGCCTGTCTTAATAGAGCAGTCATACTCCAGGAGCTATCAATTGTTGTCAGTCATGAACGATGCTATGTTGCGCCTGATGATAGGAAAGACGCAATCTGAGTACACTTGGTGTTAGTCAGAATGCAAGTGAACTGAGTCGATGATAGAATCAAAGATAAATATAAAACGGCACTGCTGCCGTCATGTTCAGGTTTTTATCATCATCAACACAAACAACAGTTTAAGCAATACACTTCTACACCCTTTTACACCTTCAAACCCCTACCTTGTTACCCAGAACACGAGCGCCTGCATCCCAAGATGTCAGCTTTTAAAATTCTCGCCGCCATTTTCATGGTCATTGGTTCTTTGTCTTCACTTGGAGCGGCTGCACCAAATGAATACATTATCGTCCTCAAAGCGGGCATATCTGCGCGCAGCGTTGACGCCCACGTCGGAGAGGTTCATGGAATGCATGCCAACTCTCTGGGTCGCCGAGAGCTCAATCTTCCTGGCGTTGAGGATATTTATTCCATTGGAACCTTCCAGGGCTATTGTGGTACCTTTGACAATGACACCATCTCAAAGATCCAGGCTATGCCAGAGGTAACAGCCAATCTCTACCATGTCTTCATCTCAAGCAGCATGAGAATGCCCCTGCTAACCCAAGCTGCTCTGCTAGGTTTCTAGCGTCTGGCTTGATGAAGGTGCTGAGGAGCTGGCCTGGGTCAAACAGGACAACGCGGAACACGGCTTAGCCTCACTGTCCAGTCGCGGCCCGGGGCAGACGGCTTTCTCCTACGAGGATACTGCTGCAAAGGGGCTCTTTGCCTACGTCGTCGACTCGGGCATCCAGGCTGACCATCCAGACTTTGGCGGACGAGTTACCCGAGGATTCAGCATCAACGGAAACTATGACAACATCCGTCCCCACGGAACCATGGTGGCCGGCGTTCTTGCTTCCAAAACCTACGGAGTTGCGAAGAATGCCCAGATTATTGATGTTCGAGCCAACGAAATTGGAAACAGCAAGGCTGCGTGGGTTCTTTCTGGTATCAACTGGGCCGCCAAGGACATCATCGACAAGGGCCGAACTCGTCAAGCCGTCATCAATGTTTCACTCAGTAGGTACACAAGGACAGAAGCTCACCAAGTGACAGCAAGGCTAACTTCTGGACAGACGCCAAAGCATCTGTGGCTAAGGTATCAGATATGTTTGCCCCGCCCGACAAGTCACCAGTCAACCTGGCTGTAGAGGCTGCTTTCAAGCTTGGCGTTCTCACTGTCGCCGCCGCCGGCAATGAAAACACGTCGGATCCCGTAACCGTTACTCCCGGCTCGGCCCGCAATGCCCTCACTGTCGGCGCAATCGACCGAGACTGGAAATTCTCGGGTAACTTTTCCAACCACGGGTCCATGGTCGATATCCTCGCTCCCGGAACCAATGTTGTTACCATCTCGAGCGCACAGACTGGCCCGGTGAGGGTGGACGGGACTTCGTTCGCGTCGCCGTACGTTGCCGGCGTTGCACTCAGTTTATCGGCATTGGAAAAGTTCGGCTCGGTCCAGGAGCTGGTTGACAGGATCAAGGCTCTCGGCACGGCTGGCAAAGTCACCGGCTTACCGCCCAACACTGTCAACTTGGTTGCTTTCAACGGCGCCCCCTCGGCGTGATGGTGACGCAACCACGCCCTCTTCCCCCATTTTAGCGAAGGAGTACTCTGGAGTGTCTACGCTGGTGCCGGGGATGGGAGCAAAGACAAAGTTACGGGATAGATAGCGGCGAGGCTCCTGCAGGACCATCATGACATCGCGGCCCCTGTTCAGTAAATGTAGCGCCTCGAGTATATGACTAGCTGGGCAGAAATTCGACTACAGATTTATTTTACTCCTTGATGGCGAAGTTCTTCTGACAGTGACTCGCCTCATAATCGTGTGCTTCTTTCTTTGCCCCGAAATCTTCCAAGGCTTGTCTACCTGGGAAATTCTGCGTATCTTCAACGGTCTCGAGTAAGAACCAATAACGAGCTACCCTATTGATGGATGATTGCCTCTCGACTCGCCCAGGTGTGACTGGCCACGGCGCATCGGTTGTTGGTACGCCTTGGACGTCTGACAAGCGCAGAGTCAATGACGGCGGGACTTGAAACCGAGAAATTATTCTCACGTTTACTTGTTACTAGTCGCACACTGTAAGAAGTGGTGGAGGGAAGGGAATCTTCGGAAGGTGGTTGGGCCTCCACAACTGGATGACCAACACGGTGTTTTGCACAATGGTGGCCCTCGTTCCAAATCAAACGAGACAAAAACCCAGCTTTGAAACTTGTCGATTTTGAATGGCGGTAGCTGCCTGCTCGTATCCCGCCAAACTTCGGGCCTGCAAAGACGGGCAAAGACAACAGGAGTGTTGGTTTGTGGAGTCTTTGAGTCGCCGACTTTACTCACCCCTCACAAGGACAGGCCGGATGGTCAGTCCCGATAAAAAGGAACCCTGTAATTTGCAAGTCAGTCAACCAACCCAGGGAACTGGAATTTGCAACCCAAGCATCTGGTCAAAGTGAATCAACTTGCACCTCGTCACCATGGACAGGTCAAGCGCCCGCCCCCATCCAGTTGCCATGTATTATGCAGCCGCAAAGTGTCGGTCATGATTGTCAAGTGTCTTGGAGGGCCGCGGCGCACGGGCATGTCGCCTGCCGTGTCCATGTTCCCTGACTATTCGCAGATGGAGTCAATCAAAAACATCATGACAGATGCGGCGGTGGTGGTGGAGTCGAAGCACAAGCTTTTCACTCACCGGATTGAAATGACAATTGGCCCTGGCAAAATGATTGGTGTTGACCTTTTTGGTTCAAAGTAGGCGCCCGCAAGAGGCTAGTTAATGATATCTCGTGGCGAGATTACGAGTTCCAGGCACCCGGGACGCGGTACGATGGGCAAGGCGATGGAGTGGCGTTTGTTTCGTTTCTTTTTTTTTTTTTCTTCTTCTTCTTTTTTCTTCTTCCCTCTTCTTAGTTCTGCTGCTCCATCTTTCCATGCCAAGTTTATTATTAGTACAACGCTTCTTGTCTTCTCCTTCTTTGATGCTGCGCCTCACCGTTTCAGCTGTGCTTGATTCCGCGGCCATTCAGCATTCAGGTGTTTTAACTACAAATTAGGTTTTTCTTGGTCTCGAACGGCTGGCTGATGCAGCAGAAATAAGTTGCTTTGGCGGTCCGTCGGGTTCCCTGGTCGCCATGTTTGATGATTGCTAGACAATGGGGATCGATGAATCCTCCGTGTTGCAAAGAAACAAAAAGGGAACTATTTCCGCACCGTGTGTGGGCTGCATAAGGTTGCTTTGGTTACCTGGTGGCAGAAGGCAGGTTAGGGGCGTGCACATGATTTTTTTTTTGCTTGCTTTTTGTGCTTTTTTATTTGGGTCGCAATATCCGATTCATGATGTGCGACCGTCCTGTCGGGTCAGGGGCGTGGGGCATGCGCAGCTGAAGTACGGCGGGGGAGCATGGATATGAAATATATGAAATATATGAAATATATGAAATATATGAAATATATGAAATATATGAAATATATGAAATATATGAAATATATGAAATATATGAAATATATGAATACATGATGCATATAATTTGTGAGATGAAGACATTTCAACATATGTACGGATTCATACATGGTACGGGCACTCATGTAGCAAACAGCCGCAATGAGGCTGCATCTATGAAAACTCACTTGGACAAACGGCCACCCGTCATTGCAATCACAGCACACCGCCTCGGATCCTGCGCAACCAAGACTGTGTTGCTATATCATTCGTCATTCGTACTCTTGTCTTTTCCTTTCGGCACCAAGAAAAACGTATCCGTACCATGGGCTGGTCCAGCTACCACGGCGCCCGCGCGTGACAAGGCTGTAGAGGCTGTACCGCCTTGCCTGTACATGGGCCTGCTGCTCCGTGATTCGTCAGCGATGAGACAAATCCGTCGCATCAAATAATCATCATTCCGCGTTGCGCGAGTCAAAAAGTGAGATCCGGTGCACACCTTTTGATGCAGCATCATGGGCACGTAGTGAACGAACATCAGGCACCAGCGACGCAAGGGAGAAGACGGCTGGCGTCATCAAAAGTGGGCGTGGGGGCGAGCTTTGGTATGGAAGTGACAACAAGAGGTGCAAATAATTGAATATTGTGAAATGAGAAATTAGAATCGAGTGTCAGAAAGCTGGCTCTCGTCATCCTCAGCTGCGAGCATTGACACGCCATGCTGCCCTGTGTAAGCCGCATCGTCCAGGCCTTGAACTCTGACGTGCAGGCAAACTGGGATTGAGCAGAGCACTTGGTAACTAGATTAGCTACTACTTTTTTACTGTACAGGGTTCAGCATTGAATAACTATTTCGCGAGCCGAGATTTATCACATTCCAGTGCAATGCCTCGCGTCTTGCAACAACTTCCCAAGCGGGCGGAGAAGATGTCTTGGCGAGGCCGCTATATCCTCACCACCCGTCCCGCACGTTTGGGTTCGATAGATGAGTCTTGGCCCGGCGACCGCTATGGGGTTGTCTGTTCATTCATGCCTGACTAGTTTCCGGAGAGAGTTTGTCGGGCTCTTCCTGCAGGGACCAGCCCGGGTCAAAATTGATAACATGCCTTGGAAGTCGGGACCATGCATCCAAAAAGGACAATGTTCCGTCGTGGCATCGGGAACAAGGCCTTTTTTTTTGTACTTGTTGACGTCTGGAGCCGAGAGCAAGCGACTCCAGTATGGGAGCTCATTACATCGTGGAGCAACAATAATCACATGTGTTTCGCTGGCGCGTCGCGAAATGGGCGGGCTTGTGAAATCTGGTGATACAAAGGACATGTCCAAGGTGCCTCACGAGGCGAGACGCTGGCGAGAACTCCATACGTGGAATTGAGAAGGAGGACCGAGTAACTTACCGAGTACTCCGTGCTTTGCATCTTGCATATACCATATTAGAAATACTAATTCGTACATAAAATTCCCCTTTAGCGCCATCTTTCCGTGATGAGACACAAAATCCGTGAAATCGGATGACAGAACAGGAGAGGCTGGACTGAGACAAATATTGGGCGTCGCGCCTCTGCCCAAGGCCACCATGGATTGATTTGTTGGTGTCGGGCGCGAGAATGAACGAGGCGCCCACTTGTGCCAATAACGGTGGGCGTGACGGAAAGGGAAGGGGAGGGGGGAAACGCAAATCGATCTTGTGCAAGCCTTCCTCTGGGTTTGTCGCCGGCATACATTTACGATCCGAACGGTGACGGTGATTTGATGTCGCGAGCCAGGGAGGGTGGTACGTACGTACGTACTTGTACCAGGGGGCGTGAATAGAGTAAAAAGCCTCCAAGGATGGGATTTGATCGGCGCCGCTGTGCCGAACCCAGGAGACTGGTACAAGTGGTCCTGGTAACCAGCTTGCAGGAGAAAGCAAAGCCCACCTTGCGACGATCGTTGACTGTGACAAGATCCTAGCCGGGGCGACTTGATGAAACACCAAAGAGAGAAGACTGGGACGACTGCTTACTTTGGTCCATTCAGCGGTTAGTTGGCCTGTTGTTACGCGCCGGGGACGCCGTTCCGGAAGAACGGACACAGCCCGAAGGGACCCCCTCCCCGGCCGGACCTTGCATATTGTAAAACGAGGTGCACAGACAAATCAGGACTGCCAGAGCCAGGGTTTGCAGGCCTGGGGGGGAGGGGGGGAGCTCCGCCGCGGAATTTGAAGAATGCGTCTCGAAAGGGAGAGAGAAGATCCCAGTAGAGTTATTAGCCCCCTCACACACACCCCCAATTGCGCCTCGTCGTCGGCCGCGCAAAGACCCCAACGCCCTGGCTTTTTCGCCCTTCCCTTCCCTTGAGAGTGAACAAACCCATGGTGATACAAGGAGCACCAAGGGGGTTACTGCACGGCAAGGGCGGAGAAGGACAGAGTCATGTTTTCCGTATGCTTTCGCGGCAAGAGCATTTAATAAAATACCCAAAAATCCTCACGCTTTGCAAACTTGTATATCATCCCTTTTGCCGCCCTCCTCCTCCTCCTCCTCTCTCTCACTCTCACTCTCACTCTCTCTCACAACTCATCAGTGTCTTCATTCCACAACAGGCACATACACGCGCGCATATACATTAACCCACTTATTCACCCTCGTTTCTTCTTTTGTCAGAGAATCATCATTCTCTAGTCCATTCATTTTTTTATTTTTCTCGTTCTTGGTCTCGTCATCGACTACGCGCTCGCTTCCTCTTGTTTCAACAGACCTTGTTTGTTCCATCTGGACTCCTTTCCTCCCCTACAAATCCATTTCGACTCTCCTTTCATACCGAACGTGAGGCAGTGCAACTTGCTTACAGCTACCACCAACCCGTCGCGGCACTTGCATTGTTTCATCCAATCGACAACTCGACTACTATAGACGAGGACCCTCACTCTCTCTCACACGGCAGCATCGCCTTTGTACTCGCCGCTCATTCCACATTCCACCATTATCTTTTTTTCTCCGTGTGTCGTGGCCAATCAGATCCCATCCACATTTTCATTCGTCGATACGCTTGTTCCAGACCATCTCATCCACTGGAATTCACGAGCCCAAGGCCGGCACGGGGTCATTTGGTAACCAGTCAACGATTCCCTTTTGGTACGCTTCGTCTCTTTTCATAAAGAGAAAATCTCATCCTTGCAAACGCTCTACCGGCTTTCCTTCATTTGTCGCAACACGCGCAGGCACACACACGCACGATCCCTGTTGGACCGCACCGACGCCCTCGTCGCAAACAGATACGCACCAACCAAGTCATTACCACGCTTCTTTGACTTTCTATATTGCATTGCCTCTATCTCATTTTTTTTTTTCCTTTTCGTCTCTCTGCTCGACTACTCTCTCTCCTTATCATCTCAATCCACCATCGACAAGCTTTCGTCCTCGTCATCTACACACGCAACATACTCCAACGAAGCTGCTCTCCATGTCATCCGGATTCGCCGCCGAGATGCAGGTCCGCGACAACATCAAGACGCTCTGCTCGCGCATGCAAACGCTCCTCCACCGCCGCTCCAAGCAGCCCAAGCGCGGCATCGAAATCGTACGTCTCCCCCTCTTGCCGTCTTCCATCCCCCCCTCTCCATCAATCTTGTACTGACAAGCATCTCCTTTGTACAGTCTGCTCCCTTTGACTACAGGCTCGAGGACGTCTCCCTCCCCGGCATCTCTCACGACGAGCTCTCCATCCTCCGCGAAAAGGCCACCGCCAGCCGCGTCGGCATCACCGAGTACATTCCTCGCTCCTCGTCGTCCATGACCTCGTGGGAGACGCCATCTCAGACATTTGTCTACAACCGCCAAAATACCCCTCTCTACACACACGCACGCCGACCCGTCTGGTAGCAACGTGCCGCGTTCCCAACGCCACATCTTTTACGTGAATGAGTCATTTCTTCTTCACAGATCCGCCACTACGATCCCCTTTTCTATGTCTCTCATTCGGTTCGGCGTCGGACTATAGCCAACTACACATTTGTACGTTGGGCTGTTCTTGTCTTTGGTACTCGGAAAATTTGGGAAGTTATTGGTTCGTGTTTCGGAGTTTTCCATCGTCCTTCAAGTGTCGCGAGATGCTTTTGTATCATCCTTTTTAGATCTATGGTGCGAACTGGTGTTGTTTCTTTCTCGGTCCGGTTATCCATAATGTCCTCAGTAAGGACAGGCAAATGTCTGCCTGGTGTTGATTTTGCCATTTTTATTTTATTTTAACCAATAACAAGTCTACTCAACTTGACAATCGATCAAGATTTCGCCTCTCTATATCCTAGTAACCGTATTCCCTCCTCTTTCGCCTAGCATGTCCCTCATGACAGCCATCCGTCGTACACGTCAAGGTCTTCACTTCGCACGCCTTCCATCTCGCCCTTGACATTCAGCAGCTTCACCTTGGAGCTCTTCTCCTTGCTCCACCGCGCGAGGAACTCGTCGACCCTCTGCTTGGTCGCCTCGTCATCATCCATCAGCAGCGCGGCCGCGTCGAAGCCGCCCGCGCCAGGCACCACCCCGCCGTAGACGCCCTCAACCCGGGACACGGCATCCAGCAGCTCCGTCTGCGACGCCGGCTCGATGGGCACGTCGCTCTGGTGACCCATGGCGCGGATGAGTGCTCGCACGTCCTCCACCTTTTGTGGCAGGTCCGCCAGCCCGCCGTCACGCAGCGTCTCGGCCAGCGCCTCGTTGCGCGCCTGCAGGTCGTCCCACAGCTGCGTCGACCGGTCGACATCCTGCGCCTTCCAAGCGAGCACCTTTTTGACCATGCCCACCGTCTGGCTGCCGCAGTCGACGTCGCACATGCGCAGCGCCACGCCACCCGGCATGCGCAGATCGCTGCCGCTGCCCGTCACCTCGACGTCCCACGGCTCGCCGTCCACCACCGTGACGAGTCGCGCCGCAAAACCCGGCGCGCCCGGCTCGGGGATCCCGTCGAGGAGGGCGGGCGAGAAGCGGCGGTAAGTGCAGGAGCCGTACACGGCGGCCGCCACGTCGAAGCCGGACCCGACCTTTCCCTGGGCGGCGCAGTGGGCGGCCTGGGCGAGATTGTGCAGCGTCCTCTTGCCCGCGTCCGAGGACACGTCAAAGAGCGCTGGGGGCATGTAGTGCGTCAGCAGTGCCGCGGTCAACGACGTGACGAGGGCCGCCGAGGAGCCCAGGCCCGTCTTGTTGGCGTCTCGGAGGGTCACGTCGAATTTGGAAAACCGGCCATGCGTGTCATTGGCGGCCGCGGACTGCGAGTAGTAGTCGTTGTCGGCAAGGATGATGAGCCGGCTGGGGCTGAGGGCGTGGCTGTCTCTGGTGACCGTGTTGGCGTACGTCAGGGCATAGCTCAGCGTCGTTTCGACAAACGGGTTAGCACGTATTTGGTCTCCCCTGATGGCCAGTCAGTACATCTGCGCGCGTCAAGATCATCTGCGCAATGGGGCTTGTGTTGCGATAAGAACCTATTTGCCTACACATACACTTGCAATTGCGTCACCTTGATGCCACCCCCCTCTGGCGCAAGGCGGTAACCATACCGCCACTGCGCTTCCCGAAACTGGGGGCTTTCCACCACAATCTCGTTGAGCTGCACGCCAGCGCTTGAGTGAATCTGGCTGGCAATGACATTGATGCGGGCATCCAGGCCAAAGACGAGGCCCGTGTACTTGCGGTCCAGGACGAGGTAGCCACCGGCCAGGAGCACCTTGCCGGGCGCAGAAATGGCTACGTTGGGATGAGTCGGCATTTTTTAGAGGTTGATGTAGATGAGATTTGATCAGTGAAGGAAGGTGTCGTGGAATGAGGAATGAGGAATGAGGAATGAGGAATGAGGGGCAGGATAGGAGGGGCTCAGGAGCTTCGTCGATGATTGGCGCGAAAGCCGTCGTCAAGGTGTAAGTGAGTGGTAATGCTGCAAAGTCCCGCGATTTGAAATACGTCAAACAAGCGGCCCGATCAGAGGCCAACGGTATCGCAGAGGGACATGTAAAGATCCTAAGGATGGCTCACTAGCTCACGTCTCTACATCTAGTTAAATAGAAAATAGAAGTGGGAGCGGTGTCTGTCGAGGTGGGGCAGGACTCGGAGTCGACCCGAAAAGCTCGCCCGCCGTCGAAATAGCCTCATAACCCAACCTCGCGCCTTATCCCAATTGCGCGACTACAATTTCCCTCTCATGGTTGCCATCTACTTACTGCTTCTGCAAGTCAGCCCCTTTCACCATGTATGCGAGTCATGCTTGCTGTGAGTTTGCATTGCTTCGGCATTTGCTATCTACTAGTAGTGGTACAGGCAGTCTGTCAAAATCAAAGCGCCTCGCTTATGATTCCAATGCTGCCGTCAAATGTGTTTGGCCTTTTTTCATGCCGAGTGGAGATGGTCTATAGGTGGGATACTTTTATAACCCATGAAATGCAAATGCAACACCGAGCCCGTTCCGTTTTATCCACTGTCTGTCTTCTTCAGAACCAGGCCGTCAAATCCATTGGTCAAACGCCCCAGATTGTGCAGAAATGATCAGAACACAAGTCCAAAAACGCCATGCCGTTGATATCAATATTAAAAATGAACCGCTCCGGTCTCATTCCGCCGCGCCTCCGGTCTTCTTGACAACACCCCCCTCCACGATTCTTCATGCCAACAATATGGGGTATCAATCACAGAGGCTTCTATAAAACCAAAGTAAACAAAGGAAAATGCAAAAAGATCAAGGGAAAAAATAAACAAACTTCCTCCTGTCTGCCAATGCACCAATTTTTGGTTCATTCACCGCCATGAAAAGCTTAGAGCTGAGCCTGTTCTTGGCCACCACCGAGCAGCTCCAGCACCTTGTTGACAACAGCACTGGGGTAGCCGCGGGTAAGCATCTCGCTGACAACAGACTTGGCTTCGTCACGCTGCTCCATGGCGAGGAATGCCCGCGTCATGGACTCGTACGTGCTAGGCTCTCGCTTCTCTCGGGGTACAGCATCGTAAATGGCCTGAGCCTTGGGGAGCTTCCTCTCCGCAGCCCAGCCGTGAATCAGAGTGTTGGCGATGTAAGGTGTAAGCTCGACCCGACGCTGGCGCATCTGGGCGAGAAGAGGCTCCGTATCGGCCACCCGGTGGTTGGCAACCATGCCTTCAAGCATAGCCTGGTAGAGGCTAGCGTTGACGGGTACAGATCTCTTCTCGGTGACCGAGTCAAAAATCTTGCGAGCGCCATCTAGATCGTGCAGAACACAACCCTTAGCGTGGATGAGCGAGGCATAGTGAACAGGCTCAGGCTGCTGACCAGCAGCAGTCATTTGCTCCATGACTTCCTCAGCAGCGGCCATGTTGACGGGCTCGAGAGTGGCGTGCGTATCAATCAGCAACTTATAAGTGTGCGAAGTGGGGGCGATGCCCTTGACCTTCATACGCTCAAAGTAAGCTAGGACCTTGGCCTTGTCTCTCTTGGTGGTCAGGAAGAACTGCATCATGCTGTTGTACGGTGCAGGGCGCGCCTTGTAGTTGGGCATCGACTCCATCTCGTCAAATAGCTCCTCCGCAAACTTCTCGTCGCTGACACGGCACAGGGCATTGACAATAGTACCGTAGGTAACCGACGTAGGCTTGATACCAAGAGCGCGCATTTCAGCAAAGTAAAACAGACAGTCGTCGATGCGGCGAGCCTTGCCGAGCTTGCCAATCAGGGCATTGTACAAGAAAGAGCTAGGTTCAACGCCTTCTGTCTTGGCGCGGTGGAAAATGCGAACCGCCTCGGAGGCTTCGTCGAAAGTCTTGGTAGAGTCCTTGAGAGTGGTGATGTACAGTCCGAAGGTGTTGGCGGAGGGGGCAGCACCCATCTCCAGTAGCTCCTGATGGTACTGCTCAGCACGACCACGGTTACCAACGGTCAGGCATGCGCCGACCATAGCATCAAGAATGGAAGACCAGCCGTAGCGAACAACAGCATACTGAGCAAGCAGAGGAACATCAGCGCGGGCCATGCCGAGAATATCCTGGCACAGATCCATCTTGCCCTCTCTAGCCGCAGCTGAGATGAGCTTGGCGTAGGTTATGTATCGGGGGTGGCGGCCCGCACGGCGCATGTTGCGGAATCGGTTCAGTGCATCACTCAGGCGAGGACCCTTGCGGCCATGGCTGCCCTCGAGATCGTCGGCAATGAGAGAAGAACCTTTGAAGTCGGTGTTATGAGCATACGGATCGAAGCTATCCTCAAAAGACGAGACGGAGAGGGTGGACATAAAGGGAGAGGCGCTGATGGCCTGCTGGGGCGCACTAGAGACCTGTGAAGCTAGCTCACGGGGGTCAGTAATGCCACGGCTCTCCATGTAGCGAGCAATGAAGTCGACGCCTTCCTCGATCTCCTCGGCAAGCTCGGTGCGTGCGCTAGATTCGGAGGCACTGATCCTCTGGAACATGATTTCAGACTGAGCGAGCCCTTCAGCAATCTGGCCGGAGCCAATCAAGGCAACGGCGTACATGGTGGTCGGCTCAATGAAGGCGGCCGTAGCACGTACTTCGGGTTGGCTGAGAACGTGCCAGTACTTGGTGGCGGAGGCAACGTCGCCTTCACGGACGCTCATGGCAAGCATGGCCATGGCAGGGGCCTGAAGCATGTCAAAGGAGCCAGAAATGCCGTTGTAAGCTTCAGTGGCGGTAGCAACCTCGTTCTTATCGGCAGCTTCAATGGCAACACGAGCAAAGGCCTGGGGGCGGACCTGTGCCTCAATAGATTGAGCCCAGTACAATGCCTCCTCAAGGATACCGCGCGAGATGAAGCCCTTGACAAATCCAGTGCTGATGACAGCATCCTTGATGTCGGTAAATCGAACACCATACTCATCAACAATCTTCTTGAAGAACTTCATGGCGCCCTCAATCTTGTCTGAAATGACATAGGCGTTAATGACAGAGGCGTAGACTTGAGCATCCATACGATCGCGCAGGGTGGAGTTGCCGGTGTCGTTGGCAACAGCGAGGCTACGGTATTCGTTGTAGCACTCAACAGCACTGATAAGATCGCCGGCTGTAGCATAGGCGGTGATCATGGTGGGGAAAACCTCGGCATGAGGGACAGTGCGGGTGTCCTCCATATGCTCAAAGAGTCGAAGCATATCCGAAACGCGGCCAGCCCGGGCGCAAGCAGAGATGAGCTGCGAGTAGGTGGTTGAAGAGAACTTCGCAGTCCTAGCGTCAACAGAGGTATCAAACAGCTTGATGGCAAGATCAAGTCTGTCATCTTCGCAGAGAATAGCATGCTCGAACTCATGAGAAGCGAGCATAAACTTGCCAGGCTCCTCCATGCCGCCGAACCGCACACGCTTCTCCTCAAGCACGGCCTTCATGCTTGCAACTTCGAGGCAGCGCGAGGCCAACATTCTGACTAGGATGTCATAGGTTTGGCTGTCGGGAGTTATACGACGACGGAGCATGTCGGCATACACATCAAGAGCCTTGGAAACAACTTCAATCTTCTTGATGGGGATGTGGATAGCAGCAAGCAAAAGGGCGTTGTAGGCACCAGCAATAGGCTTGACGCCGGTGGCCAGCATAGCCTCGAAGACGGCAGGGATCTCAGCATGGCGACCAGCAGAGGATAGCTTGAGCAAGTGCTCAGCGTAAGACTGGGACTGGGGGTCGACAGGAGTGGCACTGCGGGAAATGCGCACAGGGCTAGCGGCGCGCGAGTGTACAGAGGCGACGTCGTCTTCGACACGGGTCTGGCGAGCTTCGATCTCGAGTTGGAGAGCAGCGTCGATATGGGCGAGGGCAGCAGCCTCCTCCGGCGTCATAGGTCGGGGAATGGTCTCTGCCTGGGCGCTGGCATCGTGCTCGCTGGCTTGGGCGAGGGCATCTTCGCTTGTGAGAACGGCGTCGGCATCGGGCTTCCACTCGAGAAGTTTGGGGAACTCGTACTGCTCCCACTCTTCATTCTCAACTTCGCCAGCGGCCTCTTTCTTCTTCAGAGCGTCAAAGTAGGCATCGAGGCCGCCATGGTTGAAGGCAAGGCGGTGGTCAAGAAGGGTGGCGGTGGTGCGGTCGCTGTGGAAGGCAGAACTAAGCTGGAAGGCAGCGAAACGTCCTTGTCTGTTGGTGTGCCTCCGCGCAAAGACGGGGCGGTTCTGGCTGTTTAGAACATGAGGGTGGGTGGCGGCTACGACGGACTGCGCGTAGCCATGAGAGGTGATGGATTTTGCGAATTGGGATCCTTGGCGGATGAAATTCGAGTAGAGGTTGGAGTAGATGGGCATTTAGAAGGAAGGTAGGGGAAGAGAGGGCTGTTAAACAAGTTAGCGGGGCCGTTGGACGGGTAGCCGAAAGGCGGCACGTTGCGCGCGCAAAGAAAAATTGGTGGTGAGGTGACTCACGAGGGATGTAGCTATATGCGATTGCAGGTTCATTTGACAGCGATCAAGGCCGTCAAACAAACGCGCGATAGGGGAAAGAATAATTAAATGGTGGTAATTCGGCGTATGTATATAATGAAGGAATTGAACGTAAACGAAAGTGTTTGCGTCCAATTGCTGAGACCCTTGAATTCAAAAAGAATGTATGGGCCAGCACACGATGGTTGGATTTGGTGTTTTGTGGTTTGGAAAAAAATGTGTAAGCTGAGAGAGAAATGCGGCCTGGGCAACGGGGGTAGATGAATGTCCAGGCATTCAAGGGGGGAGAAGGGAGGCAGCACTATGATTTACAGTGAATGAGGCGAATTACAGCGTGATGGGACCGTGAAAAGTGCGCTTTACAGGGCAGCAAGACACTAACGTAGGCCATCAGAGGCGCTAGAGCAGGAAGGGATGCGGGGATAAAAGGCATAATGCCGCCGGGATACAGGCTTCAAAAGGACTGTGCAGCTGTGGATTGGTGGCCAAGATGTGGCAAGTGGGTGCTCGGGACCGTTAGGGTGCAGCTATGGGGCATTACGGAATGACTCAAGGGCTCTCGAGGTATAGCCCCGCCGCACTGGATCTTGTCTCTTTTCCCTGGAGTTCATTTATTTATTAGTATTATGTTTACTTATTTTCTTAGTGGACGTTTGTTGGAACTGGGAGGCTGAGACGAGGAGCCTTGGCCGGTAAGCCCGTTGAGGCCGCTGGAGAGCACCCCTGCGCCCCCATATAATACCCGTTGTCCATCGCAGAAAATAGAACATTCTGGTGTTGCTGTGACCCAGGGAAAAGGAGCTCCGGGTCAAGATGCTATGATGCTGGATGCAGCGAGTAAAATGAGTGGCGTCGACAGCATAAATCGAATCTTCTTCATCTCAGACTCAAAGAAGCTGGGAGAGCGTTGAGGGCACGTGAAAAGTTGATGTCGCGGCCTGATGATCGATCGAATATGCTGACTGGCACATTCCCATGCGGGCGGCCAGTGGCTGCCTCTAATAACACTAATAAGGTAGTAAGGCCAAGCTGTCGCGTCGCCTGGGTACCTACTCCGTACATACCTTAGTAGGTAACTAGGTAACTAGTTAGCTACCTACGACAACTCTTCCTTTTTGTGCCATGGGTGCGTGGAAGAAGCCGGAAACCACGTCGCTGCCACACCCCTGTCTTGGTTCAGCCCGGCTGACAGGGCTCTGGAGCAATAGGCTCATCTACCGGACATGACGAGGACCGCTACACGCGAGCGACCATCAAGGGGCAGAATGGTCCACACGCCGCGACAAGAACGAAATGAACATTGCAAATAACATATCCACCATCATTCATTGGTTTTACACTCAGTTCTTTTCCCGTAGCATCAGAGACACCTAGATCCGCAGTCCTGATTCAATAGAGTGGCGACTCGGCCAGGCTCCTCATTGTCGTCGGCGCGCAGCAAATATATTTATAGCATGTTCTGACTCTCGAAGATAGGAAGATAGGGCTAAGAAATGAGTGAAAAAAATGCAAGTGGCTGTTGATGTGCGAAATGTACGAAATGCCACGTCTCCTTTCACGCTGGCTTCTATGCGGCGTATGCCACTCTAGTTATCAAAAATGAAAGAAACAACTGGCAGCACAATTTCCTCTTCAGGGCTAAGCCGCGCCTGTCGTCAACGTCAGCATTTCATTTATTAGTGGACTCGCTGCGTTGCAAGCTTTTCGCTGTCACATGGCTGCGCCCACGAAAATGTCCCGTCAAAAAGCCTCACAGGCCTGCGGATGCTGCGGAGCGGAGCGGCACAAGGTTGCCCGCCCAAAGTAACAGCCGGTCCGTTCATCGCATCACCCGCAAAACCGGTATAGGCTGGACTCGTAGGGCTTTGCTTTGTTACTAGCTCTTCACCTTTCGGTCATGAATACTTGTCCGGGCCCGAGATTCTCTGGCCGACCCCGATTTCCATATCTGTCCTCGAACGCCCGATCGCGCAGCAGCCCAAAGCAGCGCTTGATTTCGTGGCTGTCAGCTCGGCTCCCTAGCTTGGTATTCTTACCCTGCCCATTGACGCAGCCAGGTCTCTTTGAATCTGGGGGGGCTTCATCCTGAATGCGCATATGGCCTGGATGCATACAAATTACATGACAGGTTGATGTTTGCTCGTGCTTCAGCTACACTAGGGCTTCGACTAAGCCGTCACCGTCGCCCAGCCATGGCACAAGAAGCTCACAATCCAATAAAAATGTTTTCTCCAAAGCCGCATGCATTGCACTGGCCCAGATGTAGTCCCATCCTCTTGACCATTATGGTGAGATGGAAACGCCTTGCTGGCAGGGTTATCTTATCCATCTTATCGGGGAAGGGGACCCAGAAAAAAGTCGTCAAAAACTATCACCGCCCGCCACCATTCCCTGTCGCCAGACACATACTGATCAACGACCTTCGGCACTCTATCGCGAGCGCCTGTCTAAAAATATGGCGGACGATGGCATGCTACTAAACTTTGACTTTGGGAGCGTTCCCATAAAGCCCCTGGTCAAATTCAAAGGCGGTCGTTGGCGAGACAGAAAACAGGCTGAGCGAGGCGCTCGACCTCCTGGTGCAGACGGTAGCCCGCCCGCGCGACGCCCTCCGAGGGATCCTAGGGAGCGCTTCGACGACTCCAACCGACCTTTTAAACGCCGCAGAGCCGACGCAGGTGATGAGCCTGCCGCCAACCACCAACCAAACACCCGACCCAGTCATATCAAAATCGAGCACGGAGGGCTCAGGCCACCTTTTGACAGCCGCAGAAATGGCCCCGGCAGCGGCAATAAGGGCACCAAGCAAGTGGTCTCGAGTCTCTTCAGCTTCAATCCTGAGCAGAAAACAGTTTTTGAGGACGAGGAGTGGTCGGCCCCGACCCCTACCAACGCGCCGCTCGCCGACGTGGCCAACTTTGGCACACTCACACTCTCGTCCCGACTGGTCGAGGAGCTCAGCAAGATGAGCCTGGAGCGCCCGACTGCGATCCAGCAAAAAGTCATTCCGCACATGATTACCGGCAGCGCCGACGCATTTGTGCAGGCCGAGACCGGTTCCGGAAAAACATTTTCATATCTCCTACCCATCCTTCACCGCGTGCTGCAGCTCAGCGCGCAAAACGACGGCAAGCAGGTGCACCGCGATTCCGGCCTCTTTGCCATCATTGTGGCGCCGACCCGCGAACTGGCCAAGCAGACACATACGGTCCTCGAACAGCTCATCAGGCCCTTCCCCTGGCTCGTCTCGACGGCCATTACTGGTGGCGAGTCCAAAAAGGCAGAAAAGGCGCGCATCCGCAAGGGCGTAAACTTCTTGGTCGCCACACCGGGTAGATTGGCCGATCACATTGACAACACACAGGCCTTGAGCCTCGAGACCGTCCGATGGCTCATTCTCGACGAAGGCGATCGGCTGATGGATCTTGGATTCGAGGACGATCTTCAAAAGACGATTGACGCGCTTCGTGACGTTGAGATAGCCAAGGAGACCAGTAACGGAACATCACTAGCCACACTTCCTGACCGCCGGGTCTCGATTCTCTGCTCCGCCACCATGAAAATGAATGTGCAGAAGCTGGGCGAGATGAGTTTGGCCGATGCTGTTTTTCTCTCTGCCGACAAGGGTGAGATGACCGCCGACGAGAACATTGAGCACAAGGCTCCTGCGCAGCTTCATCAATCCCACGTTATCGTACCAGCGAAGCTCAGATTAGTCACCCTCGCTTGCTATCTCAAATCCATATTCTCTCGCAAAGGGCATACGATGAAGGTAATCGTCTTCATGTCCTGCGCCGATGCCGTCGATTTTCACTACGAACTATTGCGGAACCCGAATGACACCGAAGCACCGCCAGCACAACCAAATGACCTGGAATCAGTCTCCAAAACTGTGGCCAGAGCAGCATACCTCACTTCTCAAGCTAGCCCCGAGGTCATCCTACACAGGATGCACGGTTCCCTTACTCAATCCGTCCGATCAGCCACTTTGCGCACATTCTCCGCTTGCAAGCTGCCTTCGGTATTGATCACGACGGATGTATCCTCGCGAGGTCTCGATATTCCATCCGTGGACCTCGTCATCGAATACGATCCAGCCTTTAGCTTTGCCGACCACATTCACCGTATAGGCCGAACTGCTCGTGCCGGTCGCGCCGGTGAGGCCATGCTCTTCCTGCTCCCCGGCTGCGAGGAGGGCTACGTCGAGCTCCTGCGCGCCTCGGGCACCCCCACCGCGCACTCCTACGAGGCGATCCTCCAAAAGGGACTCATGTCCAAGCTCGAGTTCCCGGTCCAGACGTCGGCCAAGCTGACCGAGGGGCAGACATACCACGAAAAGGCCGAGACAATGCAGCTGCACTTGGAGCAGCGCCTGCTCGAGGACCCCAGGCGCCTCGAGCTGGCCCGCAACGGCTTCAAGTCCCACATCCGCGCCTACGCGACGCACACCAAGGAAGAACGCGGTCACTTTAACATGGCAGAGCTACACCTGGGTCACACCGCCAAGAGCTACGCCCTGCGCGAGCCGCCGCGGGGCGTCGGCTCCGGTATCGACAGAAAGGTGCGCAAGGGCGGCAAGAAGGGCCATGCGCCGGGGCCCAAGAACGACGACCAGGAGCAGCCGGTGAACGAGGGCGCGGCGAGGAGCCTCCTGAGAAAGAAGGGCATGATGCTGATGACGGGCGCGGACGAGTTCAATATTGGGTAGATGGTCGAGCCCGGTGACTGGAAAAGCGTTGCATTTTTTTAGAGCGAATATACATAGAACACTCGAGTGTTAATGAAGCGCACATTTGACTACTCAGATCTTTCGTGTGCTGACACGCTATTGTCGTCGACTGTTGAGCAGGTTATGTGATAACTCTGTGAGTCTCGAATCCCATATATAGGACTTTTTCAAGGCTTTTGGCTGTCGTTTTTCATGGAAGTAATGGACTAGATAACTTTTCATCGTTGCATGTTAATCGTGACGCTTTGGTGGCCCACATCAATAGCTTCACATGCTCAACTGGAGACTGACTGGCAGCCTAGCTGGCAGCAGGGAAACCAAATAAACCCCCGGTTGAGTAATACTATTTATTATCTTTCTTATTCTTTTAATTTCTTAATTCCAACTATCTTCTTAGTCTTATCTTTCTTCCCTACTTAGTCTTTTTATTCTTCTAGTATTCTTATTATATTTCCCATTCTCCTTTTAATATAGTGTGTAGACTACCGGTTCTGGCCAATCTTTTTTCCCTACATTTATGCCTGATGATCCATCGGAACAATGGGAAAAAACAAGTTGGTGGAGAAGATGTTTCCCTCTCGAGAACGCGCATAACGTTTCGCGACTTGAAATATATGTGACGTCATATTCGTCATATTCGTCATACTCGATGACATCCCTGCTCAAGTTGGGGCAGCAGTTCCAAGTTGGACCGACAATATAACTATCTAACATTTCTTAAGCATCAAACCTTTGCGAATTCTGTTGTTTATCGTCTTGCCGTTCTGTCTACGGCTCAATGCACGCAGGTCCCGCCTCATCAATACACAAGAACCCTCTACGCACAGCATGTCTTCCAACGAGAACAACAACAATAACGCCGTCGCGCCCGGCAACGGCAACACCGCTGCTGACAAGGTCACCGGCGCAGCCAAGTTTGTCACCGGCGCCATCGGCAACACCCTCGGCGGCGTGGGCCGCACGGTCGGCAACGTAACCGGTGCCGCGGGCAAGGGCGTCGGCGACACCTTCAACAACGTCACGGGCGACCGGGCCAAATTTGTCGGCGACGGCGTCTCCGGCCTGGGCACAGGTATCCAGAGCGGCCTTGGCAGCGTGTCGCAGGGCGTCGAGAATGCCGGCCAGTGGAAGCTGGGAACCGGGGGACAGGCGGAAAAGCCAGCGGAGAAGAAGGAGCAAATATAAGTCATCGCTGTGTCTTTTCGGGAACAGATGATATCCACGTCAAATAATAGTTTAAGGGTGTAATCAAGACACCAGGATGTTTCTCTCCATCTCTCGATTATTTGATGCTTGATTATTTCGATGCTTGGTATTTCCTGTCGTTAAGACTGTAGCAATCCAAAGTCTGGGTCCAGACCACAAAGCTCACATTTTCCCATTTCATAAAGTACAGGTCGTAAATACAGCAGTAATGAAGTGCTAGACTTTCCTCATCCTAATTTACTCCACCTTAATTGGCATCGTCCAGGTCCTGCGGTAGCCCGGCGGCTGCTAGAAATTATCGTTCGGTTCTTGGCGATACAGACTGCTTAGACCTGCTCGGCGCCCCAGCCAGCAGCATCGGCCTCGCGCATGTTGGCAGGGGGTTCGATGGATGGGACAAACTCGAGAGCAATGTAGGCGATGCCGATAACACCCACAACACCACCCGCGATATTGCTAATAATCTTTTCACCGAGAAGGAGGCAGCCGAGGAAGACGTAGACTGGTGCTGATGTTAGCGCAATTTCAACAGAGGTAGAAAGATTACAGGTTCGACGAGTCAGAGGTTGGACGTACAGACACCACGGCCGACAAAGGAGAAGAGAAAGTTGGCGTAACGGGACACCTGCGGAGGGATCTGGAACTCTGTGGCGGCTGTCAGCAACGGGTTTCGTTATCAGTTCGACATAGATGCTCGTTCGTACCGAGGAGGCCAACGGAAAGACCGAAAATGATCATGTAGATGCTGAGGACAATCGCGCGCCTATTTGGTTGAGTTAGCATGCGAGCGAGGGAACGCCGAAAGCGATAGAAGAACGTACAGTCCACCACTGAAGAAACCAAAGATACCGCCGAGAACGGTAATGGCACCAACAGCCAAGTTGACAATGCGACTAGACAGCGGGCGCGTTCGTTAGCAAGGTGTCAACCGGGGAGGCGCGGATCGCAGCGTAGCGCAGCGGCCTCCAAACAATGACAACAACATACAAGATGTCGGAGAGCTCCATGGTGACGGTCTTGAGCGGCGCAAACGGCTTGTAGAGCGGTGATGGGGGGATGAAGCGATGGCGATTGAGGGTCCGGGCAGCAGATAGATGCAATGGAAACGACTCCAGGCAGCTATTTAGGGAAAAACTTGGTGGCTTGAGGTTGTCCAAAGAGCTCCCCAATTCCACGCCAAGGATACGTATTAAACTACGTAGGGGATCCACTCTAGGGGCTGGAGGCTGTGCAGGCTGCGAGCAGTTGTCACTGTCCCACATGAAAGACGGACACACCGCCTGCCTGTACCGACGAGATCCAAATTCTGCCGCTTGTTCAATTTGGAGCTGGGGCCATTTGGGCCATTTCGTGCATTTATTCAGCCATCAAACGCTGATCCTTGTGAGCACGATTACTGGCAACTAAATGGGCTGATGTAAACAGCTTTGTGCCGCATGATTTTTTGAAACATACGAAGCCTTTGGCTTCCCACACTCTCTATGATTCTGTCAACGGTTGCGCGTGCGACCCGTAGGCTCGCCGCGACCAGTTGTCGCCGCAGGTCTGCTGTGACGCTCAACATTGGCAAAGCCACGCTGTACAGCTCATTGGCGCAAGGTTACCATGCAAGTCGATTAAAAGATATTCGAAACATTGGCATCATTGCTCACGTCGATGCGGTTCGTAGCCTCTCTGTCGCACCGCAGTCTTGCCAGCCAGACTAACCGCTTGCGACAGGGCAAAACGACGACAACGGAGCGCATGCTATTTTACAGCGGCGTCACGTCCCGCGTCGGCGATGTCGACTCCGGAAACACTGTCACCGACTTTCTCGAGCTCGAGCGCGAGCGCGGCATCACCATCCAGTCGGCCGCCATCACGTTTCCCTGGCCGCGCAAGGAGCACTGTCCCCCAGGCACCAGCCCCACGACGGTCAACCTCATCGACACGCCCGGCCATCAGGATTTCCGGTTCGAGGTCGACCGCTGCCTGCCGATCCTCGATGGTGCCGTCTGCATCATCGACTCAGTAAAAGGCGTCGAGGCGCACACGGAGCGCGTCTGGGGCTCGGCGCATGAGTTCCGCATCCCGCGCCTTGTCTACTGCAACAAGCTAGATCGCGAGGGCGCCTCATTCCGGAAGTCGGTGCTGGAAATCGGCAGCCGTCTCAAGGGTTGGCCGCTCGTCTGCCAGATTCCGTGGTGGGAGAATGACGAGTTTGTCGGCGTCATTGACATTATCGATTCCGTCGGGTACCGATACAGCGATAAAAAGACAATAAAATATGAGAAAGAGGAGCTGATGAGAAAACTTTCGTCGTCCAATGCCGATCTTGTTCAAGAGGTAGGCGTCGCTCGACAGCACCTAATTGAAGGCTTGGCCGAATTCGACGACGTGATTATGGAAGAGTTCCTGGCCGAAAATACAGATATCCCCTCTACAATGATAAAGGAAGCTCTGCGCAGGGCTATTCAGAGTGGCGATGGCCGTGCCATCCCGGTCTTTGCTGGCTCAAGTTTTCGCCATATTGGAGTTGAACCTCTGATGGATGCCATTGCCAGTTATCTTCCGAATCCATCCGAGAGGCCTGACGTCAATGTTCGCATAAGCGGCGCGTCCCACAAACTAAGCAATGCTCTCCAGGGTGACTCAAAACAAGCTGGTGCGAAGCAAATTGCGTCAATATCATCTGTTTTCAAGGTATTTGAGCATCCCAAGGAGGGCATCATCAGCTTCGTGCGAGTTTATCATGGTACTTTGGCTCGGAGTGCGGCCACGTTCAACACCAATATAGCAATCAGCGAGAGCCCTATGGGCATTCTGCAAATATCAGCAGACAAGACGCATGATGTCCCGGAGCTATCGGTCGGCCAGATTGGTGCCCTTCGAGGATTGAAAAAGGCTCGAACTGGAGATACATTGATTACCACGACAAACAGCAAAGCTCCCCATGCAGCTCTACGAACCTTGCAAGTCCGACCGCCAGAGATTCCCCCTCCGGTCGCATTTCTACAGGTTGAGCCATATGGCAATGTGGCTGCACATCAGTTACAAGTGGCACTAGAGAACGCGTCGCGGCAGGACCCGAGTTTACGATGGAGTCGCGATCCCAAGACGGAGCAGTTCACCGTGCAGGGCATGGGTAAGCTTCATCTGGACGTTTCTCTTCACAACATGAGGCAAAAGCACAAGATTGATGCCGAATTTGGGCCCATCGAAGTCGACTACAAAGAATGCCTCATGGTGGCGGCGCAGCCGCAGAGGATTGTGTTTGACAGGCCGGTCGCCAGCAAGGCTGGCAAAGTCACCTGCACCGTAACTCTAGAGCCGTTAGAGGCTCACCACCGCGAAACGCTGCAAGAGTCGTGCATTGAGCGAGACGGAAACATGTTTCACATTGTGATTCCGGACGAGCTTGCTGCAAACTTGGACTTGGACGAGGCCCACCAGCAGCTTCTCAACGGCGCCATAGCCGGTCTCGCGCGCGGCCCGCGCCGCGCCGCGCCGCTTCACGGGTGCCTAGCGACCGTCGAGCTCGGCGCCTGCGAATCACCCACTGGCGGCCACTTTAGCTCGGCGGCCCGCACGGCCGTGCAGGGCAGCCTGCGCAGCGCCTTTGACAAGGGCCAGGTCGGCGTCGTCGAGCCCATCATGCTGGTGCACATTATGTGCCCCGAGCAGGCTGCCGGCACGGTGCAGCACGACATCTCCGCGGGCGCTGGCGGGCAGGTGCTCGAGGTGAATGACCGGTCGGCGGGCTCGGGCGGTGCGGGTGGCGCCGGCGGCACCGGCGGCGAGGACGATACGCCGCTGATTGACGTGAGTCGCATCTACGCGCCGCCAGACCCGTACGACTCGGTGACGTCGCTGCGCGGTAAGCGCTCGGCAGCGCGGATGGTGGAGATTGTGGCCAAGGTGCCGTACAAGGAGATGCTCGACTATGACGACCATTTACGAAGCAAGACCTCGGGGCGGCACTCGATGACCATGACCTTTGACTCGTTCGCGCGCGTGGTCGGACACCGTGAAAAGGGACTGTAATTGGCCACTGTATAATAAACGAATGTATATAGACTTGTAGACTAATATATGGCGTGCTAGTACACGTCCACATCTCGCCCTCCTTGACTTGCCTCGTCTTTGCAAAACCGCAGCGTGAAAGAAGCTTTTAAATCTAGGAATTTTGATAAAGCGTCGCGCTCGTCGCCTATAGCTGCGTACACGTACACGAGGTAGAGGATGGTATGTGAGACCATTGCCGTCACAGGTGTAATAAAACCACTTGAGGAGTGTGACTCAGCGTGTGCCACTGTGCAGCCTCCAGGGCCTCTTACTTATTAGCCACTACCTTAGTAGTAGTCTATACGGGGCCAGCTTCCCTTCGCCAACACTGCTGCAACCATGGCAGGTCAGGATCTGTTCCCCGACGGGGTTATACTGCAGCCAATCTTCGACGAAACAGTGCAGGACTGCAGAATTTCCATCATCTTACAGACATGGGATAAGTGCGTTTTCAAGGTAGCCCCGGCTGCTTTGCCTGCCGGCCGGTACAAGCTGCCAGTTATTGTTCGTTTGGAGTCCGCATCCGCTAGTCTGGCCCCTCAGTTTGCACTCACTGCCGAAATCCAGAAATTAGCATCGGAAAGTTTACCAGGGCTTGTACCGTCTGTTCTACAGTTAGGCAAGGTGCACAACTCAACTGGTCGCGAATATTGCTTCTCTGTTGTCGAGTTCGTTGATGGCGTTACACTTGAGACTGTTTGGGCCGATTTGAGGGAAGAAAACAAAAGATTGGTTGTCAACGACATCGCTGAAGCTCTCACGGAGCTTCAGAAACGGAAATTGGAAGATGAAGCTATCCAAGGTGTTTTGGCGCAGGCGGCAGATGGCCAGAAAGATGACCTACTGTCCAAACCACTTTATTTTGGAGGTGCTCACACAATGGCATTGACCACTGGCTCGTCTCTATTGGATGCTGTCATGGAAAGGAGGAAGCTCAAGCGAGAATTCTGCGACATCGAGAAGGAAGAAAACTCGATGCGTGTTACGGTCAAGTCACGTTTCGGTGACCTCGGTTCAGTGACTATCGAGAAGCGAGAGCTGGATCAATGGAAAGAGCAAGCCGTTCTCTGCCACAATGACTTAACACCACGGAATCTGCTTTTAAAAAAAACTTCAAACGATACCGCAGAGAGCCTCGTGGAGTACAGGTTAGCTGCGATCATTGACTGGGAATTGGGTGGAATGTATCCATCAGCATATGAGATGCAGCTTCAGGATACCTATCTTGGTGGTGGAAATCGTCATGTGTCCTTCTACCTGATGCTCAAAGAAGCGATGCAATCAATAGTGCCTTGCAACAGAGCACAACAAGATCTTTTGCGGGCCGTGGAACTGATTTTCGAATCGCAACAGCGCTTTCTCTTCGAAGGTTCCAACATTCCAGCTCAAATTCGTGTGCGGTTTTTACAGTATTGTAACCTGACAAGGGATCAAAACATTTATAGGGGGTGGACAAATCAGGTAGAGAATTCCCCGACCTATGATGCCGACATTATACAGAAGATCGAAGACGATGTGATTGCAGAAGTTATGGCAAAGCGTGCAGCAAAGAAGCAATCTGAATCATCGAGAGAACAGTGATGGAAGGCAATAGAGCTAGTATCCAAAGACCCTCATTAAGAGTAAACCCAGGATATATTTGAAAAAAAAAGGTTGAATTTGATAAAGGTGATCCTAGCATTGGTATAATCCGATTTCGAAATGGATTAGCCCCGATGGAAAATCGCGAATGCTTGCCTAGAGCTCGCTCGCTCGGTACAATTGTAGAAAGCACTATAATGTTACCACTCCCCTGACCAACTCCAGTGATTCTATTATCTTAAATAATAATATTTTTGCCCCTCCAACTCCGCTGAGGGATACTGGACTTTGTCACTCGACCTGTACGGCGGAGACTGCTCTGAATGGGGGCTGTACAATGGTCGCGGTGGAGATCCACCATGTGAGACTTAGGGCAAGATAGAGCACCAGCATTCGTGTGGGTGCCCACCACTTTTGCTGGCGCACATGGTAAATGTGTGATACACCATGAGAGTGCCATTCTAATAAGCACCTGCTCGCGCGTTAGCCGCCCTGATAATGGCATTCTTTCATATCTAAGCCCATCATCTTGAATCATTCCGTTTACTACATGACTGCCAACGCCGCCGACGAGCGAAAGCTGCGTAAGCGACTGCAAAACCGCGCCAATCAACGAGAACGAAGTGAGCATGCTGACCCAAAATATGATGGCGCCATATTCTCGCTCCATACGCCGCCATGTTCGCGAAAAAACTAACAGACTATACCAGGGTCGCGCCAGAGACAGGAGACGCAAACCAACAGCAATAGTCATCGCCCATACCGGGTGGACAGGTGGCGGTACACCTATCACCATGACACGGAAGAATCCAACAAGCGCAGTGATGCAGTTTCGGATCCAGCTTCTAGCCAGCGCCACGCCGTATCAAGCCTCGCTTTGAGATGCAGGGTGCCAGACCAAGCGGCATCCAACCAAGTGGCGACCCATCACTTCACGCCTTGTCCCACCCAGGATCACTTATTGCACCTCATCCAGGTAAATCTGTTGCGGGGCCTCTTTGATAACAAATTGGCGCTTCTGTCCTGTGCAGACTATCTCACTATTGGCGCCGCAGCCGAGCTGCAGATTACCGCGCCCTGGCTTGTCTTTCCCGGCCGTGCCGCCATCGTACCGAGCGCCGGCGACATCCCGGGCTCTCTTTGGCCGACGCCACTGCAAGGCACCGTCATCCATGCCACCTGCATCGATCTGGTTCCCTTTGCAGAGCTCCGCGACCGCATGATTGCGTGGGAGGGCCGTTTTGACTTTGCTGACCTCTTGCATGACCTCATTGGCAACCTCGTCGACCCGACCTGTTTCTTTACTGGCCTTCCAGGTCAGAAGAAGTCGATGACAGACAAGGCTACAGTACTGTACCACGGGCAAGAGGATCAAGATTATACTGCAAATCGGAATGGCCTCATACTGTGGGGCGAGGCGCATCTCCCAGAGAGCTGGGAGGTGACTTTGGGGTTTTTGCGTAAATGGGGCTGGCTGATTGAGGGCTGTCAGGACCTTATTGATTCTAGTAATCGCTGGAGAATGGCTCGGGGAGAGGAGCCGCTGACCCTCTGCACATCTGCGCGGGTTAGAGAGGGCTTAACGGTGGATGCGAGGTTACCGCCAACGCCTTTCAAATGAAGAGGCACCAAAGATATATGTAATTTGATAGAATACCATAGAAGACCACAAAAAGTCCGTAATCTAGTACGTTATCCCAGTTATTTCTCTAATTTCGCCGACAATATGTGCCCATAGCCGATCCTCCACGCCACTATCGCGTGCTTCAACAAGTCGTTTCTCAACATCCTCAGACGCTCTCTCACACAAGGCGCCTACATTATAGCTGCCGCTGCCTAGTTTCCCATGAGTACCCGCGGTAGCAGCCGTTCCGTCCGGGAGCGGAACACCTGCCGCGGCACCAGTGGCGGGTGGAAAGGCTGCGCTGGTGGCGCCGTACAGCTGCAGCACAGACGACTCCTCTGGGGTGATAAACTTGAGAAACAGCGGGCCAAGTAGCGTAAGCGCCATGCGTAAAAGAATCATGGCGCCTTTCGCGTCTTTGCCAAAGGGGGTCTTGACGGCGCCCGGGTAGTTGTGAATGAAGCTCACGTCTGGGGCCTTCCTGGCCAGAACATTGTGCGCCATGGAGATCATTGAGGCCAAGTGACCACGTGCCATGAAGGGGTGCTTTGATCCGTATTCGGACCAGTTGTTCTCGCCAACAGGTCCCTCGTGACCAGCGGCAAAGACGGAGACGACTCGCTTCAGACCGGACGCTTGTTGAAGAGCAGGCAAGAGTTGAAGCGTAAAGAGAATGCGCGAGGTAACAGGGAGGACGTATGCTTTGGTTAGTCCTTCTGTTGTTTCTTTTAGAAGAAAAATCAGCAGTTAGCCAAAGTCTTCTCAGTTGTCGTCAACCCGGCACAACTCACTATCCACTTGCAGACCTCCCTGTGACTGAAACAGCAGATTGACAGTCTTGGTCTCTGCCAAAATTTGGTCGCATACTTGCGTGACATTGTTCAAAAGGCTGACATCCGACTCAATAAATGTGTACTGCCCCTCGGGATTCAGCTTGGTGCACTCGGAGACGATGCGGTCGGCCGCCTCCCGGGACCGGCCGACGAGATAGATGCGCGGGCTCTTGGCGTGCTCGGCGAAGCGCTTCAGGGCGTGTTCGCCAATGCCGCTAGTGCCGCCGACAAAGACGGCCACCATGCCGGACGGCAGACTGGTGGCAATCTTTGCGTTGGAGGCCTGGGCAGCGGCTAGGGTGACCATGGTGAGGAGATGGAATACAGGGGAGAAATGGAGGTACTTTTCGTGCTTCAACTGCGGTTTACATGTCGAGCTTAATATACATCCTACAGGCACTCTAATCGCCTAGATCGAGATTGGCTGACACTTTTATCTATTTTAGGAAATGGGCCGACGATCCCTCTAGTCGTCCGCTCGCCGCTCGCCGCCGTCATTCTCGGACAAGGCGCGGATGACACGTTTTACCAGATTAGGCCGGCCGGAGTAAATATTGTTCATCGTGGTGTGTACATGTCCCGCCAATAAAGCGATGAAACTATCGTATAGTGCATAGCAATATCCGGATCTAGCCAAGTACATGTCTTGACTGATCTTCGCCAGACCAACAGCCCCGGGCTTTCAGTGGGTCGTCCCATCACTGTAGTGCCTCGTGTCGTTTGTTTGATGGTCACTTTGCTTCCTTCTTTTGCATCCCATCCACACCTGCAATTATGCCTGTCATACAACCTCACGCTAGGCCCCAAATCTGCTCCCCTAAGACCGATCAGCAAAGATTACACATATTCATCAGTCGCGGACTAAAGCCAGGGACGACCTGCCCCATTCTCGCCGCGCAAAGGGTCTCCGTAGACTCAACAAGATTGGTTCCAGGCAAACGAGTCATGCGATCGATTTGAATCTGGGCACAAATTTACAGGTGGGCTTCTCGAAGCTCAAGTTAATTGCTCACTGGAACAAGTACCCGTGGTGTATACTGCATATGGTCCGTCGTCATGCAGCACACATTCCAGGATAAATCCTCCAGGGTCTGGGGACTGGACATATGCATCGACAGCCTCCATCACCGCAATGCTTGCCAATAATTGGGTAATACACGACCGACTCTACCCGTTACCTGGAGATGGAGAAGACTAAAGCAATCTGGATTTGATATTTGAAAGACCTCGGGTGGCCAACTACCAACTAACGAATCAAAGGAAGAACCCACGTTTGTTCGCGGACACACTTCGATACAACCCGTCTGGGCTATTCATACTGCAGATGATGGTGCACAGGTTGGGACACGAGTGAATTTTTCTAAATGGCCATCGAAGCGAGCCGGGACAAACAATAGGTCGCAGCTCTAGAAGCATTTGCGATGGACAATCGAAGGGCCAGCCTCATCATACTCCTGCTTGGAAATCCAGAGCTGCTGGAATGACGAAAGCGAGGCCAGGATCGATCCACCAATCCAGACGGAGTATTTTCGCTCGGGCGGAGCGATAATTTTCACCCTCATCGATGATGGCGCGAGGCCAGTCAACTCCTTTTGCATGCGATCGGCCATGCCAGGGAACATGGTCGTGCCACCAGACTACAAAGCAATGGTTAGTCTAGGCGACGCCGTGTAATAAGCAGCCAAGTGGACGATTCACTCACCATAACAACGTTGTTGTAGAGATCCTTTCTGACGTCGACGTCGCATTTGATGATGGAGTTGAGCACCGTCTCATGAATGCCGCCGCTTTCAAGCCCAAGTACAGATGGCGTGAACAACGCCTCGGGAGCACGGAAGCGTTCGTTACCGATGGTGATGACCTGCCCATCGGGAAGTTCGTACGACTTTTCCAGCGCCGAACTTTGCGCGGCCGTTTGAAGTTCCTGTTCGAAATCAAGCGCCACATAGCACAGCTTTTCCTTGACGTCACGAACAATCTCGCGTTCAGCCGTTGTCGTGAAGGCGTAACCACGCTCGGCCAGAATCTTCATGAGATAGTCTGTGAGGTCGCGACCTGCCATGTCGATTCGAGCAATTGCATGAGGGAGCGCAAAGCCTTCATAGATGGGCACGACGTGGGTGACGCCATCGCCGGAGTCAAGCACAATGCCTGTGGTGCGGCCAGACGCGTACAGAGACAAGACGGCTTGGATCTGGACATAGAAGGCAGGCGCATTAAAGGTTTCGAAAATGATTTGGGTCATTTTTTCGCGGTTCGACTTGGGGTTGATCGGGGCCTCGGTCAGCAGAATGGGGTGCTCTTCGGGGGCAACACGAAGCTCGTTGTAAAAGGTGTGGTGCCAGATCTTTTCCATGTCATCCCAGTTGGTGACGACGCCATGTTCTATGGGATAGCGGAGGCTGAGAATGCCTCGTTTGGACTGGGCTTCATCGCCGACGTACGAATCTTTCTGCCCCATGCCGACCATAATTCCATGGTGGCGAGGTCGGCCAACGATCGATGGGAAGACGGCTCGGGGTGCATCGTCACCGGCAAAGCCAGCTTTGCACATTCCAGAGCTACACTTGCATCAGCTTTCATGTCTTTCACGGCGTACTGCGAAGCCTTGTGCGGTCAAGGAGTATCGTTCTATCTTGTTGCGACTTCTAACGCTTACCCATTATCGATGACCAGAGCGGCAACGTCTTCGTCCATGATTGAAGGATACAGAAAATGTATTTTATCAACGACCGCTGGTTTCACAATAGAGACAAGGACAAATGCTGGTGTCGATGGAGGTTACGGAGGAGTGGTTGAGGGACTGCTGAACCGTGTGGCAGTAGGTATTGAAGCACCACGCAAGAGATGAAAAAGGCAGCGGCATACAACCGCATATTAAAAGGCGGGGCTATCGGGTTTTCCGCCACCTCAAATCCAACGATTACGAAGAATAGGCAACGCTATAAGGGCCAGCCAAGCGAACAGGCTCGGTGGCTGGGGGTATACAAACGCTGCGGCTGTGTACCGTGAGGCTTCGCCCCAGTTTCTGTGTTCAATACAGATGCCTAATTTTTGAATGAGCAGGCAGCAGGTTTGGGTACCAAAAAGGTCGGAACTTCTCAGGTCTGACAAGATCAGAAGGGCAGCCAAGTCCGCTAGGCACCGGTTTAACGCGGGTGGAGATGCGTGCGTATACGCGCCAGACCAGGAACATGGCTGCATTCTAGTAAGACTCCAATTTGGGAGATCAATTGGCAGGGTGAATTAGCACGGTAATACGCCTGAATCACGGAGTTGCGGGCCTTGAGAGGACCCGACTCCTACATCTGGACCGACGAAGGCCGCGTGTAAACCCCATTTCGAGCCCTTTTGCGTCGGCTGGTTCAGACTAGCGCAGCCTAACGGCTATTTTTATTCGCAATGCTAATCAGAAATCCAAGTGTTCCACTCCTTTCGACAGCTGTGGTGGAATTTCCTGTTCAACGCTGATGCCTTACATGGCCGTGTGAACGAAGACTCGCCTCCCACGTCGCAAGTGGAAAAGGGTGCTGGTGGAAAAAGAAATCAACCCACTATGTACGCGTCATCGTGTCCAAGGCTGCTACATATCACAATTGTACAGAGTCGTGGCCGAGTTCGCCTCTATCTTTGCTGCTGCCTGGAGTGTGTTGCGGATGATTGACGTATTGGCGTATGCAGCGGGGTTGATGTCTTAAATGCACACTTACACCGCGCATCGACGTCGCGCGAGCACAACATGTCGGGTTTTTTATACCATTGCTTTGCCGAAAATGTACAGTTGAACTAGAGGTACTATCATGGATTTCCCACTGGGACGGCTCCCGCCAGAGGTGCGGCAGCTCATCTGGGAGGCGACCCTCCCCGACCAGCGCGTCTTTCACGTCAGCAAACTCAGCGACGCTCCCGCAAGGCCCCAGACGACCGACATTGCTGAGCGGCGCGCGAAGACGTTCAGCTTTCACGTCCGCCACCCGCCACCCGCAATCCACGGAATCTGCCGCGAGTCGCGCGCCATGCTGCTGTTGCGCGGGTATTTCCTCCCGTGCGGCGCAGACACACCGTCCACCACGGGGCCGTGGTTCAATCCGCAGCGCGACGTGCTGTATTTTGACCGCAACATGCGGTACTGCCTCAAAGCCAAGACGGCCCTCGACGTGGACGGCCTGGAGCGCGTCCGGCACGTGGGGCTCGAGTGGCGCGCCTGGTTCCGCGACGTGCCGCGCCTGGCCGACGACGGGGACATGCACCAGCGGTGGGCGGCGGCCATGCGGGCGCTCCTGCGGCACTGTCCGCGCGCCGAGAGCATGAGCTTCGTGCTGCCGCGCGTGCGTCATGTCGGCGGCATCCCGTCCGGCCGCGAGCCGTACCGCGCGGAGCATCACCGCTGCGACTTGACGCGGCTGCCGGAGGGTGTGCAGGTCCCGTGGGCGCGGGTATCGGTCCAAACGGCCCCCGGCGCACTGACCGGCACGGCGCTGGCGCAGCTCGGCGGGGAGAGTAGGCTTGTGCCGTGGAGGGACATTCGCCAGCAAATGGAAACGGCGGTCAGTTTGTTGCAAGGACACGGAAAGAAGAACGCAGACTGTGAAGGCTACTGTGAGCCGGCTTCGGAGAGGGCAATGGCTTTGCGTGTCAGAGGATGGTGGCTGGTTCGACCGGGGGCACCGACAGGCCATGAAGAGCAAGACGTCCGAGAATACTGGTCATGAGCAGGGCATGGTGCTTTTGGATAACTCTCGTGGCAGATGTGACAAGGAATCGAACGCGATTGCGATGCGCCCCGTTGACCTTGCGGTAGTCAATACTCGAAAGGCTCTACTTATTGATGGCTCTTAGGTGTAATGATACTACGATGGTCAAAACAAAGATATTATGTCCAAACACACATTGATAACAAGGGTGCAGCTTATTCTAACTTGAAACTTTGGAGGCAGTAAGCTTTACCTTGGCAAGCTGACGTTTCTCAGAACCCAAGATATGGTACTATGGTATTATTATTACTAACTACAGAGTAACCCTGAGAACATGTCTCTGATAAATACTACGTTAAGCACGACTAATGCGAGAAAAAACCACTACGCAGCGAACAGACTTATGATGATGATGGCATCTAGGTTTCGTCGCGGCAAATATCGCTGTAGGGTAGGGGGGGAATTGGGCTTCACACAAAATCTCAGAAATCACCAACAGCTCGGAGCGAACGAGGCGCGCGAGTGACACGGTAGTTTTTTGCATGTGAAAAAATCGGAATACATACGTAGCAGTGAAAGGAAAGGCCTGTCAAAGTCGAAATCTAAAATGCTCTTTATGACACGTGGATCACTGACGTGTCTGGCTTCACAACGCAATGACACATGGACAGTATGTCTGGTCTGTTTTACAAAGAAAATGCCTCAACAAAAAAAGACGATTGAAAGAAAATGTGTACATTTTCAAGTAAAATCCCTTCCCTGGATTGAGCCAGCCGCACTAGTTGAAACGGACAGGCGAGTTGCCAAATGGTGATGTTACAAGCGGCATTTTTCTTGTTCAAGTTCCGACGCGTTTAGTAGTACATGACGCGTGTTTCCGATGCAAGTTTTGAGAGAAGGATTCAGGTGTTCATGAGTGGGAATAAAAATGTATAACAGCGGTTACAGGATGCGGTCCGAGCAACTATTAACCGAAACCGTGCGATGTTATTTTTCTTGCTCCCGTGCTGTTACAGATGGACGGACCATGCACGACGACCCGTTCGTTGCTGGGTTGTGACGCCTTGGCAGCGATGGATGGAACGCGACGGACATGTAAGACGAACACTTTGCTTCTTTGAACTTGTGTCCTCTTTGAATATTTTCGTAGTAAAGACTGCACATGTTAGAGCATCAGTTTACACTTGTTGGTGGAAAGTAATTAGTTAGATAATGTGGTAATATAAGAGTAGACAGCGTACAATATAATTATTAATACAAGGGAGGCAACGGGCCGCTCCAGTGCTCCACGCTGGCCTGTAATAGTTAGAGAGTTGTGAGTTGTGTGTACAAAAAAGGACTGGCAGTTTTAGGTTTGAAGCTTGGCATCGGGACACGTCGCGATGACTTTTATAATTTAGTCACTCGTTAGGTACTGTACGGATACCGTGTTGCCAACGGTTGTCTCACGATACAATGAGCAGCGCCACATTTGTCGTGTCTGACGTGTAAACAAGGGAAGAGGCAAGCGACGCTAACACCAGCGGTTTGCAGGAGGGAGGATATGACATTTATTCTTAGTCGGTAAACAAAACTTGCAGGGCAAAGAAACAAGCGGCATAAAAGACAAAGAGGTCGAACTTGAGTCAAGGTGCAGGGCAATGTTAAGCCACCAACTCGAACCAGCAACTGTGCGAGGTGACTGGGGGTGACAGGGGAGAGACGGCGGGTTCGCCTTCTTCTGCGGGCGTGTAAGCCGTGTAATGACACGTGGGATGCGCCAGGGCTTTCCGGGTGCCTGTAACCGAAATAGGGCCCGTGTCATGCGCGCAGTTGTTGCCGGGCATCCAAGTGCGTTCCAGTGCCAGACGCGAAGGCCTGAGATGATGCGTCGATGAGCCTCAGAAGAGGCCGGTAGAGGCGACGAGAGGGCAAGAAGAGATGAATATAATAAATGGAATGGGAAGCTAAAGACGGTCTAGATGTGAGCGAGTGGCGTAGTCAGGCACCAGGCAAAAGGCTATTTGGGCGCCGAGTTGGGCCGACGTTGGTGGTCGCGGTTTGTATGTATGAATACAGGACCAATGTACCTCGGTACCAGGAGCACAAAGCTGACACAAGAGGCATAAATGTACAAGTGGGGGATAAAAACATGAACAACATTGTGCAAGGAGGACGGGTGTCAAATGGGTGGCGCGACGGAGTCCACGCGACTGGAGCCACAAAAATAGGACCCGCATCTCATTTCCTCAGGCGCAAGCGCGGGCTGTAATTGGACAAAGTTGGTTCTGGGAGATGACGGCCCGCGTCCGATTGGAACATTGCTGTGCGCCGCTGCAGGTACCTTTTTTAGCTTGACAGCCAGGCACAGGCACAGACAGACCGCCAGGCACCAGGGCAGACTCGGTCAACCCAAATTGCGCCGCCAACCGAGAATCAGAATTGCGCTGGCAATCTCAGTTTTGTAATTCGTACCCCTCTCTGAGCCAGGTACCCCAGAGTGACCCCTTCTCCCAATAATTGCTCGCTTTTTTTTCTCTTTGTTCCAGACTCTCGTCGCCAGCCCACCTGGTCGGCTCCACCACGCCTTGTCTAGGTTCTTCTCGACTGGCCCTCACACTCCTTGCGCTTCATCTTCCACCGTCTTTTTTTCGCTTCGTCCTTTCTTTTACAAATTATTATATTCTTCAGTCGTCGCCACCGCCCCAAGGCCAGATCTTCTCTCGACTCGCTCCTTTTAGTCTCGGCTCTTGCGCAAATCCATTCATTTAAAACCCCCACGGCCCTCGAGTATCTCTTGTTGTTTCCGTCATCGTACTCCTGCCTCCCAACAACGTTTGCAACCACCTGCGACATATTTTTGCTTCAATGCTCTCGACGCTCTTTCGCTACTCCCAATAACCACTCCGACCACGACGTCGCAATTCTTGCTCTTCTCGCGATCAACTTGTGTGCTGCAATAGCCGTCACATCCCGTCTCGCATCAACCACGCCGAGCTCTTGACGAGCTTGTGCTCCCTCACTCTCTCTCTACCTATTGCTTGATACTTTTCTTGTGGCACACGCCCGCTCTCCGCTACCATGCAACTCACCACGCTCAAGGGCTTTGCCGCCTCAGCCCTGGTCATCCTCGCGCCGGTCGCCGACGCCTCAGCCCTTCACGGAAACATGCACCACCAGGCCCGTCGATACACGCACCTGCACCACGAACACCATCACCGCGCTGTCGAGAGCCCCCCAAGCTCCGCCTCCTCCCTCGTCAAGCGCGGCACCTGTGAATTCCCTACCGACGACCCAAATCTCGTCGCCGTTACACCGGATAAGGCGAATGCTGGCTGGGCCATGAGCCCCGATCAGCCCTGCAAGCCCGGTTCCTACTGCCCCTTTGCCTGTAAGGAGGGCTTGGTTATGAACCAGTGGCAACCGGATTCGACATACGACTTTCCTCAGTCTATGAACGGCGGTCTCTTGTGCGGCGACGACGGCGTTGTGAAGAAGCCATTCCCAGACAGGCCCAACTGTGTCCCCGGTACCGGTGCTGTCAAGGCCGTCAACAAGTGCTCCGCCAAGTTGTCCTACTGCCAGACCGTTCTGCCTGGCAATGAGGCTATGTTGATTCCTACTCTTGTCCAATCGACTTCTAACCTCGCTGTTCCCGATCAAACCTACTGGGCCAAAACCGCCGCCCACTACTATATCAACCCTCCTGGTGTTGGTGTTGAGGGATGCATCTGGGGTACCGAATCTAAGGCTGTCGGCAACTGGGCTGCCTTTGTCGCCGGTGCTAACACGGTTGATAATGGTGAAACCTATGTCAAGATTGGTGTTAATCCTGTTTGGGAGAGTTCTGACCTCTCACACACCAAGCCCAACTATGGCCTGAAGATTGAATGCCCCGATGGAGACTGCAACGGTCTTCCCTGCGAGATTAGCCCTGACGCAGAAGTCAAGAGCAACAACCTCGGTGTTGGCGCTGGCGGCGCGAAGTTCTGCGTCGTAACCGTTGCGAAGGGCAAGCATGCTCAGATTGTGGCCTTTGATCGCTCTGGTGGACAGTCTTCCGCTCCCGTTGGCAATGCCATGTCCGGCCAGGACTCTTCCTCCTCTTCCTCGCCACCCCCCCAGAGCTCCCCCAAGAGCTCCTCCACACCTCCTCCGCCGTCGACCACCTCTACTCCCAGTCCTACGCCTTCGCCCACACCCTCTAGCAGCAGCACCAGCACCAGCACCAGCACCGACTCTCCCATCCCTAGCTCTTCGCAGGTCACAACCACTACCACTACTACCACTGTCAGCACTCCCTCGTCTACCACAAGCGAAACACCTACCGTGCAGCCTGGTATCTTCCACGAAGAGAAGAACAACACCGCCACCCACACCCCCAACAGCACCTACGCAGCATCTCCCACTAGCCCCCAGACAACCCCTACTACCAAGGACCAGAAGAACGAGGCTGGACGTTCGCAGGGCAGAACTACCATGGGTAGTCTGATCGTTGCGCTGGTCGCCGCTGCTTGCTTTTTCTAGTACCAAACTACAAGCGACCTCCCAGCACACCCGTGGCTAGCCACCGTCTTCGATTCTGCCCAATCTTTTACTCTACTCTTTTTTCTCTCTGCCCAGCCATTTGTAGCACCGACTAGCTGAAGTCGTGTGTTTATAAATGCTCTGGGCTGACGGAGATACCCCTATCTTTGTCTTCGTTCCGACGCTGGAGCCTGGTTCCTCGCGCTGGCCCCCCTTTATACAGTCGATATCATGTCCACCCGGACTTTTTTCTTTTTTTTTTGGTCTTGCCATATACATCAGCCAAACACCCATCGGCGATGATGTTTGTTGTACTGGCGCATGTGTCTGGCGTGACGTTTGCTTCGCCGCAAACGGCTGTCGAGATGCTTCTTCTTCCCTTGCCGGAGGCTTCTTTTTTATAACCTTCTGTTGTTGTTTCTTTGCGGAACAATTTGGCTATTCAGCTTTACACTGATGGCATTTATACCATTCTTGCTCACGGTCGATACCCCCCATTTACAGCATTGGATATTTGATACTTTTTTGGCTTTTTTTTTTGGATACACTTTCTAACGGAGCTTTTGGAGATGTGGAGGTGGGAAAAAAATGGTCCAATTCCTTGGTAACAGCAACTTCTTTCTTTTTTTTCTTTTTCTATAACGGAGACGAACGGCTTGAAGTTTTTATATCCCGGAAGCACACTGAGCTTCCTCGAGGCATGATCTACTAGGACCGTGGCCTTTACACTTCTTTCACCGCGCTTGGCTTCCCCTTTGGAGCCCGAGAGCAAATGCCTTACGAATCATGTAGGGGCGAAATATTCGACCTTTCTAGAATTAGCTTTTTTATTCCTTGACGATGATGGTTGAGAAATGGAAAACAACATGACAATCACTTTTTTTTCCAACAACACTGCCTGTAACCTTGGCAACTTGCGCTTCCATATCACATTTATTATGTCAATGTTCCCTTCTACCCTTGCATACATATACGGCTCTGCTATGGGCCTTTTGTATTATTGTTGGGTATCATGCTTGTTGTTATTATACATGTAAATCTCCCTCCCTTGCTCATCCCTTGACCCATCCGGGCACCTCGTCCATGTCGAACCCTTGTTCGTACTGCCTTGCCTGAATGGCCTGCCACACGGGCGGCCATCCGGCGAGCAGCGGGCTGCCCTTGGCCTTGGCGCCGATGATGGCGAAGCGGGCCTGGCCGTGCGCGACGAAGCCGTGCAGCAGGCCCTGCTCGATGAGCGAGGCGACGACGAGCTCGACGTCGTCGTACTTGACGGGGGCGTTGCCCCAGACGAGCCCCTCGTTGGGGCGGAGCTTGCGCGGGCGGCCGCCGGGCGGGGGCGCGAGCGTCGAGGCGCCGTCGTCGACGACGTTGTTGGAGACGGCGCGCATGAGCAGGCGGTGGCTGGCGCCGGCATGGTGGTGGTGGTGGTGGTGCGGCAACGGGTGCGCGGGCAGCCACCCCTCGATGCGGCGCTGCGTGTACACGGCCAGCGTGTGCAGGTGGGCGAGGTCGAGCGTGGCGGCCTTACGCGACGACGCGGCGTCGGCGGGCGGCGGCACGTACGTGAGTAGGAACGCGCGGCGACTGAGCGCGCGCCACAGCAGGGGCCGCAGGCGCGACGCGAGCGGCAGCAGCAGCCCGCGCTCGAGCAGCCAGCGCTCGTGCGCGGCGAGATGCGTCTGGAAGGCGGCGAAGTGGCCGGCGCGAACGGCCTGGCACAGCGGCGCGAAGACGGGGGCGAGGGTGCGCGCGGCCTCGGGGCGGGCGAGCAGCGCGCGGGCCGGAAACCGGCCGAGCAGCATGTTGGCCGCGATGAGGTAGGTGAGGATGCGGGTGCGGTGGGCGGCAAACGCCGCGGGGGTCTGGAGGTAGGCCGCCTCGAGGCACAGCGCCGCGCGCCGCGCGTGGTGGTTGGCCAGGTTGAAGCGGCCGAGGTAGTAGAGAAAGGTGACGCGCTGGGCGGCCGGGTAGAGGGCCAGCGGCGGGGAGATGCTGGCAATGTTGACAAAGATCATGCGCGCGAGGTGCGTCCGGCGGCAGGCAAAGAGCAGCTTGAGCACGAGGTTGGCAAACATGTAGACGCCGGCTTTTTTGCCCTCGGGCGCCGCGCCGCCGCCGGTCCGCGGCAGAGGCGGGTTGGCGCGGTCTGTGAGGCAGGTGGTGAAGATTTTCTGGATGATTTCCGCCGACGACTCGGCGACGGACTTGTCCTCGTCGAACCCGGCGGCGCGGAGCTTACGCGTCAGGTCCGGTCGACGGTTCAGCATCATGGTCAGGCGCGCGAGCGTCTCGGACAGCGACATACTGGCCTGAAGCAGCATACCGCCGTATGAGGGGTGCCCAAAGGCCGTTGCGCAAGAACTTGTTATTGGTCAAAGAGTTAGCTTTCTGAACCATGGATGCAACAACCTCTGTAGAGAAGGAAAAAAACTTACTTGACAAGCCCGCTCAGCAGCTGATGCGCCCCCAGCAGGTCCTCGTAGTCAATGTCCCGCCAAAAGACGAGGTAGTCCTTGATGAAGGACTGCAGGCCCGGCCACGGCGTCGCCTGACCCTCGGGCACGTCATCGTCCTGCGGCAGGCACGCCTCGACGACACCGTCGATACTGGCCGGCGTGGCGAAGCGCGCGCGCAGCTCCGCTCCCAGCGCGTGGTACTGCGCGCCGCTGCTCGAGTCGACCTGCAGCCACGCCCGCAGCGCGTCGCCTTGCTGCCGCCGCACCTGCTCGCGCATCGCGCCCAGAAACTCCCGCACAAGCGCCATCTTCCTAACAATGTTTCTGGGCCAATCAGTGGGCCGGCGTCAGTTGCCTGCTTGCGCAGTCACTATAGGAATGGCTGAGACGGGGCGTGGTGGTCGTGATGGGGAGACTTGGTATTAATATCGATGGTAGTTGAAGGAAGCTTGTCGCTTGGCGGCAGAGGTTGGGGGCGAAGCGGGTCTGGGGGAGTTGTGGATGGTGGTAGACGCACCAACAATATCCAATGTTTCCAGGGCTCGGTGTTATCTCAGGTACTTCTTTTGATTTCTGGCTAACATCTGTGAATAATCCATGGTTGTGTATTTCGTTAGAAACATAGACCAAGTCAAACATATTCACACTGCCCTATCGCAGGTTGGCAAAGGTCCGTTTAGGACAGGTTAAGCAATGAGAGCGGATTGTAAGGCAAGTATATGATACAGCGTTACAGTTTGCTGCTCTTTCAAGTAAGGCGAATGGTTCAAACCCGTATCTCTCACTCTCAAATTTGACAATGCATCCTTGTTTCAATTGGACCCATATTGTATTCAAGATCAAGTGCTAGGAAACCCGCAGATACTCCAGTTGCAAACAGATGCATTCGTTTTTTTCACGATTCATTTTTACATTTTACTTCTTTATACAGACTCGACACGCTGCACAACCATGGCAGTAGCAGCGCCGCCACCGTTGCAGATGGCGGCAACACCGTACTCGCCGGGCTTAAGCTGGTGGAGAAGGGTGGTTAGGATGCGCGATCCAGAGCTGCCCAGGGCGTGGCCGAGAGAGATGGCACCGCCGAGAGGGTTGACCTTGGCGCCCTCGAGACCAAGAATCTTCTGGTTGGCGAGGATGACACCGGCAAAGGCCTCGTTGAACTCCCAGACGGCGACCTGGTCCTTGGTGATGCCAGCACGCTCCAGGGCAATGGGGACGGCCTTGGCGGGGGCGACGGGGAAGTCGATGGGGGCCATGGCAGCGTCGGCGTAGCTGATAATCTTGGCGAGGACACGCGAGTCCTTGCCGTACTTTTGAGCGATGGAGCGGTTGCCGAGGACGAGGGCGCTGGCGCCATCGTTCAGGGTGGAAGAGTTGGCGGCGGTGACGGAGCCGGTTCCGTCGCGGACAAAGGCAGGCTTCAGGGTGGGGACCTTTTCAAACTTGATGTCGTTGAAGCCCTCGTCCGTGTCGATGATGGTGTCGCCCTTGCGGCCCTTGACAGTCACGGGGGCAATCTCATCGGCAAAGGCCTTGTCGGCCCAAGCCTTCTGGGCGTTGCGGTAAGACTGGATGGCGTACTCGTCCTGCTGCTCGCGGGTGATATTGTGCTTCTTGACCGTGTTCTCGCAGCAGTTGCCCATGTGGAACTGTTGATAGACATCGGTGAGGCCGTCCTTGATCAGACCGTCCTCCATCTTGGCGTGGCCAAAGGCCGGGAGGCCACTCGCGCGGTTGACATAATAGGGGACGCGGGACATGTTCTCCATGCCACCGGCAATCTGAGCCTCGGCCAGACCTAGCTGGATATTCTGGGCGGCGAAGATGACAGCCTTGAGACCGGAGGAGCAGACCTTGTTGATGGTGATGGCCTCGGTCGTCTCGGGCAGGCCGGCGAAGATGACGGCCTGGCGGGCGGGGGCCTGGCCGACACTCCCGCTAAGGACATTGCCCATGTAGACATCGGTGATCTTGTCGGTGGGAACCTTGGACTTTTCCAGAGCAGACTTGATGGCGACGGCGCCGAGCTGGGGTGCGCTGACGCCGAGGTACGAGCCATTGAACTGGGCGATGTTTGTCAGATTGTGCAGCGTGGCGCAGAGGGGGAAACCAGACGCACCTTGGCAGTGGGGGTTCTGGCAGCGCTCAGAATATAGGCGTCCTGGATCTCCCTGCGGAGGACCGACCCCGTGGAGAAGGAACGGGCGGCGCCAGCGGAGAGATGCTGGGCCAGCATGTTCAGCCTGGCGGTTCTAAGCGGCGCGGCAGGCATTATGGCGGGTGTGGGCGACGCGACTGGAAATAGAAGGTATCACGGAAGCTTCAAGCGGCAGCAAAGCAAAGACAAAACAAGGAAGGGGGAGGGGAAGGCAAGACAGAGTGTGGCGGCGCGCAATGCAGATGATATTCAATAAAACGTTAAGAAGGACCGGAAGCAGGTGTTCGGAAACATGGGTCGGCGCATTTCGGGCGACGTCGGCTTAGAGGCAGCAGCGGGGGTGCCTGGCTTCCCCGGCTTTATTACTTGGCGGATGATTGATGATTGATGGCAAGCGGGATAGTCGGGATGGTTCCAGTGGTCATTCCGACCAGTTCTGCTGCAGTGGAGATTTGAGTTGCATTTGTTTGGCTGACGGAATGTCGCAGACGCCAGACTTGCGGGTGGCTACAACAGCTTGCCAGGCCAGACAAATCGCCTGCAGCCCACTGTAATATGTAGAGCATCTAGGCTAATAGTAGGCTTGTGATGGTGTTCGCGTTTCGCGGTAATGCGTACACTTGTAGCTGGTAATGCCACATATATCGCAAACACTGTCTTGTCAAGACATTATTGATAGCTCACAAATATGTAAAACGGAACCATCCACTGTCTTCATCCGTTGACGTGTCGAACAAACAAGACTTCACGTGATACACCGCATTCGCAAGACGAAGGCCCGCTGTCTTCGAACCCAGTCTCTCCTCATTGGCCAGGCTCACCATCAGGGTGGTCCTCAAATGCTGCCATAATCGTTGACAAGGCGGCGACTCTCTCTCGTGCCCAAATACATTCGCCGTCGCAGCCTCACAACCCAAACGGTTTCATCTCTATCCAAGTCCTCCGGCTGTTTGTCGCCAGCACTGTAGCTCGTCTTTACCGAACGCGGCACATATTTACCCCCAAGCAACTTCTCGCGGCGCACTTGTTGCCCGCACTCTCTTCACACAGTCACAATGTCGACAGCCGCCAGACGTCGCTTAATGCGGGACTTCAAGGTGCGTAGCCCCCGAACACATTCTCGCCGATGACCTGTTTGCTCACAGTCTTGCAGCGCATGCAAACCGACCCTCCCGCTGGCGTCTCTGCCTCCCCGATACCCGACAATGTCATGACATGGTTCGTAACCCGGGTAGATGCCTTTGTGGCCCGGAAGATGTCCTTGCTAACCGCACATGGCGATTTGTAGGAACGCCGTCATCATAGGGCCTGTGGACACACCATTTGAGGATGGCACATTTCGCCTTGTGATGCAGTTTGAGGAGCAATATCCTAACAAGCCACCGCAAGTCAAGTTCATCAGCCAAATGTTTCATCCCAACGTATACGCAACCGGCGAGCTGTGCCTGGATATTCTGCAAAATAGATGGAGCCCGACATACGACGTTGCTGCGGTGCTTACGAGCATCCAGAGGTAATGAGTGCAGACCAATTTCAAAAATGGTGTGCTAACCCCAAGACATAGTCTTCTTAACGATCCCAACACTGGTTCCCCAGCCAATGTCGAAGCGTCGAATCTCTATAAAGACAACCGCAAGGAATACACAAAACGCGTCAGGGAGACGGTGGAGAAGAGCTGGGAAGACTGATGGCCAGACTGCGCCGCACGGTGGGGGCGGACTCATGCACATACATGCATGTAGTCTAACACCGACCATCTACAGCATGTGGCCTGTGTTTGGGAATGGCGAGTAGCAGGCTGCACCCGAGGTTGTCTGCTGCTGCGCATTTCTCCTTACAGGACCAAGGCGTTTTTATCTCGGCGTTTTGGGTGTGGGATGTGATTATACCATGTGTTATTATGCAACTTGATGCAATATAGTTGCATTCCTTATTGCAGTACGAGCTCGCAAGAAATAGAAGACATTAAGGATCGTTTGAACTGACTGTTGAGTTACCTTGGGTTTGTGTTAGCCAAGATAGGAGCGAACTACTAGAAGGAGCGGCCGTGACTGGTTAAATACATCTGGCGGGCGGTTAAGTTTACGACTTGGTGCGGTATTTGTGGATTTGCATGAACAAAGTAGATGAAAGGAGACTAGGATGTAGACCTGGTGATGTGAATAAGTGGCGAAAGAGTTGTCGGTACTCGTTTGCTCGTCACCTTTATCACCAGCTACCAGTACCGGTGCACGCATGTGCAATGAGGGGCAGTGTTATCATAGGAACCTAGGTACCAGGTACAAGCCCAGTCAAAGGTCACTGGTGGTGTGTTGGTTGGTCGCAACTTGGCCACAATAAGAAATGCGGGATGCAGAGTCGAGTTTAGGATTATTAACTCTCATTTGCTTGGTATAGCGCAGATTTCTGGTGTTGATAGCATTGACAGTTCAGATGAGCTTGCCAAGATGGCGCAAACCACAGCCCGCGTGTCCCGAAATTGATGGGCTTCAGGATTCTCCATTCCTAGGTACTGATGAAGGCTGCCTGCCCGAGTTGGACGTGGCTGAAACGCGAGGCCGAACAAATACCATCTCCCGTTGTCCAGGCAGGCGTTGAACGCTCTCCCACGACTTAAAAACCTTGAATAACACGAACTCGAATGTACCGCGCCATATCCATCCAGCACCTTTCAAAGTTGAAAAATTTCTACAATTATGCCTGCTATTGTGCTTTTCTTCTAGTGCTGAGCCCGTATCATTTTATCCTGACCGCCTGTTATTAGGAGGCTATTATTTACCTGCCCACATTACCTAGTTACTACCGGCCGCCAACGCGCGCCGTGCCGCATCACACTGTACAGGTCTAATAAAGGCACCAGAGTGCCTAACTGTGTACCTGGCCAGCTAACGTTACCAGCTTGCCCGCATTGTTTGGGGGCTCCGTACCCGCTTCCTCATCCACCAGCTCCTCGCCCACGCGTGGCATGACCTTGGGAAACAATAATAATACCCCTTTCGACATCCCCTCTCTCTCCGTTACTTTAACTTGTCTCCCACATCTCACGGCCACGACTTGGCTCGGCTGCTATCACAATGTCTGCGGCAAACAGCATCAAGGTCGTCGCCCGCTTCCGCCCCCAGAACCGGCTCGAACTCGAATCTGGGGGCAAGCCTATCGTCGCCTTCCAGGGCGATGATAGTTGCTCGCTCGACGTATGTAGCCGCTCCGCTCGACAGCATTTGCCTCTCCTCGCGCATGTTTGATCCGCGAAACTAACACAAACCTCGCCTCCAGTCCAAAGATGCACAGGGGTCCTTCACCTTTGACAGGGTCTTCGACATGGAATGCCAGCAACAGGACATTTTCGACTTTTCGATCCGGCCGACTGTCGACGATATCCTCAACGGCTACAATGGAACCGTCTTCGCCTATGGCCAGACTGGTGCCGGTAAATCATACACCATGATGGGTACCGGCATCGAGGACGAGGCTGGTCGCGGTGTCATTCCCCGCATCGTCGAGCAAATATTCGCCAGCATCATGTCCAGTCCCAGCACAATCGAATACACAGTCCGCGTAAGCTACATGGAAATCTACATGGAGCGCATTCGAGATCTTTTGGCTCCGCAAAATGATAATCTCCCAGTCCACGAGGAGAAGAATCGCGGCGTCTACGTCAAGGGTCTGCTGGAAATCTACGTCTCCAGCGTCCAAGAAGTGTACGAGGTCATGCGGCGCGGTGGAAACGCCCGTGCTGTCGCTGCCACAAACATGAACCAGGAGTCCTCTCGGTCGCATTCCATTTTTGTCATTACCATCACCCAAAAGAATGTCGAGACTGGGTCGGCGAAGAGCGGTCAACTGTTCTTGGTTGATTTGGCGGGCAGCGAAAAGGTGGGGAAGACTGGCGCCAGCGGCCAGACCCTGGAGGAGGCCAAAAAGATCAACAAGAGTCTGAGTGCTCTCGGCATGGTTATCAATGCCCTCACGGACGGAAAATCTTCTCACGTTCCCTACCGTGACTCAAAACTGACCCGAATCCTACAAGAGTCTCTCGGTGGTAACAGTCGCACCACCCTCATCATCAACTGCTCACCCAGCAGCTACAACGACGCTGAGACGCTAGGTACCCTGCGATTTGGTACGAGAGCGAAGAGCATCAAGAACAAGGCGAAAGTCAATGCCGAACTTAGCCCCGCAGAGCTCAAAGCGCTTCTCAAAAAGGCCCAGGGCCAAGTCACCAACTTTGAGTCGTACATTTCCAATCTCGAAAGTGAAGTCCAGCAATGGCGCTCCGGAGAGCCGGTTCCCAAAGACAAATGGGCCCTCCCTACCTCTGATGTGGTTGCGAAGAAGCCCACCGAGACGAGACAGCCACAGCGCCCCTCGACGCCATCACGCCTATCCGCCGAGAACCGATCCGAGACACCACTTCCCTCAGAGCGCGCCAGCACGCCAGTCATTGCTCTGGAAAAAGATGAACGTGAAGAGTTCCTCCGCCGCGAGAACGAACTACAAGATCAGCTCGCTGAGCGAGAGTCGCATGCTACTACGGCTGAGAAGCTACTACGCGAGACCAAGGAGGAATTGAGCTTCATCAAGGAGCATGACACCAAGACCGGCAAGGAGAATGAGCGCCTGACTACCGAAGTCAATGAGTTCAAGATGCAGTTAGAGCGTCTTAACTTTGAGGGCAAGGAAGCCCATATCACGATGGATGCGCTCAAGGAGGCCAACTCGGAGCTGACTGCCGAGCTCGACGAGGTCAAGCAGCAGCTCCTTGATGTCAAGATGAGCGCCAAGGAGAACGGCGTCGCCTTTGACGAGAAGGAGAAGAGAAAGGCCGAGAAGATGGCCAAAATGATGGCCGGCTTTGATCTCGGCGGTGACGTCTTCAGCGAGAACGAAAGGCAAATTGCCCAAGCCATTAAGCACATCGAAACTCTACACGAGCACAGCAAGATTGGCGACAACATTGCCCCCGAGGAGTTCGAGGCGCTCAGGATCAAGTTGATTGAGACGCAGGGCATCGTAAGACAGGCTGAGCTGTCTATGTACAGTGTGCCCGCCAGCGATATGGACTCGCGCCGTCGCCACGAGCTGGAAGTCCGACTTGAGGGTCTTCAGCAAGAGTATGAGGATGTGCTAACCAAGAACTTGAGCGAGACCGACATTGAGGAAGTCAAGGCTCGCCTCGAGAGCGCCCTTGCTGGCCGGCAAAGTACCCAGATCCAGTTGGTGGATGACCTCAAGGCCGAGGCCGCGCAAAAGGCCACTGAGAACTCGCGGATGAAAACACTAATTGACGACCTTCAACAACGCGTCAAGTCGGGTGGCGCCGTGCCGATGGCCAACGGCAAGACGGTCCAGCAGCAGATTGCCGAATTCGACGTCATGAAGAAGAGCCTCATGAGAGACTTGCAGAACCGCTGCGAGCGTGTCGTGGAGCTTGAAATATCCTTGGACGAGACTCGCGAGCAGTACAACAATGTTCTGCGGTCATCAAACAATCGCGCCCAACAAAAGAAGATGGCATTCTTGGAGCGAAACCTGGAGCAGCTCACGCAAGTTCAGCGTCAGCTTGTCGAGCAAAACTCGGCACTGAAGAAGGAAGTGGCCATTGCAGAGCGCAAGCTGATTGCTCGCAACGAGCGTATCCAAAGCCTCGAGGGCCTGCTGCAAGACAGCCAGGAGAAGATGGCTGCCGCCAACCACAAGTATGTAGCCGCTGCTCTCGGTATGGCCTGCGAGATAGCTAACATGTTTTATTTGCAGATTCGAAGTACAACTCAACTCGGTCAAGGAGCGCCTCGAGGCAGCCAAGGCCGGCGGCAACCGTGGCCTCAACTCTGGTCCAGGCGGCTTCAGCTTCGCTAATGCTGGCAGCCGCATCGCCAAACCCCTCCGGGGTGGCGGCGGTGATGGCCCTGTCGTGCCCACGATCCAGAACATTCAGCAGACAGATGGCGCCGCCAGCAACAAGCGCGGCAGCTGGTTCTTCAGCAAGTCATAACAGGCTCGGACTGCGCTGCGCGCTTGCTTGCCCACCCCTCCAAGAAGAACAGACGATGATGACAACGACGAATGCAGTAATGAAACGAGGCCTATTTTTAATTTCCCAATTACAAGGCGTCTTGACGAGAAAAGGGGATTTCTTTGTCTTTTTTTCTTTTTAGTAACTGGTTTGACAGCGGCTGTCTGGTCACAGGTCGTCCTCCTCCATCTTTCTCCCCACTCACAACGTCCCTCCTCTCTCAAGCCCGGACGAACCCAAAGAACCGAAGCGCCCTTTTCGTGTTATAGATGATGGTTGAATATATCATACCCGAGGGCTGAGCTCCTCACGGCAGCTTGAAGATTGCGATTTGACGGCAGGTTATTATCACCTAGTGACTTTTCTTCTTCTATATATACCTTTTTGCGTGTCACTCTTTCTTGGCAGTTTACTACCTAAATGAACTTAGTTGGGTTAGTGTAGCTTTTTTCAAGTTGTCTGTAATGACAAAGGGATCGATGGAAGATCCCATGGTTGCGGGGTGAATCACGTATTAGGAACACGGAAAATGAAATAAAAATAATGAAGTGAAAATATCCAAATTGTTTCGCAGATGATAAGATGAGAGTGGTGTCCTGGACAATAGCTAAACCAGATGCAAATAAACAGTAAAACTTAAAAAAGAACAAGTAAGAGGTTACATCGACCCTACACCTCCTACATACAACCCTGTGTCTCCTTCAAGTTATCAGGGCTTACAGCTCATCGCCGTTGTCGCCCGTCTTCTGCACGATGAGGAGGAACTCGGGGATAGCAACGGCGACAATGAGGCCGTAGACAGCCATTGTGACAAGGAAGGCCTTGATGTACAAGGTGATGAGACGGCGCCAGCCCGCGCGACTAAACGTGGTCCAGGCCTCGGTGATGGTGGCGTAGCCACGACCACCAGCGACGGCCGGCTCCACCTTGCCCTGGAAGGAGCGGTCAAAGGGGATGATGGAGTCGTCCTCGACCGGGAGCAGCGACGCCTGTACGCGGACGAGAATGACGTGGGTGGGGATGATGAGGGCGATGCCGGCAAAGGCGGAGACGACGGCCATGGCGACGAGCTTGACGAGGTCGGCGGCGGTGACGTCGCTGACATCAGTGCGGCCACTGTCCTTGAACTGGGGCAGGTGGATGTCGAGGACGGCGAAGAAGACGGCCGGCACCCAGCGGACGACCTCGAGGGCGAGCCAATGGAGCAGAACGGGCCGCCAGGTGGCGTCAAAGGTGCGGGCAAAGGGCGGAAGCCGGCGAAAGTGGGACACGCCGGGCCGGGGGTGCGTCAGGACAATGTGGACCCAGGCGGCGGAGAACTGGACGAGGGTGAGGGAGGCGAGGAGGGTGGCGAGGGGCGTAAAGTAGAGACCGAGGGCCTGGGTAAAGACCTCGACGAGGACGGCGGCCATGAGGAACTGGATCAGCTGGAAGACGATGCCGCGGAAGAAGCCGCGGACGCCGACGACGGCGTAGAGCAGGCGGGTGACGGCGCGCAGGGACGAGGTGACGGTGCGCGGGGCGCCGTCGGCAAGGCGGGCACCGGGGGGGGCGGTGCCGGTAGTGTGCTCCTCGTCTTCGGCAGAGAGGGCGGCGTAGGCAGGCGGGTTCTCGTCCTCGACCATGGAGTAGATGGGGTAGATGGTGCCAACGGTGTACTCGGCCTAGTTGGAGAAGCGAGGGCGGGTTGGTTAGCGGATGGGCCGGCGAGATGGAAAACGGAGGGACAAGAGACAAACGTACAAAGAAGAGAAGAGGCAGAAAGATGACGAGGTCGATGAGAATGACCCAGAGCGACCACGACGGTAGCTCATAGTTGATGCTGCCGCCGTCCTCGACGGAGCGCCGGAAAATGGGGACGCTGGCGGCTAGCATGGCGGGCAGAGCGTCGGCGTTGTTTGAACGGGTGATTTGAGAGAGGGCCCCGGTTCGAGAAATACGTCGGATAAAAAGATGATGTGTTTTTAACAGGCAAGGAACAGAGGAAGAAATGTCCGTCGTCCGTCTGATGATGAAGAAGGGATCGATGATGGATGAGTGAGCACAGGCAGGCAGCAGATGTGGGGGGAGATTGAGGCCAGACGTCGCCCACGTCGTGGCGCAGTTTCCAGCTGCAGCCTTGTTCTTGTCTCATCAATGGGCCAGCGCCAGCCAAGCGAAGGCCATGAGACGCCCGCAGAAAAGGCAGGTTTCATGTTTCAGTGTCGCAATGTGGAACCCCGTGTATATGCCTTGTCCTCGGGTCAAAGTCGTCAGGAACACAAAGAAGGTCAACTTTCGTCTACTTCTACTACCCCCGCTCCGTGGCGATAGCTGGCAGGCTGCCAAACGGGCTGCGCACAGCTCCAGCTGGAGTGGATTGCGCATTCTCGACGGAAATCATGTCAGAGACCCATCTCTCTTCCTTTCGCTTTTGCCGACATTTCTCGCCCACCTGCGACTACGTCGCACGACCGAATGCTGGTTTCTCCATTGCGCATGGTACCCATCAGCGCCCGTCATGAGCTTCGATCCGAGCTGTAGCACACAAAGTTGAGATGAATTGAAGACAGCATGGCGATGAGCGCAAGTGTCGCTACCCGTGGTCTACCCGTGGTATTTGCTACACAACAAAAGGTGGTATCTGGTCTTTGCGTGGCTGCTAAACACTATACGTCCAGCTTTGATTGTTGTCTGATCAACCTATAAATGGTATTTAAAATCCGGGGCCCGGTCTCCCGTCTGCACTTTTCGTCGATCCTCGGCCCCTGCCAAATACCGTTCCTTGTGCCGGTTCTCCCGGCGCAGGTACAGCCACTTGACCACAATCAGCACCTGCGCCAGCCCCAGCGCCGCGACCGAGAAGACGTTGCCGAGCCGGTACGGCGCCGTGCGGTAAATCTGACCCGCGACCACGCCCGCCGAGTTGCCGATGCTGAGCTGCATGCCAATCGCCGTCGCGCGGCGGTAGTGCGGCGCCACGTTGACATTGAGCCACGTCAGGTTCAGACCCGGCCCGTTGTACACGGCGACGGCACACAGAAACGTGCCCAGAAATTTGACGCCGTTGCTGCCGGAGAGAATGATGAGAAGATACCCGACGATTCCCGGCAGGTTGGCCAGCCAGAGCAGCGGGCCGCGCACGCAGTACCGGTCCGACACGTAGGCCGCCGCGAGGAAGGCGAGACCGCCAAAAATGTATACGGGGATGCTGAGATACTGCGCCTGGATGACGGTGTAACCCATACTGACGATGATGGACGGGAGAAAGGTGCTGAAGCCGTACAAGAGAATGTCTTGGCAGAACTGGATGGCACCGCTGGAAACTGGTCAGTATCATGCCCAAACTGATCAGGTGAGTACGGCAACGCATACCTCAAGTATAGTTTCGGATCTTTCAGTGCAATGCGAATCTCCTCCCAGCTAAACTCCTCACTGCCCATATACTGTGCCCGCTGAATCGCCCGCACCTTCATGATGCGTTTCTCCTCGTCGGTCAGAAAGTACGCCTGAGACGGGTCATTCGGTAGTCCAAACCAAACGAGCGGCGCCACTAGTATCGAAAAGATGCCCTCGATAATGTACACCCAGCGCCAGCCCGCCAGCCCGCCGACGCCATCCATCTTGAGCAGGCAGTATGCTAACAGGCCGCCAAACGCGCCCGCAATGGCCGTGCAGACGAACAGATACGACACGCGAATGGCCTGCTCTTGACGCTTGTATACCATGGTAAGATACAGGTTCAGCGCCGGGAATAGGCCGGCCTCGCACGCACCCAGGATGAGGCGCACCGCGTACAGGCCCGCGACGTTGTGCACGAAGCCGGTGAAAACGGTGCACAGTGACCACACCACGCACAGGCTGGTGAGGAGGATGCGCGGCGTCATCCACTTCATCATGATGGACCACGGAGGCTCAAAGGCGACGTAGGTGGCGTAAAAGATGGAAATAGCCGTGGAGAACTCCTTGGGCGAGGCGCCAATGTCCTCGGGCATGCCGGCCACCTTGACGTTGCCAATGTTGCTGCGGTCGAGGAAGCAGGTGAGATAGACGACCATGATGATGGGGACAAAGTACATGTCAAGTTTGAGCAGGAGCTTGCGTTCGGATTTGGCGTCAATCGTCTCGATGCAGCTCTCGTTCGCTTCGACATGGCTGCTGCCGTAGCCTTCGCTAACAGCCATATCCTTCTCCAGGCAGGTATCTGTAGTTGGAATTGCCATGACGGGGTTTCGTATATATTGAGTTTGTAAGACGGCTGGCTCGGGCGCTTGGCCGATTCAGTTACTCTTTATATGAAAGTAGCTGTTAAGACAAAGAGCGACAAGGCGAGACTTTGAACCCCATGGGGTAGGTGGTCCTGCCTCTCCTGCTTCTCTCAAACAGTGTGGCGTCTATGCTATCATTGCTTTGCAGGCACAAAGTGTAACTGCTGGGATCATCTAGCCAATAAGTTGCGGATGGTGGATCGCGGCAATGCATATTGGAGAGTGGCGTCGGAGTGCTTCGCCGACGCTAAACCGTCCAGTGCGGGATATTGGCTAGATCCCAACGGCCCGTGGGGGCACAAGCCCGCCCGACATGTCTGTGCGGTCGCACCCTTTAGTTATGCGACTCAATGATACGGGCTGGGAATGATAAGAGGTAATACATAGCCTATCGCGTATCTGCCTTGCATGTTTGGCTCTATCGATGAGGCACATACATATCATAAGTTTAGAATGGAGGTTGACTCGACCAGAACAACGATACCAATTGCTAGTGCCCGAAGCCACCGTCGCTCGTCAGATCCGTACACGGCTGCTGCCCGGCTAAGTCCAGATCCAAGTCCATAGTTGGATACGCAAAGCCTTCCTCCCACAGCCCAAAATCCATCCGCGCCGCGCCGCCCTCGTCGTAAAAGGGCTCCGACAGCGTCTGGATGTCCATGGCGGGGAACCGAGGCGGGTACGTGTTGGCGTCCGCGCTTCCGGCCCCGCCCAGCGACGCCGCGGCGGCCAGGAACGCCGACGGATCGGCGGGCGGCGCGAGGAAGAGCGCTAAGTGTGGCGGAGGGGTCGCAGCGCTGACGGTTACCGAATAGTCGTCGGGCATGACCGCGGCGAGGAGGCGTAGTAGAACCTCGTAGCGAGCGCCCATGTGCGTGTTGCCCCGTTCGGACATGGTGCGGAGGAGTCCGAGCCCGGTGTTCATGGCGGACATGTTGGCCGCATTTGTTGGGAAGGCGGCGCACACCATGACAAGGACTATCGTGGCGGAGAATATGTGCTCGCCGTCCATGTAACCATACGTGGCTATACCATCATTAGATGAGTCTTATGTGAGCATTTCGGTGTCGTACTTACCGACAAGATCCTTCGTTGACGCAATTATCATGATGTTGATGCTGTCAAGCGCGGCGCCAATACACATCTCAATCACCTTGACCGTTGTCTGCGAGAATCCCGTCTTCCAGTCCGTTTCTTTGATTCGAGCCTCGGGTCTTTTTCGAATGAGGGCCAGTCTCTCCTTGACAACATGGAAAAGCAGCGGGCGGATGGTCATGTTGATGCACTGATAGTAGTGTGCTAATGTGCTCACACTTTCTCGTCCAATGCTCAATCGATCAGGATCAAAACGCAAGCCAGAGGGGAGCTCGCTTTCCCAGTTGGACAGATTAATCAAAATCCTCTGGACCGAAGCCATGAGAGTCTTGCCCGACTTTGTTTCGGCCCTATTTGTTTTGTGGTATATCTTCTTGTGTATTTCGCCGAGGATCGTGGACAATTTGGTGTATTGTCTCAGCACGATGGCAGGGCAATATTCTGGCTCCGAGGGCAGTCGCGAGGGCAGCCGGACGCCAATGTCCTCGTCCTGTATTGTGATTGGGTTGCCCGATTTCACGGACAAGATTCGATCTAGGCTATAGACTGACCACCATGCTCTTCGTCTATGCTCCTGTGCGGCGTCATCCATCAATTCCAGCTGCAGAGGTCGGCTCGCAGTGTTGGAAATGGTTTGAACCTCATGATGGAGCCCCAGAGAAATGGCCATTCTGAGAGCGCGCCCGATGAACTGAAACGCGGCATCTCTCTTGTTCATATTTTGGAGAAAGTACCCTGCCAAGGCCAGTGTCTCAACACAGAGCAAGGACCCGTCCTCGTGCGTCTCGGGCAAAAGACTCAACGACTCCGAAAAGTACGCGAATCCAGGCGGTCCTCGGAAGTCGACCCACTGGTTTACAGAGTACATCTGGCCGAATGCGAGTATGAGAAGAAGTTTTGCATACTTCAGGCAGCCCTCCCGATCAGCTGGATCTGGCAGACCACTGTATGCCTTGAGCAGAAATTCATTGAATTCTTGTTTAGACTCGGTAAAGGCAAAGATGGGCCCAATAAAGCTATACTGAGCAGCAAAAAGGCGCCGCGCGACGTGCATAGGAGGTAGGCGTATGTGCGGGCTGAAAGCTCGCTTCTTGGAGGGCAGTGTCACCGGCTCACAAAGGCTGGGATCGATGTCCAAGCCGTCGTGCTCGTCGCCGAGACCAGTGAATTTGCCCACATTGCGAAGAAAGGCGTCAGAAGATGCTGGTCCCTGGAAGCCTGTTATTTATGTCAGAAAAATGCCCAATGTGTGCTTGGCGCAGTCTCAACCTCTGGCTTACTCGTTGAGGGGCGGTTGAGGCGAAGGTGAGTAAAAGATTCGAACAATGGCTCGGCATCTTCGAAGTCGTCATCGTCATCCCCATCTAAACTGTTATTGCCAGGTTCTAGGTTGGCACTTGTGGTTGCTTGGTGTCCGGTATATTCTTGATTTTTGTTTTTAGCTGGTTGTTTGAAAGCATGGCTGACTGATGGCAAGTACTGACTGTCAAGGGCTTTCGCCTTGCGCTCTAGCTCTCTCAAATATCTTGAGACGGATCAGTTGAGAGTATTCGCGCCAATTTTGTATTTGACACACTCACGCTTCATTGACCAATATCTTTCGAGCTCCCTCATATGTACAGACCAACCCGCTGTCACGACATCTGGAACACGCGGGCTTGTCTTTTGAACAGTACGACCGACGCTGCCGACAGTTGAGACAGCTAGAGAATACAGTCAGCAATTTGGCCGAATTGAAAACAGAAAAGATAAATACGCACGCGACTGGCCTCAGCGTCCCATTCTCCGAGGCGGGTGAAGCTTTCGTGGACATTCGGATCTGTTTTGCACAATTACCCCACGTCCGGTAAATGGTTGCATCTGCAGCATTGCAGTTACCCCATAGACGAGACGATGATATTCGGACTGCAATGAACACGCTTGTATAGGTACCTAGCTGGTATGCATGATGAGATGGAAGTCGCAAGATACAGTCGCGCAGCGGGGGGGGGGGGTGATCGGGGACATCGGGGACCCATCCCTAGGCAGGTGAGGGGCGGAACCCATTGATTGGACATAGCCATGGAAAGGAGCCCCTCGACGCCACCAACCGGTATTCAACTCCGCCAACGATTCCACGATTCACCGATTTAACGGATCAACGACTGTGCTCGGGTGATATGTGGGCTGCCAAAATCCGCGCTGACAGCCCGATTTGGACCTCCCTTGCCTTTGCGGGGGCCGAAATCGCCGTCGCGTCGCCCGTCCACTCCTACAATCTTCCCATCCTGGCTAGAGCAGTGGAAAGCACAACAGGGGAAATGAAGCGACGTGCTATAAAGGCCATGATTAGCCGGCTTCGCGATGGCTGAGCGAGGTACATATCGATTTGGCCTACCTTTGCCAAAGCACCACAAACGCTGCGCCCGCTACCCATCATGACCATCAACCCTCTAGGCATCCGTGTCTCCATCGACCGCGGGGGCACCTTTACGGATGTCCATGCGTCCATCCCAGGACGCGACGATATTATTCTCAAGCTTCTTTCAGTCGATCCTGCAAATTACCAAGATGCGCCGACAGAGGGCATCCGGCGGATCCTTGAACTGGCCACCGGCTTGGTTCTACCCAGAGGCGAGCCCCTGGACCTCTTCCACTTTGAATCCATCCGAATGGGCACCACAGTCGCTACCAACGCCTTGCTCGAGCGTAAAGGAGAGCGCGTCGCACTCGTCACGACCAAAGGCTTCCGCGACCTCCTCGCCATAGGCAACCAGTCCCGTCCGAATATTTTTGACTTGTCCATCTCGCGGCCAGATGTGCTGTTTGAGACCGTCATCGAAGTCGATGAGCGCGTTACCATGGAGGATTACACAGAGAACCCGGAGCCTAGCCCTACCCGAACAATGGTTGACGGCACCGACCCGGAACTGGTTTCCGCCATCACAGGAGAGACCGTTCGCATTCTCCAAAAACTTGACTTGTCGACGGTGGAATCCCAGCTGCTAGCGCTAAAATCGCAAGGGTTTCGCTCAGTTGCTGTTGCCTTTCTTCATTCCTACGCATATCCTGACCATGAGTTGCAAGTCGGTCGTATCGCTCTCGAGATGGGCTTCTCGGTGACGCTGTCGGCAGAGGTGCAGTCCATGATCAAGATTGTACCCCGCGGCACGTCGGCGGTAGTAGACGCTTACTTGACACCCATTATTCGACAGTACATTGATTCCATTTCTGCCAACTTTCGTGGCGGATTCTCGTCCGCCGCCACCCGCATCGAGTTCATGCAGTCAGATGGCGGGCTCTCAGACTACCGGAAATTCAGCGGCCTCAAGGCCATCTTGTCTGGTCCCGCTGGTGGCGTCGTCGGCTATGCGCAAACGTCCTGGGACGACGACGAGAGATGCCCAATAATCGGCTTCGACATGGGCGGCACTTCCACAGATGTCTCACGCTACGCTGGATCGTATGATCATGTGTTTGAGACAACGACTGCTGGCGTCAATATCCAGTCGCCTCAACTCGATATTCACACAGTTGCTGCAGGAGGCGGCTCCATTCTGATATGGAGGAACGGCTTGTTCAATGTTGGACCTGAGTCTGCCTCGGCGCACCCTGGCCCGGCGTGCTACAGAAAGGGCGGGCCGTTGACAATTACAGATGCCAACCTCTTTCTCGGCCGACTGCTGCCGGAGTACTTCCCAAAGGTCTTTGGCCCGAAGGAGAACGAGTCGCTTAACCGCGAGATTGTGGTTGCCAAATTTTCCGAGCTTACCAGCAACATCAACAAAGAGAGAATCAGCGCTGGCTCAACTCCATTTTCGCCCGAGGAAGTGGCTCTCGGGTTTCTTAAAGTCGCAAATGAAGGCATGGCTGGCCCCATTCGTGCTTTGACCGAGGCCCGCGGGTATGACGCCGCAGACCATCATCTCGCCTGTTTTGGTGGTGCTGGTGGCCAACACGCGTGTGCCGTGGCCGAGGTGCTCGGAATCTCGCGCATCATCCTGCACAAATATTCTTCAATCTTGTCAGCCTTTGGTATCTCGTTGGCGGATGTTGTGCAGGAAATACAGCGTCCCGCCGCCTTGACATGGAGTCCAGATACACAGAGGACCATTCAAGTAAAGCTTCAGCTACTTGCTGACCAGGCCAAGTATGAGCTCATGAAACAAGGTTTTACAGAGACTCAAATCATGTTTGATTCATACCTCAGCATGCGATACGCAGGTTCCAGCAGCTCTCTCATGATCTTGAAGGGCGCCGACTGGAACTTTCGACGTGAGTTCGAACAAGAGCATATTCGTGGGTTCGGTTTCCACTTTCCTGAGAAGGACATCATTATCGATGATTTCAGGATAAGGGCAATTGGCAGGAGCCAGTCCAAGAGCTTCAAAACACCCTACAGTCTGCTGAAAGACATGAGTGGCAACAGCATTATTGCGGCAAGCCCTGTTGGGAAGAACACGATTTATTTCGAAGGCTCTGGCCATGTTGACAGTCCAGTTTACGAACTACAAGGCCTATCCGTGGGAACTCGCATCGTCGGGCCAGCCATGGTCATTGATAAAACGCAGACTATCTTGGTCAGTCCGGGTGCCACTGCGACTATGCTCGATAATTATGTCATCATTGACAGAGACGTTGCATCGGTGACCAAGAAAACAGAGGAGGCGGAGTTTAGCCCTATTCAGCTTTCTGTGTTTGCTCATAGATTCATGGCCATTGCTGAGCAAATGGGTCGCACACTCAGAAAGACGGCGGTATCTACAAACATCAAGGAGCGCCTGGACTTTTCGTGTGCAATTTTTAGTCCTGATGGAGGTCTGGTCGCAAACGCCCCGCATGTGCCTGTCCATTTGGGCTCAATGCAGTTTGCTGTGCAGTACCAGCACCGCCTCTGGGAAGGCAGGCTGCAAGAAGGAGATGTGCTTGTTTCGAACCATCCCTCGTGCGGCGGTACTCATCTCCCCGACATCACCGTCATCACCCCGGTCTTCGAAAAGGGCGTTTTAGCGTTTTACGTCGCGTCGCGCGGACATCACGCCGACATTGGAGGTATACTCCCCGGCTCCATGCCACCCACCTCGTCTGCCCTCTGGCAAGAAGGCGCGGCGATTGAATCGACCAAGCTTGTAAGCGGGGGCCGATTCAACGATGAGGAAGTCCGACGCTTGCTTCTCGTAGAGCCTGCCAAGTATGAGGGCTGCTCGGGGACCCGACGATTGCAGGACAACATTTCGGACCTGAAGGCGCAAATCGCTGCCAATTCCAAGGGAATAAATCTGATCACTGCGTTGATTGAAGAGTTTGGACTTCCGTGTGTCCACCGGTATATGTATGCGATCCAAAATACGGCCGAAGAAGCTGTTCGTGAGCTTATGCTTTCAACGCTCGCGAAGCACGGACCCGAGCCTCTCGTCGCCGTCGACTACATGGACGACGGAACGCCTATCAAACTCACTGTTACGATTAACAAGGATGGATCTGCCACGTTTGACTTTACAGGCACAGGAAGCCATGTACTGGGTAATACGAATGCCCCGCTCGCTATCACACACTCGGCCATCATTTACTGTTTGCGAAGCCTTGTCTCCTCATCTATCCCTTTAAACCAGGGCTGTCTGGCTCCCATTGACATCGTCGTACCGCAAGACACAATTCTGAAGCCTGGGTCTGGTCTCGCCGTTGTGGGTGGGAATGTCTTGACATCTCAACGGGTAACTGACGTCGTTCTCAAGGCGTTTCAGGCATGCGCCGCGAGCCAAGGCTGCTGCAACAACCTCACTTTCGGGACAGGCGGCAAAGACCCCATCACTGGCGAGCACAAGGAAGGCTTCGGCTACTACGAGACCATCGCGGGCGGCGCTGGCGCCGGTCCGACATGGGCTGGCCAGAGCGGTGTCCATACCCACATGACCAACACGCGCATCACTGACCCCGAGGTGTTTGAGAAGCGGTACCCCTGTATCCTGCGCCGGTTTGAATTACGACCTGGCTCTGGGGGCAGAGGTAAATTCCGCGGTGGTGACGGGACGGTGCGAGAGATTGAGTTCCGCGTTCCCGTGCAGTGTTCGATCCTGAGCGAACGGCGGTCCAGACAGCCGTATGGAATGGAAGGTGGCGAGGGCGGCCAAACGGGTCTCAATTCTGTACTTCTCACGGACAGAATGTCGGGCGTCAAACGGTTGGTCAATCTTGGCGCGAAGGCGACAACGAGGCTTGAGCAACATGAGAGGGTAATTATCCAGTCTCCCGGAGGGGGTGGTTGGGGGATTGAGTCGTGAACATTATGTATGGGCTTGATACGCTTGTCGAAGGTCTCATTTGCTAGTGCGCGCTCCACTCAACTGCTACAGCACTAACAGCAAAAACTATGAATACCTTGGCAACCAATTCTATAGATGGCGTGAGTTTTGATTATTCTTAAGAAGAGTCTTTCTGCTTGGTGTTGCTTTTTGTCTCCCTCAATGGTCATCGTAATTAAATTAAATGGTTGGTAACGGTAACAACAATTGAGTCGGAATATCAATGTTAGTTGCATCTCGCAAATGGTGGGGGGCAAGGAGTCAAGGAAACCTGGCTCTCAATCCACCAACCCTGCCCCTTCAAGCATAGCAGCATTAGAGGAGCATGCCATTCGTATCAGTCCGCTTGAGCATCTGAATTTACGAGCGGCTGAGTCAGAATTCTTTTCTCAAGAAATTATTTGATAGATGAAATCTTCACTTTGTGTACTTGATAGAGTGGGGAAGTCACTGGCGATGGAGAGCTCAACTGCGGCTCTGAAGTCTTGCACCAATTTAGCACCCACACATCAACCGGCGTGTAAATGCAATAAACGACGGCGCACCGCGGCACTTGTTCCCACACTGTGTCTCAAATGTCTGCGCCGCAAATACCAAATCTGCTCTCCCTGCGAGGTGGTCGCGGGGGCCGAGGCGGCGGTCTTCGCACTCGGCGAGGTGGCGGTCCCGTCGTTGCGGGCGCCGACCACGATTCCACGATTCAAGGCACAGATACGGATGCCGCCGTCTCGCGACTCAGTGCCGTCGATGCCGGGTATCTAGAGGATCCGTATGCGGCCTTTTTCGTTTCGCGCATGGACGGACTGCCGCAGAGAAGGTTTCCCATCATTAACCGTGGTATGTCCTGGAGCTCACCGAGGCTTTGGCTGAACGCGGCGCGCGCCACTGACACCACCGCCCCCCAGGCACTTATACGCGGACGTCAGCCCTTGACAGACTTGTTCAGTCCTTCTTATCGCCTGCGGCAGGAGAGTCGGCCGCGTCAACTGAGCGACAGATTGTCTCTCTCGGAGCCGGCACCGACACTCGCCCATTTCGCCTCTTTGCGGGCGCTGGCCCGCATCAGAAACTCACATACCATGAACTGGACTTTGATGTGACGAGTCGCAGGAAGCTCCAAATCGTACAGGGAAACCGGCAATTCTCCCGAATAGTGACCAACTCGGCGGTCAAAAGCGCGCAAACATGGACGGCGCAACCCGCGCACGGCGCTGGCGAGTACTACTGCCACGGCGTGGACCTGCGGGAGCTCGACCGCAGCATCACCGAGCCCCTCGACGGTCTCCGCACCAATGTACCGACGTTGGTCTTATCAGAGTGCTGCCTGTGCTACCTCCAAGTGGAAGAGGCGGAAAGAGTGCTGCGTTACTTTACGTCGAGGATCGCCAATGTCGCCGCCATCATCTACGAGCCCGTGCATCTCGACGACGTCTTTGGCAAGACCATGGTGTCCAACCTTGCGGCGCGCCACATCCACATGCCGAGCATGGACCGCTTCCGAAACGCCGGGGACCAGGTGCGGCGGCTGCGCGACGCCGGGTTTCGCGCCGCCGAGTGCCAGTCGATCGAGTCCATCTGGGAGTCGTGGATCGACGCCGCGGAAAAGGAGCGCGTCGACCAGCTGGAGGGCCTGGACGAGGTCGAAGAATGGAAGCTGCTTGCGGGGCATTATGTTGTAGTTTGGGGCGTTCAAGGTGAAGGGCTCGGAACTCTGCTTCCCGCCGAGGACATGAGCAGCGGCTAATAGTGAGTGGGCTTGTCCTCGAGGCAGGCTGCTACAACCGAGGGGCACAACAGAAAACAGTTGGGAAATACAAGAGCGCCGTATGATAATGAATAATAACAGTAAACAAAGACTATATAATTTAAACTTTTCGTCGCGTCCAAAATGTTCTATTTTACACAATGTGGTCACGTGGGGCTAATGCGACGGCGCTCGCGGCCGCGCGCGATGGTCGTCATCCAAGTAAGATCCAAGGACATCGCCAACCAAACCTCACCAGCCGCCAAGTAGGTACGGACTCCTGCCGACATCGCTACGCAGCCACGACGATAGTACTACGCCCTCGCTCGCTTCACACCCTCCCCTTTGCTTTGCTATTGCCACGCGCTACACGACACTCGTTTTCCGACACGGTCCCAGATCCCTCGCCGACCAGTGCCATCCAGCGCCAGCCGACATCAACTCGACGTCTTGATCCGCCTTCACCATTCGCCTGCGACCTGTTCGCTAGGTAGCGATATAACACTGACCGAGGGGGTTTGAACGTGTTGTGGTCCGAACCGGACTTGAACTGCCCGGCATGGCGGACGCCCGAGACAAAATGTACAAGTACCGCCAGGAAATCAGTCAGGTAAGCCGACTGGCACCACGGCTCCGTTTGAGCCCAACTGGAGCTCCCCGCACCCTTGCATTATCTCCGTCTCCCTCGACCGAATTTGTTTGCATGCAAACGGGCAATGGCTGGCGAGCGAGATGAGCGACTTGGTCTGCCAGCTGGCGCGCAAACCGCCGTCTGTCTGCTGCCTACTGCCAGCTGGCAACTGCCAGCTGCCAGCTGCCAGCGGCTTTGATATGAGCGCGCGATGTTGTGTATAAATACCGGCCGCCTGTTTGTTTAGTCTTGCGAGAAACCACAGGAACGACATGACTCTTCTCGCAAGATTCTATCCGTTTCCAGACAGGCTGCAGCCACCAAAACCATGACCAAGTCCAATCTCACTGCCTTGACTGCCGACGACATGTCAACCGCCGTCAACTACCCCGACTTTACACCCGGGCCCGAATCATTCAGGAGAATTCTTATTGACACGTTTGGACAGATGATGTACGTCTCTGGCGAGACTGGCGAGCCCTCCGTCGAGACCACGAGCATCATTGAGGATATTGTGCGACAGCAAGTTATTGAGCTGGTACGACACCACCACCCGCCTTCTCCTCCCCCCAACCTCCTCTCATCGCTAACCAATTGCGCAGTTGCGCAACTGCACCGAGCTCGCCTCCCGCCGCGGCTCCAAGTCCATCAGCACCAACGACCTCATCTTTCAGATCCGGCACGACCAGGCCAAGGTGTCGCGCCTGCGCACCTTTCTCTCGTGGAAGGACGTGCGCAAGAACATCAAGGACTCGGACGACAAGGGCGCCGACGCGGACCTCGCCGCCGGCGACGACCCGAGCAACGTCGCCGGCCCCGTCGAGGAGGTGGCCAAGAAGAACAAAAAGGCAAAGGTCGGCCTGCCGTGGGATCCGGCCTCGTTTTTCAACGTCGAGGTGCCCGAGCGCGACGACGAGGAGGACGAGGAAGAAGAGGAGATGAACTACATCACCCTCCAGCGCCTCCGCAAGGCCGACGAGCGAACAAAGGTCATGACGCGCGAAGAGTACGTCACCTGGTCCGAGTACCGCCAGGCCAGCTTCACCTGGCGCAAGGGCAAGCGCTTCCGCGAGTGGGCTGGTTTCGGCATCGTCACCGACAGCAAGCCCTCGGACGACATTGTCGACATCCTCGGCTTCCTCACCTTTGAAATGGTCCAGACCCTGACGGAAATGGCCCTCAAGGCCAAGGAGCAGGAGGACATGGCCCGCGCGCTGAGCGGCGGTGCTGCTGCCGACAACGTCCTGCAGGGCACCCCTGACGGCACCACCAAGAAGCGCAAGCACCAGCACGGCCTCTTTGACCCCCCGAGCGAAGGCCGCAGCCCGATTGAGCCGCGTCACGTCCAGGAGGCCTTTCGCCGCTTCCAGCAGCGGCCCAAGAAGACACGGGCCATGCTCAACAATACCCGCATCGCGCAAAAGACGGCCCTCAACATCTTTTGATATCGTCCTTGCTGCTTGCCATTGTCTTGCTTTATCGTGTATTGATGTTGGGATGTTGGGAGTACACTGCTGGGTTGCAAGGGTCTGGGTGCTATTTTCTTTCTGCTCGGCGCTTACGGAGGTCATCTTATTGGGGAAACTGTCGTTTGATTTGGCGTTGTAGAGGTATAATGGGATAATTGCCACGGCATCATGAGATTTCTAAAGTGACGGAACAAATATACGGCGTATTCTGTTTATATCCAAGCGCGACTGATCACTTCCATCACTCTTTGGGCATGTACAAATGGAAACACTCATTTATACATCCTTTACGGCCGCTTCTCACTTGCAATAGCAAATGCGCCGCTGCGCACGGCAGCATTATTCTCCCGCAGACGCGTGCCCACGCGCTGCAAACTAATAGGAATGTCATCTATCCCGTCCCCGCCGTCCTCCACCACGGCCGCGTCGCCCGCGTCGCCGCTCTCCAAGTCCTTGGCGCCGCCACGCTGATGGTGCGCCGCGCGCTCCCGCAGCCGACCGCCGTCCAGTCTTTCCGTGACTGTCGCCGCTCTCGAGCGCCTCGTGCCGCCCACCATGTCGGCGACGCTCACGTCCGGGTAGCCGCGATCCTCGTCCTCCTCCTCGCCGTCTTCTGCCGCTGCGGCCGCCGGGCCTGCCCCGTCGTCTCCGTGCTGCATGCGAAGCCGATACGTCGGCGCTTCGAGCACCCCACGCCGAAAGGCGTTGACGCCCACGAGAAGCTTGACCAGGTCTGTTAGCTCTTCGAGATACTCGATAATCTCCATCTGGCCCGCGGTGCTCGCGTTCCACGACAAAAACTTGCGTCGCGTAATGGTGCGGGCCGTCGATGCGTTGAGCTCCGGTGCGCTGCTGCGGCCCGGCCGGGCGGTCTGTCGGCGCAGTGCCGATGTCGAGCCCTTGGCGCTCTCCGCATCGAGTACCTCGCGCACGCGGTTAATGAGCCGCAGCTGCGCGAGGCGCGCCGAGGGGAGGAACTGCGGCAGGGGCAGCCACGTCGTAAGTGCCTCGTGGACGGAGAATAGGATGAGGTTGCAGCAGCCCATGACGTTGCGCCGGTAGGCGTACACACGCGGGTTCAGGTCCTCCAGGATGGACGAGCCGTACTCGCGGCGCAGCTGCACCACGTTGTTCATGCGGTCAGTGATTTGGTGCAGCACGTAGATAATCTCGCCGTAGATGGGCGCGAGCGGCCGGAAGCTCCCCTTGAGGCGCGGCTCGGTGAGGCATGCCGGGAGGTACGTCTCGGCGGCCGTGAGACAGCCCTGTGCCTTGTCGCGGGCTCGAGTGAAGCGGGCGTACAGCGAGTGGGAGCGAAAGTTGGGGCGCTCCGGGTGGTCGATCCCGACGGCAATGACGGCCTGCATGTTTTGGACGTGGTCAACGGCCGCGGAGAGGGAATTAACGAGGCGGTCTCGGGCTCGCACAGGGAAAATGAAGATTTCGACGAGGACAGCTACAAGACCCCCAATGATAAATGCCACGAGCCTTTTGTAAAACACCTCGTAGCCAGGTGCACTGGTATTCACGGCAGCTATAGCAAGCAAGTTAGCAGCAGTCTTCCACGGTATGCAGTACTAAAACTTACACAACACAACAACGGCCATGGAAATCACGGAAATCATGCCGGCCTTGACGTACTTGGTTGCCACTTGAATGTATATAGATGGCACAATACCGACAAGTACGACGGCGACAACGCCGGCTCTATTTCCGCGCGCAATCTCGTACGAGACATAGCCAATGACACCACCGAAAACTACGCCAAAAAGTCGAACAATGAAGACAGTGAGAGATGTTCCGATGGCAAGCTCGAAAACAAGGATGAGCTGTAGCGGCGCCCAAATTCCACGCACTTCAGCATACCACTGATTCCAAGTCGGAACAAGGGCCGGCCAAGTAACGAGAAAGAGAGCAATAGAAAGCTTGGCGGAGTAGACGAGACCCTCTGAATTCTGCGCCCACTCGAGTGCATCCGCGGCTGCGTGTCGCAGTCGCTCGAGCCGCCACGTTTTGGACCCTGTCATCGGGTAAGCCTGTTTCCCACTTTGACTTGTGCTGCCAGGGACAGAGCTCGCAGTCCCCTCATCTCCATATCTCGCGCGATGCGAGTCACCATGCGCGGGTGCCTCGTTGGGCTCTCTTGGCGCATCGATGTTAATTGCGGTTGCGTCAGGCCCGCGCTCAGTACCAGTTGTGCTGGGTGCAGCGCTACCGCTCGACAGCCATTGGCTCAGGCTGGTATGCTTGGGCAGCCACAGCTGCGACCTGCCGTTGCGCTGCTGCCGGAGCTCAACCAGGCCGCGCGCATGACGCAGCATCAGCATGACCTGGGCGGCAGACTGGCGAAGGGCCAATATGAAGGACGAGATGAGAAACGTCTCCATGCGTGGCATGAGGTCGAGGGCACGGCCGTCAGACTCTGTAGCCGCCACCTTGAGCGCCTCCGCTGATTGAGCATCAAAGGCCGCCATGGCATCCGCAAATTGGTCAATTTCGACGTCTAGATCCCCTAGGGATATCGACTCAGGAGCTAACTCGCCTGACGGTAGCCTTGCCACCTGAAGACAGTATGCCAGGCACCTTATGAGAACGGCGACTGCTTCCTTGATGGATTGATGGAAATCCATGACTGGATCTCTGATGCAAGTCAAAATATGTTCAACCAGCTCAGCACTGGCTGCTTCGATCTCTTTGATGGCTTTTACATCGTCCGCATGCCGACTTCGTCCTCCCTTTCGCTTTCTAGCCTTGCCAGGTTTTAGAGCACTGCTAGATGATTGCGCGGTGCTAGGCGAATCAGTTACAGTATGTGGCCTCTCTGGTGCTGGGTTCGTGGTAGTGGCACCAAGCAACACAAACTTATTTTCGCAGGCGCCGATTACAGTAATGATGCCCTGTACAAGGTTACTCATCCAGTTTGTAGTAATGGGCCTCATGAGGTCGGGTGGTAGTTTGGACAGAGATATCTCAAAGTTGACTTCATCTTGCGCGGCGCGGCACGCGCGCAGCTTGGAGCGGATCTTAGTCTTCGTTTCTGACAAGCTGGCCAGCGAGGTGAGCTCCATGGGCACTTTGGGCTGGCTGGCGAGACTAGACGATGTGAATGGGTTCGGAAACTCGGCAGCGAATACGCGCCATCGTCGAGTGGCCATGAGACTTTTGAGAAACGGCAGCGACGCAGCCGATCCCCGACTCCTGCGCGAGGTGGTGCTGTAGAGGCGGGCACGCTGCTGTCTGACCTCCTCGCAGTCGCCTCCTGGCGTCACAAACCAGTACGTGGAGCGAGAGAGAGCCTCCATGGCCTCTGCAATCGTGTTGATAGCCGAGTCTCCGAGATAGCTGCTAGACAGCTCCGGAAACAGAACCAGATTCGCAAGCAGCGAGACGGCCGCTCCCATGCAGACAGGTACATATATGTTGGTAAAAAGCGCCACGGTTTCGTCCGTCGGTGCCTGCACCGTGATGATGACCGCGACAAGCATGAACAGCACAAAGTTGAAGAGGCGCGGGCTGTGGGACCGGACAAAGCCGTGCGCCAGCGCTGCCACGAGCAAAAAGACGCCGCGGACAGCGTACGCGGCGGAACGGTCCGCGCCGACCACGAGGCTCGCCAAGTACAAGCCGAGCAGCGACCAGAGCACGCCGAGCAGGGCGCCGAGGAGAATCAGAAGCAGCGCCTCCATCATGAGGCCCAGGCGCTGGCCCGGGTGGCCAAAGACGACGACCATGGGGATGAGAAAGGTTTCGCGGGCGCGGAAGCGCGGCAGGATGGCGAGCACCAGGGCCGCGACGCAGGCGAGGGCGTACTTGAGCATGCGCTGCCACGGCTGGTTCGTCTGGACGTCGCCCCAGAGCACGCGCGTGGCGGTCCGGAGCGGGTTGCGGCGGCGGGCGGCCATGACGGCGGGCTGGGGCGGGCCGTCGATGCCACCATTGTTTGTCGTGGCTGAGAATGGCTTTTGTCGCGCAAGGAGGGCTTCTTGTTGTGCCGATCAAACAGGCGTGCCATGGAAGTTGGCAGAGCAAACGTCTTATTGGCCTTGGCCGTGTTCCGGTTTCTTCTGGAGGAGAAGCCGTCAGTAGGACGCCGTGCCAGGATGCAAGAATTGATCCGAGGTCATTGCGCTGGCTGCCAGAATCTTGAGGCTACCCGCTGCTAGCGGCCCCAATGCCGGACCCGATCATCATTGGACGGCCTTTGTGTCATCCATTGATGTCGTCCATTTTCTCTGCCGATTGGGCAAAGAGCGATGGAAATTGGTAGAGTTGACGACGAAGAACGAGTGTTGCTGTATAGGTATGCATGTTGGTGGTTGGAAATACAACAGTCGTAACTTTTTCATGTCTTGAAAGTACCCAGGTACCTTTAGCTGCCACAGCGCCGCCGTTTGCTCACTGGTCCGGTGAGAAACTTGAATCCATTGTCCGTTACGTGCGCCATGGTCGGGTTATCTTGAAAATCTCTCTAACTAGTAAACTTGCCTTCTTTACTTGGCAATGTATAGTTACGGGTTTCAATTTTGTTTTCCTAAGCTACCGTCGCCGCGTCTTGCGCCACGTTCTTTCTCAAGCCATCTTTTTCTACCCGGCGGGCACCCCACCAAAACCGCGGCGACAGACCCCGGACAAGCGGCGCGCCACACTCGTCAGCCAAACCCCTCCACGGTCTTCCCATTCTCACGAGCCGCACTGTCTCCGCGCGCTATCCGAGTCGCAGTCTACACTGAGTCGGCCCTCATCGACCCCTATATAGTCGAACCACCGACAACTGGCGCGTTGCCCAATTCCCGCGTGGGCTGCAGGCCCTCCTTCTCGACTCCCCCTTTCCGAAGCTCCCTTCAAATTCCGCCGCCGCCGTCACTATGCTCTCCTATATCCTCATCCAAAATCGACAGTTCGTCTTCCTCTACTTGAACGATACTCGGGTCCGCTCGCTAACCCACATGCTCCCCTTTGCGCAGAGGCAAGACTCGTCTCGCCAAGTGGTACGCGCCCTTTAGCGACGAGGAAAAGATCAAAGTCAAGGGCGAGGTCCACCGGCTCGTCGCGCCGCGCGACCAAAAGTACCAGTCCAATTTCGTCGAGTTTCGCAGCCACAAGATTGTCTACCGCCGCTACGCCGGTCTCTTCTTTTGCGTCTGCGTCGACACCAACGACAACGAGCTCGCCTACCTCGAAGCCATTCACTTCTTTGTCGAGGTCCTCGACGCCTTCTTCGGCAACGTCTCCGAGCTCGACCTCGTCTTCAACTTCTACAAAGTCTACGCCATCCTCGACGAGGTCTTCCTCGCTGGCGAGATTGAGGAGACGAGCAAGCAGGCCGTCTTGACCAGGCTCGAGCACTTGGACAAGCTAGAATAAGTGGCTATCTATGGACAGGCGAGGATGTCAAAAGTTGAAAACAACAAAACTGTTAAAGAAGAAGAAGTAGCGGATTCTTCTACGCATGCACATGTCCTTGCTGTATATTCTCTGCTGGCATATATTGGAGTTGGAGTTTAGGAGTCACGTCATGGGACGCGGTCACGCACCGGGCTCATCTATTTCTCATTTTATTTGATCTACTCGCGCCTCCTTGCTTATGTTTGTTCAAACTAGCTAACAAATATGATCAAGTTACCTTCATCCGATAGTTAGGCAATTGCGTTGCCGCAGCGCGGCACCCTGCCAAAACTGCATATTCATCTCAAGCTCCCGGAGCTTGGCGCTGCCCTCGTCCGTTCATATCCCAAACAATCGGGTTGAATGGGTCATACTCTTCCCATGCCCAATTTTCGTGCGGTTGGTTCGAGCTAGAAAAGTCCCCCCACAAGTCTAAAGCGACATCGCGAGTTGTCTGACGGACCCAGACATTCGGGTTTCTTATGAATAACCGTCTAACACTTGGGTGATATCCCAACACAGGCTTCTCGACAGCTTGTCCCTGAGGGACGGGACCTTGGGGCACGGGGCTTTTATGCATTTTCGGGAACGGTGCCACGCGGGCTTCCGGGATATTAACGACCGCTTCATCCTATTTTTGGGTCAGCAACAAGTCAATTGTTGATACCCTTTACTGACCTCCTCCTAAGGGGAGAGGCGGCCGCTCTCATTTCCATGCCAGTGACGAAAATCATAGTTTGGTTTCTTGTTGGCTTCGGCAATGATTGCACCAAACCGGACAATGCCGGATTGTTGGCCAACCGATACCACCCGCGGGGGAGGCGTTGGTGATCTTTCTTCCATTTTGATTGGGGTTCTTTGAGTCTGTTTCGGTGGCCGGCTCTCTGCTTGCCGTCCGCGGGTCGCTGAGCAGCCAACTGAAGGCGGCGGAGGATAATCTGCCCTTGAATTTGAGTTTCAATTATGTTTTTCCGACGGCCAAGCTGCACTTACGTCTAAAGTTGAAGTTGAAGCCGTCTCGTGTCCAAGGTGTTTGATTCTCCTCTTGGGCCTGGCGTGTTTCAACGAAATGCGATCCCGGGGCCTTGTTACGGGGAGACACAGGGAGAACGTCTCCCCGGCGTGCCGGCTGACAAAAAGGGGCCGCAGGTATACCCTGGCCGGCATGGCTGGCCTTTCGCCTCTTTGCGGTTGGCGAGAGTGCATCTTGGCTATCTGCCACCTCCCCCTCTTCAGAGCCAGCACCGTCCGCTAGCACAGCGAAGCTCCGCTTAGTAGGAGGAGGCAGGAAGGAAAATTGATATGCAATGGCAAACCCGACGCCCATCTGCAATTCGCCGAGGGGCGAACTCTGGCTCACGGGAGGGCCAAGCATGGTCTGCGCCGTTGTCCATGCCAGGTGCGCCATCTCGCGTGTGCATCCGATGCCCCATAGATACACGCACCATTTTCCCATGACGGCTTGCAAGTCCTTGGGCGCAATGGAGAAGGTCTTTTTCCAAAGCCAGGCTGTGTATATGGAAAGAGTGTTGCGTACCGTCAGTAGGTGCTGGGCACTCGCGATGCGTTTTTCCAGCGTGTCCTGTCTCATCTGAGCCAGATCGGCCAGATCGCGGAGGCCGCTGCAGCCAAGCCGGGTGCGAGCATTGAGAAGTAAGGTGTCCAGGCGATCCATGGTTACTCGGCGCGGAGTAAGTTGTCATCGAATTGGTGACAATCCGCCGGCAATGATGGAAAAGGGTGGGAGAGGCCCGTGGTTACTTGGCAACGGAGAATGTATCTGGCAGCTGCCAGCTGCCAGCTGCCAAGTGCCTGCCTGCCAACCTTTTAAAGCCAGCGTTTGCAACTGGCATGGACCACAACAAGCACGCATGAATAGAGATGCCTACCTAGGTACAAAAGTAATTAGAAAATAATAACGATAAGAAGAGTGAAAAAAAGAAACGAATAATGATAATAGTAAATAGTAAATAGTAAGAATAAGGAAGATAGTCGTATTCTTAACGTGGTTTATTCGGTCACCCTGGTGTACGGCTCTCTCGAGGTAGTAGTCTTCTACTATCAACAATCCGCCCATCACCGTTTCTTCAGCGCTGCAAACCTCTGCTCCAGGTCAGAAATATCCGGAACAGACCCGTCCGGCTCGTGCTTCTTCGTCGAGCTGCCTCGTCTCGCGCTCGGCTTCAGCTCGACCGACCCCATCGTGACCTTGGGATGCACGTTGTCCGTCGTCGGTCGCGGAGGCGTCACCGTAAGCGGGCTTGCGGGGTCTTCCAGCCGGCGTCTCGCCGGTGTCACCACCTTGCCGTCGCCCGCGGACAGCGACTTTTGCTCCGCCGCACCGATGGGTTGCTCGAGGACCTTTTGCGCCTGTCCACCCCTGGGCTGGTCGTCATCGTCGTCGTCGTCATCGTCGTACTCTGGTGGCGGCGACGGCTTCTCGCGCTTCGGCCAGTCAACACCGTAGGCCCGCGCAATCTCCTCCAGGTAGCCCTGTACGAGCTCCTTGCGTGGCGGCTCCACGCTCAGCTTCTTGACCACCTTTTCGTTGACCTTGCCCTCTGCATTGTCCGTTGCGGCAAGCACAAACTCCTTGCCATATTTTTCGGCGAGGAGCTGCCGCACCGTTGCGAGCTCTTTGATCTCGGTCTTGGGCGCCGCGTAGATGAGGCTCTGGATGGCCTCTTCCAGACCGGGGTCAACCTGTGCGCCTTCCATCAGCCCAGATCGCGCGAGAAGCAGCTCGCAGTATAGTTCTATCATCTCGTGCAGCTCGGAGATGATGTCGGAGCGGATAATGTTCTCGACGCGGATCGTGGCTGAGTCGACTTTGCCAGATTCGAGCAGTTGCGCCATCGCGCGTCGTTGCGTCTTTCCTAGCTGCTCATCACGCTGCTGTACCATGCGCAGGCGCGCAATGGCCAGCTTCAGCTGGACCTTGACTTTTGTCTGTCGAGGATAGCTTCAGGTTAATCATTTGGAACTTCATCATTACATTGCTTGGCAGCGGGACATGCTTACCAGCCAGGTGGCTCCGGGAGCCATGGTTCAACGCGAATTTGATAAACGAGTTGAAATTCGAAATCTTTTGCAGTGGTAACAATTGAACAGAGCTCTTAGTATGCGCGAGATTTCCCAGGAACCTGGAGGCGGCTAGGCAGCAGCTTTGCAGTGGCAGTGTTGGAGTTCGGTTCATCAGTGATGCAACAACGGCTCTGCGGGGCAGGTTACCCCACCACCAACCCAAGATGCGTACTCTCAGCTCCAGGCAACGAAATATACCTTATCCGGAAGAAAAAGAGTACTACAGAAATAACAATAAGCAAACCAGCTCTCTTTATATAGTTTACTCTATCCCAAGCTATAGTAGAATTACTGTGACAAAATCAGTCAAATGCCAACTATCGACGGTATCGTGTCGGTGCGAGCCCGTAACACTTTCCGAAAATGTTACAGTCGCAGAGACAGCTCCAGAAAGCTCCCCTGAGATCCTTCATAGCCATATAACGCCATAGTCCCATGCCAAATGCAACAAGAAACAAGTACAAGCCGTCTCTGCTTTTCTTGCTCCCTCAGAATGCACAAAAAAATAAATCGTTCTGGGAAAAGCAGCGCAAGACAAACGCTATACACAGCCTCGAAATATCGAGTCATTTCCTATTCCATCTCGGCATCGTCAGCCGGCTGCGGCACACCATCCGTTGCCTCGCCGTTCAAAACAGTAGCGCCTTCGTATGTAACGCGGCGCCAGCCGCAGGGCTCGGAGTTGTCCTTGATCCACTCCATCGTTGGGAAATAGTGGTCATTCTTCTTCATAGTGATGACCCATGGTACGCAGTCAAAGGTGACAGCCTTGAGGCGGAAGTCTGTAATTTCGTCAGTTTATGTATCAAGTTGCATGAGAAGAGTCAACTTACATGTGTTGTCAGGAATCTTGCGGGTCGCAGCAATGAATGCATCCAGATCCGGAGTCGGCTCACCATTGACATGAGTGATGAAGTTGGTAGGGGCCACACCATATTGGTACGCAGGAGATCCACGAATGCGGCTGGAGACATAAACTTCACTGTGCAGTTTGCTGATCTGTTGGCGCACAGCCTGGTGGGGGCGATGCAAGATGGCACCACAGAATGAAACCGCATGGTCAGTCTCCATGTCTTCCGCGGGAACAGTTGGAAGCGGCAGGTGAAGCTCTTCATTTTCGCGCACAATCACGGCATCGAGCGAGGTGTTGGAATACATAATGTCGAAATCCGTAATAGTCGTGCAAATCTTGCCATTCAGGGTGAGAATGATGTCGCCCTCAAGGAGAGATACTGGCCGGCTACCACGCTCGAATGTGCGCTTGCTGACCATGAACAACTGGTGGTGCGACCGGTTGGCCTGTGTGACCTTCTTGATCCATTCGTCAGAAACACCCATCACAGAAGCCTGAGACATTTGGATAGAACGAAATTCGACAGACAAGAGGCGGAGTTTGGGCATCTCGCCACTCTGGATAGCCGATACCACAGGTAGTAGGGTGGCGGTCCCAAGACCGAGATAGTACTCCTCATCACGCTGGCTGCACGACGACCGCTCGCCGAGGTAGGACAGCCAGAGAGCCTGGACAGTACCATCTGGGGCAACAAGAACACCACTGTTGCAAGAGGAGCCCAAGTTGCTGTCAATGGTAATGGCATCAACATTGATGGCGCGATAACGCGGAGCGGCGGAGTTGGCTGGGATAGCGACGGCAGTAATCTCAGTGACGGTCGTGGACCCGTGCACAACGCGGCCAATTCTGTTGTAACCCAGGAAATGGGTCTTGGCACCCTGTGTCAGAGGCTCACTACTTAGGCGGGCACTCACAACGGGTGCGTCCACAAGCGACGGGTCATACTTGACAACGGTATAGTTTTGCAACGGGTGGAGGAACACAACCTTGCCCTCGACGATGATGGAGTCAGCAATTGTGATTGTGATGTCACACAAATCGTACGGCACAACAGCTCTGGAGATGAGAACAAGGCCCTTTTCGGCATCAATGACGAGGCCCATTCCCCATCTACGGTTCTTGGGGAAGCCGTCAAGCTTGACAGGCATGGTGCAGTTGATGTGAACAAAGCTGCGGATGAGCTTGGCGATACTGGGGTCGGGCATGTGGTCCAGCTCGATGAAGGAGGCCGAGCGTCGGACAGGTGCCACCGGCGGGAGGGGGTCGCCGAGGTCGCTGAAATCCCACAAGCCGGTGATGTCGTTTCGGACAGCAAGCTTCATCTTGGCAGACCAGTGACGATCAACGTAGATAACAGTTGTGTTAAGGGTGTGAAGATCGCGAAGGTGTTTGTATCTGACAACAACTCGCGCCTTGTCAGGAATACCCTTCATAACTTGGACAAAGGTGTTGAGATCGGGGACTTTCTTGTTGTCAACAGACTGGATGATCCAGCCGTTGTCGGTGTTGTCAAAGCGGAAGGACCCAGCGGATTCGCAGACGTAGACTCCCTTGACGGCGACGGCGTAGAGCCTGGCCTGATGGTAGGAAATGTCGTGGAAGCTAGCCCCGGCAACAGAGACGAAGCGGTCCGGTGTGATCTTGTGCAAGTCGCCAACCTCAATCTCTACCTCGATGTCCTGGCCACCCCTTTGCAGCTGCAGCCTAATAGGCTGCCCGACGCTGGAGTCGAGAATCTCGTCAAGTCGGAGGAATTGCGTGATCAGCAGGCCGTTCACTTTGATGAGAACATCACCTTCTTCGATCTTGTTATGAGAAGGGCCATCGGGGAGAACAATCTCGGCGACCAGCATGTTGGTCTCGTCGGGGAATTCTTGGCGGATAGCGGCCTCCCAGTGGGGGGTGAGGCCGAGACGGCGACATTCGTCAAAAGGCTTGAGCAGAAACTGGCACTGAATATCACCTCTCGTGACGGGCTTCCCTTGCTGTATGCACTGTAACGCTCGCAACGGGCGGTCGAGTGGCAGGAAGTAATCAGTCGAAGCACCATCGGATCTACCGCCAGCCTGCAGCGCAACGGCAGTTCCGTCCTTGGAGACGACAGGACTGCCAGAGGAACCACCACTGGCAGCTGCGTTGGCTTGGTAGTAGCATGTGTTGAAATCGCTATATCCTTCTCCGTACTCGGGCGCATTTCGGTCCAGACGACTAATGACGCCGGACAGAATACTGAGCTTTTCGCCTGCATCGTTACCAACGACACGGATTTCAACACCCACTATGCGCATTGATTAGTTGCGTTTCCTTCCAAAGCCCTGGGCCATCTTGCTTACCTTTTGCTTGATCGGGCGTCAGCTCCAGGCCATCCACTTGCATGTACTTGATAGCCTTGGGGTCGTAGCGTAGAATACCGAAGTCGTGAACGGGATCGCGGTAAACAGGGTAGCAGTCGACTTCTTCGTGGTTATCGAAGACGCAGTGACCCCAAAAGGGTCCTGCGCCAACGACGTGGCGGTTGGTCATGATGTATCTATGGGTGTAGTTAGTATACGAGTTGGTGGCGGCGCGAGTGGACCAGAAACACTCACCCTCTCTCCGAGTCGACAACAAATCCCGTGGCCTCGCTTGTTAAGGCGGGATCGGTGTCAAAAGAGCATGTCTGGCAGAAACGGATGGCGACGACGTTGCGGACAACCTTTTGGATGGTGTCCTGCCACTCGCCCATGCTGACGGGTGTGCCGATATACATGTCCCCTTCGTCGACGAGGTCTGACTCGTCATCGTAGTGCATGGCATCGCCATCTGGTGTGTTTTCATCTTCCGAATAGTTGCCGTTAGGGACTCGCTTGGCGGCAGGCGCGCGATCTGGGGACCCGGAGGATTTTCTCTTGGCTCCTGCGGCGTGGGCGTTCATCGTGCGAGGGCGGCCGGCTGCGGCTGGCGAAAAAAGCAAGGTAGAGGATATGCTGTCTGCCTGTAAGCGAGGCAGTGTTGTAAAGGTGCAAAGCCCTATTGAAATCGTGGCGAGGTGGTAGGCGTGTCGAGCGACGCAGCGTCAGGCAGAGCCGAGTGGAAGGGGGAAGAAAAAGTGCCAGAAGGAGCTTCGGTCGCGACAACGTTTGTCTAATTCGCGGCGCAGAGAGCCAGAGGCGGCCTAACAAAGACACGGGAAGGATACGGGAGATAGAAGGACGGGAGAATCGGGTAAATAGACAGACAAAGATTATGGATGACAGCGAGAGCCCATGTGATGCGGCCTGGATGAGTCTGGGGATAAAAAGCGATGCGACTGTGCCTAGATGTTTGAGGGTGGATCACCAGTCCACACCAGTACAAGTCTGCCCGCGCTAGTTAGTTGTGCCGTAACATTGGTTATTAACCAAAATAGAGCCAAGTTCCGAGCAGCACGGAAAACAAACTGGTTTCAACTATCCGTACGTTTCTACTATGTATCAGTGCTTTCAGGTCTCTTCTAATTGCCTGTAGAGTATTCGAGGCCCGTGCAATTACCTATGTGTTTGTGATCTAGATGACTGTCGTACTTGATATCAAGAGTGGTGGACAAGAAAGGTCGCTCCACAGGGCAGGCACCTGCTCAAGCCACTCAACTACAGCGCATCATCAGCCACTTCTATCCGTCCAGAGTATCGCCAAACAGGCTACCTCGTAGTTACTGAGGTACATCCCAATGTGTTCTGGGAACGCTCATTGGGGCAAGTATCTCGCTAACTATGTATCATTAACGGCCTCGTCCTCATCGACCGCCTCTCCCGTCTTGTCCCCTTCATCACACCACCACCGTTTCCCAGCCGCGATGCAGCTAACCCACGCACATGCGCACCTGCATATTGCTTGCCCAGCGCACATCCTTCACATGGCGTGGCCACGCCAAACGAACCCAAAGATACACAGGTTGCCTCGCAAGTACATGTTCGACCTCCAACCCTCCGAGACCAACAAGGTAGATGGATGGCCCGTCGTTCCGGCACCCTTGACAACTTTCCGCCTGTCCACGCACGTCACGGACTCACGGTCCAAGTGCATTTCGACTTGTCGCGCCGACCGCGCTTTCGCCTTGCATAAAAAAAACCAAGACCGCCGATCTAACTACTGGGTACCTTCCATGGAGGCATCCAACTACGACGCCGCCAACAGCTAACCTCCCATGCAGGCGACAAAAAAAAAGGACGCGCACATAAGTCTATACTTAACTATTAAGAAGGTTAAACTAGGAATAGGAATAAGAGGAATTAGAATAAGTATAAGTAAGATAGGTAAGATAGGTAAGATAGGTAAGATGAAAGTAAAATAAGTAAGATAAGTAAGATAAGTAAAATAAGAGGGATAGTAGAATAAAGAAAATCAAAAAGAGAAAAAAGAAAAAGAAAAAGAAAATAGTAAGAATAAGGAAAAGGTTAGTTAGTATTCCTAACCGGCGGGTTATTTTGTCCCCCCTGGTGCCTCCCCCCCCATCTGAACCCATCGAGCTCTTCACTCTGCTAGCGCTGCACGCCTCGGCGCCACACTCACCCGATGTCACGCCTCGCTGCATGGCATCCCGGTCCACGTGATGAATGAACGAGACGTGCGCCTCGTATGCAGTTCCGTTAATGATGCAAACCCACGGCGGCATTTTGCGAACTTGCTCAGTCTCGAGGGGGAGGGCTACCGACTTGGTTGTTTCTGCATGTGAGGACAACCCCAGCCAGCCATGGCTCAGAAAGCGACACACTGCGACAACCAAACTTGCAAATATTTAGAATTGGGAAATAACATTATTATGAGCAAAGTGTTAGGCTCGTAGAAATTCGCATCCTCGTAACCCAGTCGCATGCAGCTCAGCGAGGAAAATGTCTGGTATCGCTCGTCATACTATTACCAATGCTTAGTCCTCCTCGTCGGCCTCCTCCTTCTTGATGGGTGTTGTGTGAGGAAGTGCTGCATGACCACATTAGCTCATGGAAGTTTATTTAGCTTGGTCGGGCTCGCACTTACGCGTTCGCTTCTTCTCGGGCGATGCTTCAGGCGTCGCGAGAGCCTCTGCCTTGCGCTTGACACCAGCAGCTTTTCCTAAGCACGGTCGTTAGCATTCTGAAAGTGTCATCAAGAACACAACGCCAATAAAACTCCATAAGAGGAGATTCTGTTGGCTTTGGTATCATCGGGGCTACCTTTGGCCTTGACGGGCGTGCTAGGGTGGCCGTTGCCCTTCTCCAACTCGGCAACCTGAGCCTTGATGTTGGCCCACTGATGCTGAAGAGATTTTTGAGTGCGACCGGGAATTTGAATCTCGTCCCATTTGATAGACTGCCCGCTTCGCTGTAGCTGAGCAATGATTTGGAGAAGGAATTGGAACTGTTTGAGGGAGAGGCAGTCAGACGCATAGGGCAGAATGCAGAACAGTCAAGTGGTGGTGGGAGCGTACTTTAGCTTCTTCGGTCCAAGCCGATTTCGGTGCTGCAGCTGCCTTGGTCATTTTGGTTAAGTTCGAAAGAAGGATACGGTCGAGCTGAATCGGGTTGTTGATTTTGATGGAAAACGATGGACAAGGAAACAGGGCTGAGGTGGGTGGAAGGTGGAGGGTGGAGGGTAGAGGATGGAAGGCAAAGTGCAAGAAGTAGGTGATGGTGGTCTAGTCTTGTTTAAATAAAAAGGGTTTGGTTTCGGGGTTGGAAAGAAAAAGGGAAAGGCTGGGCTGGTGCAACAACATGGACAGAGAGAAGTGAGTTGAATGAAAGGTGAAGAAGGGATGGTGGGGGCTCGAGAAATGCACGTCGCCGAAGGCAGTGCAAGGTGCGAGGAATTCAACACGGTTACTTTACTTTGTTTGTCTGAAATATTCTATGCTTGCATTTCGCTGTCCTCGTACTAATAACGGCCGCATGCTCATCTTGGATACCAAGTTGCTGTCCGCACTCCATTCTCCTCATGTTCCCTCTTATGCAGCAAACTAAAATCCCCAGTAGTAATTTCTCATAGCCAAGCTAAATTCATCAGATCTTAATGTATCCATCCTTCTCGCCATTTATCTCCGTCGTGTCTCCACGCTCTCTTGCAGTCGTTGATCAGAATTAGCTGGCCTCGTCTTCGTCCTCCTGCTTTACACCTTGACCGGCCTCGTCTGCGTCTTCCTCCTTCTTTACACCAACACTGCCCGTCTCTTTCTTTACGGCCGCGGTTCGACCTAGCCATAGTGGTTAACATTCCAATAGAGATTCTCTCGGCTATTTTAAAAACTTCAAATCACTTACCTCGCTTCTTGACTGGGGTCTGGAGAGCTTCGTCATCTTCATTCTTCACGGCCGTCTTGCGCTTCGCAGCTTTACAATGTCAGCTTCAGCGTGCATGCGGCTACAAAAATAACGAATAACCTACGTGTTCCTTTCTTTGGAGTGGGCGCGGCGCTTCCAGCGACGTCCTCGAGGTCCTCCAGCACAGATATGTCTTTGCCGACCTTGGTCCACTGGTTGGTAAGGGACTTGGTGTTGCGATCCTTCATCCTGATGCCATTCCAGTTGATACTGCGCCCCTGCTTCAATTGATGGATAATGCGTAGCAGAAATTCATACTGGAAAAGTACGGCTTTAGAAGGAGAACAGGACAAGAGTACGGCTGGGTGGGCGACTTACCTTGGCTTCCTCGGTCCAGACGCTAGCTTTGCCCTTGTTGGCAATTGAAACGGTACCCGACTCAGCAGACATGATGACAATATTTATGTGTGGTAGACTGGCAGGCAGGCTGTTCATAAATGATTTCGTGCCTTGTCAAGAAAGCCGAAGAGCAATGTTGAGAGGTTTGGGTGATGTTGTAGGAAGCGATCTGTGTTCTTGGAAGTGGAGAATGATAGGAAATTTGACGGAGGTGGGGGAATCTGGGAAGATCTAAATATCTAGGTAGCTATAGGTGACAGGAAAGATATCCCAAGAACTCGGTGCAGAGCGCAGTGAAATCAAGGTGAACTGCTGTTTGCTCGGCCAAATGCAGTCACTAGCCCTTGTTTAGCGGCCACCGCTGCCGTTATCACTCCTGTAAGTACCACTAGTTTATTTCGTTTGTAACTGATATCTAGGAGCGAAGATGAACCCAAATTTACTGCTGTGCCAAGGTCAATCACGTTGCAAAGGTAACGCCAGCGAGGTCCTCACCACGTTTCATAGGTAGAACCGGAATTGACCTTTTAATGACTTTTTGCTCTACTTAGGTACCGTCCTAGTTGTTTGTTGTTCACTTTCTGTCTTTTTTCTTGTGCCTGAAGATGAGGTTTTGCGAGACAGAGTTGGCATACACTAGCCATCGTATCCAAAAAGGATGGAGCATTAGAGCAGGAGTGGTACAAACCCATGAAGTTTTTGGATGTCATTCAACGAGCAATCGTAAATTAATTCCAAGACGCTAGTCTAAATCTTTGTCCGCTCCGTATCTTCTCATTTCTTTGACAATGCCCAAAACTCCAGTGCTGTTTGCCGCTTCTCCTACCTTGCACTCCAATATATCTCACCTTTCCTTCAGAAAAGCTGCCAAAAGATGCCATAAAAATGATGCATACGCGTAAATATCTCCAATGTCTTTGGGCGGGAAGTGATGATGCCCCTGCTCCAAGCTGTATTACTGTCCATTCTTCTTCTTCATCTTGTTTCGAAACGCCATAAACTCTCGGAATCTCTCCTCGTGGCCTTCAGACGCGGCGTTCCATCGTCGCCGCACATCATTATCCTGCTGAACACAGCTTATGTACTCTTGAATCTCAATCTCTGAGCGCGAGCCCAGAAAAGCGTAGCCCTTGGACTCACGATCGCGCCGGATGTGCGCGTTTCTCGTCGCAAAGTGATCGACGACCTGCGTGTTGAAAAGTTCCCATTCCTGAAGGTACATCCCAAAGTCATCAAGGTACTTGTTCCATGAGCTATCGCTGGGCGTTATACTGTCAATGGCAGCAGTTGGTGGCGGACGCGGTGCGAGAGGCGGCGTAGGGAAGACGAGAGGTTGGACTTTGGGCATTCGTAATGGCACTTCACCAGACGCCTTAGACTCAAAGGGAAGGTTGTCTTTGAGGTCAGCGAACGATTTCAGTCCTGCCTTTTGCTGCGCAAACGGCGCCACATTCTTCAAATCTCCAAAGCTCGCCATGAACTCTTCACTGTCTTCAGAGCCTCCTACATTTGGTGCGGAGGGTGTTCCAACGTGACTTGCTGGCGCAGAGCTCTCCGCCGCCGGCTTCAAGTTGTCCGATCGCCATTCGGGTCGAGTTGGCTCGACGTAGATACCACGGGCGGAGGGTGGCGGTCGAGGGGGGACAGTGGGGGGAGTGTCTATATCCATCTCTTGGGGGCTTTCTGTCGACTGGTCCTGGCCTTGACCCTTGCGTCCAGACCACTCAAATATGTCCTCTTCATCGCTATCATTAATGACAATGGGATTATTCGCATTCGACTTGACTGGTTTGTTCTTTCTCGAATTTGTACGCGACGCCCTCGTTGGTGATGATGAACTGCCAGGCGCCTGTTGCGGAACAAATGTTTGAGGGCCAAACTTGTCACTCCATCCACCCGGGTTAAAGCCCGTCTCTTGGGTTGACGCTTCCGTTGCGCCAGCTGCACTACTATGCGGCGCATTGCTCTGGTTTGGGTTCGGTGACTGCGTGCTAGGCGACTGAGCACCTGGCTTCTCGGATGTAGGCGATCCTGCTTTAAAATTCCATAGCTTGTCCGCAAACTCTTTGGAGAATTTGGTGTTGATTCCATCTACGTTAGTCTTATCAAAACTTGTTTGGTGAGTCGGGCGTCGGCGTGACGATGATCGACTGTGATCTGATTGGGTAAACGTATCATCATCGACCTTGAGATTGAAGCTGTTATTGCAAGCCTTGTCAGCAAGCTCTATTCTTTGCATGTGGGGGTCATTGTGTGAAGATAACGGGCTGGGGTCGTTGGCATCAATCAAACGAGCAAGCAGGTGTTGCAGTTGTTTCTCAAATTGTGGACTGTCTTGCGGTAGTACTTGGCATCCACTGGATGCTAAATGGTCGGGTTGAGGATTGTATACACTTGATAACGATCCGAAGTAGAATGATGACATGATAGGTTTGTTTCGGGGCGAAAGCGATGTAAATATCTTCTGCGGATGTGTTCTGGGAGGATTTGCATACATTGATTCCGTGTCTGGCTGGGCGCGTGTGCTATCAACATCTGGGAGAATAGTTAGAATAGTGCTAAAGTCGCATGGTGCGAATTGGATACATACTGCCTTTGCCCTGAGCCGACTGCTGGAAAACAGAAGGTTTCGCGTAAGCACCAGCAGAGCCATTGTCCAAGTCATCGGCCCGCGATTGCTGAGTACCATCATCTCCCATATTTCTCATGTTGTGAGTCCTCTTCATGCCCTCAAACGGGTCAATCTTTTCTCCCCCTTGTGTGGTGTACTGCGAACTATAGCGAGCATCCGATTGTGCGCCATTATCTCTGAACTGGCTCAGAGGGTCTGGCATGGGAGGCTGCGGCTGCGAACCGATCCCATAGTGCTGCGGTGCCGGTTTCCTGTGGGAGGGGTCATATTCGTCTGTCGGTAGCCGAGTTGCCTGGCTAGCCTTTCTTGTGCCAAACGACGCCTCCGCGCGCTCTCTGCCAGTTTGCGTACGAGGAGGAGGCGGCGGTGGTTCGGGCTTCGCTTGGGGCTTCTTTGCCTGAGACTTACGCATGGTGTCAAAAGCCTTGGCTGCATTCTTCTTGGTTTCGGGATCTGGATTGGTGAAGAATTGCTTGGCTGTTGGCGGAACGCCAGCTGCAAATCTCGAGGACCATCTTTGAGCTCCTCCACTGGAAGTTGCTGGCTTCCCGGTAGGAGGATTGCGACGTGGCGGCGGAGGGAAGTTTTGTGCCGCCTCGGACCATGGGTTGCCCTTGCGACCAGACGCCGTAGGATAACGACCAGTTCTTCCACTGTACGATGCGTCGTATTTCGCTTTCTCTTCCGCGTTTCCCAAGACTTCGTTGGCAGATTGGATGATTTGAAACTTTGCGTTCACTTCCTGCTCTCGTCCAGGGTTTCGATCAGGATGGTATTGCAGGGCTGTTGTACCGTTAGAAATGCTCCGCCACAAACGACTGGGATATTGTTCTCACCAAGTTTGCGGAACTGCTTCTTAATCTCTGCTATATCTGCGGTTGGAGGCAACTCCAGGTCCGCGTAATAATCCCGAGTCTCGCCCATCGCGCGCCGGGCCTAAACTGGCCGTGCAAAGATAAAGCGTTAGGGTCCTTGCACAGGTAGCAATATCGGCATCAGGCTCAGTTTGTAGAGATTCGATTTCTTCGCGTGTGTGGGTGTTGTTTTTCGTTTGTAATATCTTCGACGAGGGTATACGTGTAGCGAGCGAGATTGCTGCAAACGGAGTGCCAGGGACAGTACAACACAAGACGGCGCGGGGAGTAAAAGGAGCGCAGCTGCTGTTGAGGGATGATCAAGGTTGGTATGCGAGAAGGGATTCTAGCTCGACGAACGGGTTACAGTTAATGACGTGAAAACAGCCCGTAGGTAGGTAGGTAGTTTGCGAGCATGCGCGTTTCCAGGTCAGAGCTGCAGCCGTTGAAATGCGAATGCACGCTGTCAGATCAGGCGTGGGGCTTGTCCCCGCGGTGACGACGCAGCCTGGGCCAGGTCTCGGTGAGGCGCAGCGTGGCTCAGCGCTTGGAGTGGGCTTATGTGACAAGTCTCGACCAGAGCAAATGCTTCACAGGGGTTTCAAAGGAAGAGCACTTTCGAGCATTTTTGGGGTATCGTATTTTGCCAATAAGAGCTATTAATCCACCTAATATCATGGTGTGCAAAGTACCTCAGACGGCCCAGTTAATCAGTTCAACAGTTCACAGGGAACGACGGCGTAGCCGAGAGTGTGGCTTCAGGTCTGTGGGCGAGGCTGGTCAACACTTTATGGTCACAAGGCTGAGCTGCAGGCACAAAAACGCGATCGCCAATCCGCATTCATTTTGCAAGTGTTGCAATGATTCCGACATCAGGACGCCAATTCTTTGAACAGTTTGTGCCGTGCCAGACTCGATACATAGTAACCATGCTGCATAATACTGTCCTATGATCCCGCTGTACAACCAAAACGAAAGAAAAAAAAGAGAAGTATGAAGTGGTGTATACAAGGTGGCTTCGGTCGTTGATCCAGTTATTGAGCTGTTCCTGCCGTTTCCGCCGCCATCTTGGCTTGCATCTTCTTGCGCGCGGCCAGGATCATCTCATCTCGCCGGCGCTGCAGAGACACCTGTCTCTCCTCGCGATTAGAGCTCCAGCCCTTGCCCTTGCTGTCGTTGCTGTTCGTCGTCTCGGCATCAATCTTGCTTTTTAGGTTGTATCGCGTAATGAGGTCGGGTTGCGTGGGCTTGTCGGCCTGCCGCGTCGCCGGCGCGCTATGAGCCGAGGCACTCTGGCCAGGTGGCGGCGGCGGCTGGAAGGTAACGGGAGGCTGGCACAACACATTGGATCAGCAATCGCGATGCGCGCTTCAGAAGAAATCAAAAGGACCGCCCGGCACAATACGTACTGTTTCCATGCGACCGGACAAGATCCGCTCAGTCGTGCTCTGGATATTGCCGCCGTTGCGCTGGAGATCCCAGAGGATGTTTCGCCGGTCCGTCTGCGGAAACATCTGCTGTATCCGCTCGACGGCCGCCTCTCTCGATCGCAAAAAGGCCTCGGGTGATCGCGTCGTCGGTTGAGAGGATGTGCCGGAGAAGAAAAGGTAGCGGATGACAAGACCGGCGAAAACCAGCACGCCTACAAAGTAGGGCAGGGAGATTTGTTCGTTGGCCATTCCGTCGATTGGTATCGGGAGCCTGCTACCAAAGATGGACAAAGGGTCGCAAGGTCCAGGAAGTGTGATAGGACAAGACGCTTGATCGTGCAAAAAGACTATCAAGTTAAATCGTGCGTCGTTTTGGCGTATATCCGACCTGGGGGCGACGACGTCGTGGGCGAGCGGCACGGAATTGTTGGAACCTGCGACGGCGCCGGTTCGCCACGGCACGAGGGGATATTCGTGTCCCACTTATACGTACACCACTTGTAGCTACCTAGGTTAGGTAACTACTCAACTACTGCCCTTCAAGTGCAAAGCTAATGATAAGGCAGCGGCATGGCAAAGATAACGTAGAAATGATCGAATTACAAAACAAAGGGTTAATACCAAAACTCTGCATTGCCACTTAGGAACACGCCTCTCAATCCGCCTGATACTAGCAACAGCCTTATGCGCAGGCTTCCGCCTCCCCGCACTGTACCTAGGTGTAGGTAGGTACCTAGGTAGGTAGGTATGCAGCCTTGTGTGCACACCGCCGCCGCCACATGACCAACAGTCACAAAAATCTAACTAACAATTTTCCGCAACAAAAAGAGGAAAACAAATGTGTCACCAGAAACCAAAAAAAGAGAACCAGCCTAGCTGTAGTGGCTCTGCGAGCCCCAAGGCCGCCACCTCTGGCTGTCGCGCTTTTTCTCGCTTGTAACACAGGCCAGGCCTATCCTGCCTAGTAGGCACCAAAAAAACACCCTAGGTACTAAGTTATATGCCATAGTGTAGTCTGTTGAAAGGTTTATCGATCTCACCGAATCGCCATTCTCTGGGAGGGCTCAAACACATCGCCATATTGCTAACGTATATCGCCATGTTGACTACGACCCCATAGACATTCCCATCAATGGTCCAAGGGGAGGTTGGTCCCAACCACACACGGAAAGTACCACGTATCAGCTCGAGCGAGCTCAGGTCGCCAATAGAGCTCCATATCGAGGTTTGTTATGCCCTGAAATTGGAGGTCCAATATCATTTTTGAGCAAATTAACAGCAGGGTACAGAGGTAACTGAGCGAGCAATCCAAGTGTTAATTATTTTCCACCGGACGTCTTTTCGCCAAAACCCTCAATTATGTCCAACAGGCTCATTGAGGTCCACGCAAGCAAGAAAGACTGAAAATCGACGCACACAGGTTGCCGGGGCGGGAGCGTCTTACTGTACAGCACGTTTCTCCTACTAGAGATTGCAACCAGTAAAACCAAAAAAAAAAAAAAACAGACAACACATGATGAAGTACGCGTTGTCGAAGTCCCCTATCCTGCCTAGCCCTGCCGTGACACCTGCCTGCCGTGAAAGAAACGAAGTAAAGACCATTCCAGTCAGTATGGCCAATACTAAACCATCAAGAGAACCGGGCAATCATCCAAACCGTCAGGCTCCCAATCCTCTCCGCGCGTAGCTCAAGGAGTAGACCAATCCATCTAAGCCCCAACAGCCCCGGGGTTCACGACGGTTTCTAAATCACTGTAGTGCAGTGTGATTTCCCGCTACACAATAGAATCAGAAAGTGTTGCATAACGATCGCGGTGAGCAACTTACCCGCTCTCTCTGCCAGTGGTTGGCATCCCAGACGATATACCATCCTCTCTCATGATTGGGACCGAGAATTTGAGGAGCGATCTGCTCGTCTTTGGTAAGCCAGATCTGCAGCTTTCTGTGCCAGCGCCAATTGCGCGTATGCCTAGAATTGATGGTAAGCATATCAGCTGTGTGAAAGAGATCAATTTGCGTACAACTCTGCTGCCGCCATCTGTTGCTTGATGTCAGCGGGACAGCTGTAAAATATCCAGAACAGTGTTTCCTCGTTGAAGCTGGGAGTCTTCGTCTCTATGGGTTGAACGTTCGTAACGTTGTAGCAATCAGGGAGACGGTATTTGCTGGCGTGGACTGTCGGCTTCGGCAAATTCTCGTCAAATAGGGAGTAGATCTGAGTTGAGATCGGCCTAGACCAGTTAGCATGGTGCAATTTGAGAGTCAGCACCTTCCAACTTACTCTTGGGATTGGATGTCAAGCCCTAGCGAATTCGGGTCCATACCAACAACCAACGCATGATAGTCGGGATAATTATTCATGAGCGTTTGCAGGCCTTTGAGTCCCCATTTATCAACATCGGGCATGCCAGCGAGAGGATCTACAGTGCCTTGCGCTTGGTCTTCTTTCACCTTGTTGATTAGACTTTCCTGGACAGACAAGCCTGAAGAGCCTTCTCCATTACCGAGGTTTGCAAGCTGCTTATTTAGACGATCAGCGGCTCGCGACCGATTGTCGTTCTCTAGCGTTTGCGTTGTGGGAACTATTGATGAGGATCAGTCGAATTCTTCGAAGCTAGTTGAACTGTTGCATATCAGTACCTGCACTACCCGCCAAAGACTGCGATCTTGGCTCATTCGCTCGGTTGTTTGCTGACAACGCATTCAGCAAGCCGTTCCCTCTATTACCTAAAAGGCTCGGGGAGGATGAGCTCGGCGTGCTGATACCCAGTGACGACATTAGACTAGCACTCCTCTCTTCACCGTTGACGGTTCTATTTAGAGGGGGGAAGTCATCCACGCTGCTTGGGGTGACCTGCGGTCCTGTCTGGTTTGCAAAACGCAGAGAGCCATGGTTTGCCGTCAATCTTGAGGTCGAGTTGTATAGCTCTTCTTGACCTGCGTGTTGGGATGATACAGGAGTCGATTGGTTTCGTTGCACGGGCGCGCTCACATTCCTTGACCCAGGTGTCGACCACATCGACGCTTGCGAAGGATTGCCAAGTTGAGAGTTATTCGATAAAGAGGGAAATTCACTATAAGAGATGATCAGTAACAATAGGACGGGGAGACTAGAGCACAATTTTGGTGTATGCAAGAGCAAAGTAGCCACATTACCCTTTGACCACAGCAGCGTAAGCCAGCCCACGACGCCGATCCGGTGATGGAACGTTTTCTCTAACCATTTTGTGTATACGGCATCACTATGGTTGGTCTAAAGGGCATGGGTATCGATGCTTGACGCGATGAGGCCGATGGGGTGGTGGAGCAGAAGACCATGCCAGGGCACGATGAAAAGAACGTACGACAAGTCGAGGGGCGCTGCTTGCTGCGATCCTCCTAAGCTTTGGGCAAAGCTAACACTTCCTCCTAGTTGTCGGGTTTGAGTTGGGAAGCCACCATTGGTGTTGTTTCCCATAGGTACTGCGCCACTGAAGGCCCAGCCAGAGTTGCTGTTTCCCGATGCTGCACCCCAGTCAGTTACTCGGGACATGAAGGTAAGAAGGTTTGTCGCAGGAGTTCTGGTATACCCAATTTACCGTTCGGTAATCGACTTGATACAGCGCGATTTTGCTGCTGCTGGGATTGCTGCTGTTGGCCTCCAAAGCTGCCTGGCATTCCGCGGAGGGTTTGCGGTACTGCGCCTATTGAAGACCATGTCAGTAATGGACAGCAGCCCGTGTATCAGCAAGCTAGCGCCGCAAAATTTCTCTCGAGTACATCGTGCGTCCCACAATAGTGCCAGTCCATGCGCCTGCCCTCTTGGAGGGCTGCTGCCTGCTCTGTCGCGAGCCTCTTGGCCAACACCCCCAAGTGGCATGGGGACAGGTGACGCGGCAGCCAAAGCGGACAGCGCCATATCATCACAACGGCAGTCGAATTCATTGCGATCGGATAACTCGGCGTAAGGCATGGTCGGATCGGGAAGGCAAAGGCTGTCGCATCGAAGGAACTTGGGGATGGGGCGATGCAAACCTACCTGGTCGATTCATGATGAGGTTGACGCGCAGGGCAATGAGGGATAGAGTATCGCAAGGTCCGGAGATCAGAGATAATTGCTCTAGGGAGTTTATATGTCGTCGCGAGTTCGGGCAGAGATTCCACAAGTGAGCAGCGTATGCGTCGCTTGCGTTTGCTTTGGTACTGCGCGGCACGAGTCGTGATGCATCGTAAATGCTGGCCGGATTGAAGTGGGTCCGCCCCGATATGCAAAGGCGGACCAATCAAAAGACCTAAAATGGGGCGTCGCAGGGCACACCACTTTGAACGACCGCTACGCGCTGGAGTTATCTTATATATTGAATTTTGTTCCTTTGTTTGTGCGAATGTTCCTATCACACAGTGATGCCCTACTGGGTGTCCTTTCAATTCTGGTGATGTTAGATCGCCAACTTTATTTCAATGAACGACACTCCTGAAGCTCTGCTCGAAATCTACCCCAGCCACGTGCCTGCCAATAAAGATAATCTTTCCGGAAGTGGGAGTGGGTTCATCGCTAAATGGAGCATCAATCAGCTCGAAAATCTCCCTCACACCTTGCAGTATCTTTACTTCGCCATTATCGAACAGCAGCCGCCCTTTGGAGCGGTGAATCTCGAATTTTGGAGTCTCATCGTTACCAGGGAGTTCATTTTCCCAGAGAACTTGTCTTAGCCACTTGTCAACTTGCTCGAGCTGGCCAGCCTTCAGTATGTCCACTGGAATCGTAATGGTAGATAGGTTCTGGGGATGTCAGCCCATATCGCACAATTGCGCACATTGCAACACTACAATCACCGGAAGAAGTACACTTACGGGATCCAAGTGGCTGTGCGCGTTTGTTTTCGGCTCAGGCTCCTTGAATTGGTCGTATGCGTGCAAGTCCAGCAGAAATCCCTCCAGGTTCGGCACTGCGCTCTTTTCCGTAACATGAATTTTGGCCAAACCGTTTATAGATTGGATCCTGTCCCAGACGTTCTGGAGCTCCTGTGTTGTGACCAAGTCGGCCTTGTTTATAACGATAACATCCGCATGCGATATTTGGACATGCGCTGTCGTCATGACAGGGCCATGGCCGTCATTTTCATGGCCTTCAACCTTGCCATTGGGATCATCAAGGCTTTTCAGGATGTTCTTTGCGTCGACAAGCGTCACAATGCCGTCGAGATATATGGTGCTCCCGAGTCCGTCATCAACCCAGAAGAGAGGCGCAAGGTTTCCGGGATCAGCCAGGCCCGTTGTCTCGAGCAAAATATAGTCGAAGGCGCCCTTTTTCGCCATGAGAGACTCAATCGCGTTGACACCGGTGTCCCTGTGTCGGTTAGGACTTACATTTTCTTTCGGGCAAAGGCGGTAGGGGATCTCACTTGACTGAACAGCAGATACAGCCGTTGCCAACTTCCAGCCATTCTTCCACTGTTTCATCACCTTTATTGACGGTAAGGGACTTTTCAATATCCAATGCTACAGTCTGTCAGTAGAGTCGTACGATTTTTAGCTACTGCAATTGTCCTTACAGTCTCCGAATTCTATGCAATGGCCAATTAGTGTATTTTTCACAAGTCGCTGTCTTTGGTTGTCTGCACTGTACCATTCATGATGACTGCGATTTTCTTGCCGTGTTGCGCTGTAAGGATATAGTTCAGAAGAGTTGTCTTCCCAGCTCCTAGGTAGCCTGGGATTACAATAAGCTATTGATCGATGGGCTGTAGCGTCGAATATAGGAGCATACCAGTAACAATCGTGATGGGCACTTTCACTATGAGTTCCTCCTGAACAATCTCTGCAGTATTGACGAGCTCCGGAGGAGCGTCATCATTGAAATCCATGGCGTCGCCTCTTTTTTCAAGCTGGTTACTGATTAGAGAATGAAGAAAGATCAATATTTCGTTTTTGAGCGCACAAATAACGTGCGAAGGGCGAAACACTCGCTCTTGTAAGTCGAAATATACAAGTTAAGGGTAGTCCAAGTTGGTAAGAGGTTGATGATGTAAGTACGAACATCACAGTCACGGAGAGTCACGCAAGGCTAGGTACCTAGGTACATCCGTACCCACCCAGCCTACGAGTGCGCTGCATGCATTTATCAAGCTCTACCCAGGTACCTGAATACCTACTAAGGTACCAGGTATGCAACTAGTGAGTTGGTAAGTGGTAATAAGTTGAGCTCCGTACTGTGGCGTCCAAGTGGACAGTGCGCTCTCAACAACTCACACGCATAGCCAAACTGATGTTTCTGCACCATTGAACGTTGCGCTGACCTGAGCCGAATATCTTCCCTGTTGTTGGAAATGGCACTGGCACCGAGCTCGCCGAGGCTGCCCAGCCCTCCGCCAGCCGCAGAAATACAAATGACACCCAACTCACCGTCTGGCGGTGCCGCTGCGACACTCGAAACAACACAGATGGAACAGTCTCTGCTCGATGCCAACTCGAAGCGAAGGATACACCCCGGCACAAAGGCGGCTGATATGGCGGCTGGCCCGCCACTGGTGCCTCTGAGTGAGGTAAACGCGTGCTCGCCAAATTCCATGCGGCCGTCCAACGCGACATTCCAAGAGTTGCTAACAGGACGCCTGATACAGCTAGAATCGGCATTCTCACTACAGGAGCACCTTGCTTCTCTGCATTACAACCTTACAGCGCAGGGCACTCGAGCACTGACGCGCGCGACAGCCCATCAAATTGCACAACCGCCAACGGGCATTGATCGAACGTTGTGGCTCTACGAGCTTTGTCGATTCCTCATCTCGCAGTGCAACACTCTTATTGTCGGGTTCTTGTTCGATACACCACCCTGCAGCGCTGCAACCTGTCCAGAGATGCGCGCGTCCGAGTGGCAGTTCCTCTGCGCTGTGCATGAACAGCCCAAGAGCTGCTGTGCAATCGATTACTGTTGCCATACGCTTGACTGGGCTGCCAATGTGGTTTCGGATCAAAATATCTTCCCGAGTCGATTTGTGATATTAAACGACACACAGAGCAAAAATGTCGGCCTCAAAAACCTGGTCAATGTTTTTCGCCGTTTGCACCGCATTTTTGCGCACGCGTGGTTTCAGCATCGGAGTGTATTCTGGGCAGTTGAAGGACAGAGTGGACTGTACGTCTTCTTCAAGACAGTATGCGATCTGTATGATTTGTTGCCCGCAGAGAATTACAAGCTTCCGCCGGAAGCCGAGGGCCTCGAGGCTACAGACATTAGCCACGACGCGGCTGCAAACAAGTCACCAACCGCGACAGCACCCCCAAGAGTTTATTCGAGAATTCTGAAGCCAAGCTCACCACCGCAAGACAATTCTAGCGGTGCAACAAGTCCGGAAGACCACCTGCAGCCGCATGGACGGACCGCGACGAGGCGGCACATCAGAAGTAACCCTTCGACAGGGAGCGCTGTGATGACTGTGATGGAGACGGACGAAGAAGACACGGACGCAGTGACACGAAGACTGGATGTCATGCATATGAGTATTTCATCGCCGCCAAATTTGTCCCGGTTCGCAGACGAGCCGGAGGTTGCAAAGGCGTCTTCCGTCGTGGACGAGGCATCGGAGGGCATATCAATGGCACAATCAACCGAAACAAATGAGGCTGATGATAAGCCCGGGGAGATTGACAAGACTGGCGCAAAAAGAACCACTAGTGAAGAGCCAGAGGCAGGGTCGGCAGTTGCTGAAAAGAGCGCTAAAGTGAAGGAGCCTACAGCCGAGGAAGCCTCCACCACACCAGCAGCACCAGATACTTCATCAGACCCAACGACAGAGGCAAAGACGAGAGAGGAGATCGGGGGCGCTACTTCTGGTGACCGGGACGGGCCAGTGACAGACCATCCGGGGCAAGATGCTCCAGTCAAGCAAGATGCTGAGGCGATTAGTGAGGTAGCAGGCGCTTCGACTAGTGACAGCGATGCCGCTGATACGCTTTCAACCCCCTCAACGACGGCCTCGGACTCATCTCCCACGACGGAAAAAAACGCAGAGGACGATGCTCAGTAAGACATACTATTATAGCACTCTACTACTGAACCTACTGTCGCTACTTGGGTTCTCGAAAATACCAAAACTTGCCGCGGGCAGAAAACATGTCCAGCTGATAATGTACATGAAAACGTGGTCTTTTTTCGGCCTCGAGTGAAAATTCCACATTCCCATTCAGCCTGTGGAGTGCTTGTTTGACAGTTGGGGCGGCGCCACATCCTTTTCTCAGCGTAGACCAGGGATATGCCTGCGACACGCACCTTGTTCACCCCCCCCCCCCTTATACCTGGCGTTTGATTTTCACAGCGCGACGCCACCATACCAGTGTCTCGTTTGACGGCGGCTGAAGTGCCTTTGCCCAAAAGTCCGAGCGGCCGCCCAAGCTGTGAGTCGCAGCGACCGGCCCGAGCCACCCAGCTACCTGTCACCTCGACTTTTGCGCGGATACAGTCGAGGCAAGACAGACGAGACATTTTACAGGCGCACGCCCCCACAGATACTGTAACCGATATTGCGATCGGGAAGGGGCAAAAACAAACGAGGTCCCTCGCGTGCTGCTCTCTCCCCTCCTGCCTCTTTTGTAACGCCCTGCAGGTTGGCAAGTCTTGGGTCCATCTATCCTAATAGACGGCGGGATCAATTTGTAGGAAAGCCAGCTGCATGACAAGGGCCATGTGGCCCAATTCTTATAGTTCGCATAACGCTCACGACCCTACTTCTTTTCTCCGTACGGACTATGGATGGATATGGATACTGGGAGGCGAATGGTAGCCAAGAAGCAGAGAGTGGTGCGTCTTGTCCATGTAATTTGTACTGCGCTAGCTGCTGACGAGCATGTACAATTTCCGCTCTCATCTGATCTCCCGATATCGCACCGCTGGCCACTGGTAGGCTTGCTCTTCCCATCTTCAAGACATGATAGTTCTTTGTCAGGAGTGATAATTATTGATACTCCCATAAAAGCAAAGAGATCACGGATATCTCGATATGAAGCTGAAGATCTCATCTTGTTGCGCCATGCCTTGTCCTTGTCGTTCATCGTGCTATATCTCCTCCAAGAGCGAGCTCGCCAAATACTCTTCCCAGAGCGTGCCCATAATCTAGCTGTCCATTAGGCGCCACATTATGCCGCTCGTCAGCAAAGTTGCGGATGCTCTGCAGCATCGAGCTGAAACCTTTGTCGTCAGGCAGCCACCATCGCATTGCGCGCTCATCGTGGAACAGGTTGGCCATTTTCGATCGGAATGACATGGTTTGGATCGTCCTGTTTGTATTTGGCTCTGCGTTAGCGCTGGCTTAAGAAAAAAACACGGTGCATAGAGGTAGCATCGTAAACTGTTGCAAAATGAGCAATCTCTTACCCCATAGTTTCTAGCAATGCAAGTTTTCGCCATAGCCAGGTTCGATGTCGCATATCTCGCGGTAGAACGAATGCCACCAGCACCATGGGTATTCCAAGGCTCGAGAGAATGCCCCTCGGCGTCGAAGGCCAGTATTCCAGCGCTTCGAACAGTTGGCACAACGCATACCCGTGCCTCAGCTGATCCCCTTTGAGCTTTTCTCGCGGGACTGTCTTGGCAAGCGACATGTGTAATATCATCAAGGAGTGCCACTCCACCAACGCAATTGTTGAGCTAATGAGAGGTGGATTGTAGAGCAAACCGGGCTCGCATGGGTCGATAATGTCATCTGGATCCGTTGCTGGACGCCACGAATAATCCTGGACAGCGTACTTCGGTGCTGTTAGCATGGGGTCCCACGTGTCTCTCCATTTGATCAGCCGAGTTGTGATGTGCTCGTGCTGCTCGGAAAACTTCGATTCGGATATCTCTCCCTCGGCAACACTGGAGAGCAAGACAGACACGTCGTATCTGATTATGTGAAGCCGCGTTAGGCGCTCCTCGGCCCGCCATCTTAATTCCGTTGGCTCGTCATTGATTCTTTCTCGATAATATGTGGCGGCCTCAGTAAGCCAGTCTCGCGGAAATTTCGACTGGCCTGTTCGGAGAAAGGACATCGCAGCGTCGAATCGAGAAAACCAGGTTAGACAAATTTGACCAATACGTGTCTCCATGATCGTTTGGGGTGTAAACAGCTTGGTTAAAAGCTCCAAAGCCGCCCTTTGGTGGCCCATCAAGTTTAGCCAGTCGCCCAAGTACTCCTGCAGTTCAGATGTGTTAGTAGACCTGGGTCAAGAAGCCACTGCACGAAAGATGCAAATATGTGCAACAAACCTCTATTGTTGCCAGCTGCAGAATGCTGAGGAGGGTTGGAAGGTTATGCGTTTGCTCTTGTTTTAGACACTCCAAAAGTAACGTGATGCTGCGGTTATAGTAAAGTAAAAAGGTTCGGAGCTCTCCATCAGCTTGTTCAACGCTTCGCAGATAAGCAGCGAACGCCACCACTGCATTAAGAAGCAGCTGATTCTTGGATGCCTCGATGATCATACCACGAACAAAGAAATTGTCTGTGTCGTTGGTAAGGGAGTAGTGATGACAAGTAACGTTTTCGTACAGAAATTGCAAATGCATTTGGTAGTCGCTCGGTAAACTGGAAAGACTCTGGTCTCCCAGCAGAAAAGAATGAAAATCAGATTCTTGGTTGCCGGAGAAGAACTGATCACATGGGGTCGCTTTGGAGGGCGAGGGTGACAAACTGTACTTTTCCTGCGAATTGTAGTCGGATATCTGAAGTACTAGCTTGTTTTTGAGCGGGTGTTGTGGATAGATGGACTGTTCGTCATCGTATGGTATCGTATCGAGCGCTGCTGTAGAGCGCTTGCTGTCATCATGCTCTAGGTCCTCAGAGTTGGAAGACGTTGGACTATGATTAGAGGCCGAAGTTGACGCGGATTCTTTCTGTCGTGAGCTAGCCTTGGAGGTTGATGGGTCAGGATAAACGCAATCTCTACCGCCTTTCCGACAACCTGCGAAGAGGTTAGAGATGCACGAGAATACATGAAACTTTCGAAATCCTTACGCTCGCAAATTGGGCGGGTTTCGTCGCACTGGATACGTTAACAGAAGTACATTGCGAATAACAGCGTTAGGAAATACCTTAACTCTCCGGCCACGACAGGTAAAGCACCCTGATCTCGTTCTTCGATGTTTAACCTGTTCTGTATCTGCAGAGGCCGCCGACGCAGACTTCCGCCGTCCTTTGGATATTGATGGCTGAAAAGCAAACGAAGGCCCTGGAAATCCGGTAAAATGCCCAAAGTTCTGGTAGTTGATGGGCATCGTATTGATAGGCATATGCGGCCCGGACAAGAAGGGGTGATTTAGCTCTTCCGGGCTCATGGGTACGTGCGCTTCTGCGCCAGCCATCATGGAGGAAAGAAACTGCGGATAGTTTTCCGCCATCATGTCCCTCTTTCGAATGAATAAGACGGCGATTTACCTGTTTCAAGATGGCAGGTCGGAGTTTGCTAAGGCATCGTACTCTAGTGCTCCCACACTTGTAGATGTCCTCGGTTTGCGTTTGTTGTGAGCCACTGAGGCTGCAGCCGTGGAGGGTGAAGAAGCAAACCAGTCGGAAGACAAGGCAGGGTGTGATGGAATCAAGAGGCTATAACCATGTCCAAGAATGCAATCAGTCAACCCGAACCATATTGCTGAGAAAGTATAAGAGATTGTTGTTTGACGTCGTGGTAGGGGAAAGTTGCGGCAAGGTATGATATGGCGCTGCTGTCAGAGACAAAACTGAACTGCTACTGCTGCCCACTAGCACCGGCGGTTTATGACTGAAAGGTGAGGGTTGGGTCGTCGAGGCGCTATCCCTCTTCTGCTATCGTCCACTGGAATTGGAAAGAATGGCAGCTCGGGTTTCGCCACGGACAGCAGAAAGAGGCAGAGAATGAAAACGGCCGAACGAAGCGTTCCAGTCTGTGTCAGGGAGGGCCACAAGATAAACGTGAGGCTAATTTCGCAAGCCGCCGGGGGCCAGAGTCTGAAGTTTTTGCGTCTTGGCTTGCGTCTTTGCGTCTTTGCTCACGAAATACACTGCTTCTCCGAGTAGGAAGCTGTAGATGAAGACGCTCGTGGGCTATTGTGGCCAATGATTCAGATCTGTGTGCGCCCGGAGCTCAAATGGGATGCCACCGCGGGGTCAACAACCCATGGAAGGAAGCATGTGCTATGAGGCGCGGGACCTTGTTGCAGATCACCAATCGATTGGCAGTCGTTTGTAGCTGAGTGGCTGGGGGTAAGAGACGGGAGAAGGGGGCCGACGGGAGCAGTGGAAGATTTACAGCAGTATTTGACCTGTATGTGATTCTGCGTCAAACAGAGCGAAGACGTGTCAGAAGCGGAAGAGAAACCGAGCTGACATGAAGGAGGAGGAGGGGGGCCAACGGAGTTGGATTGGTGGACAGAACAAGATGGCTCCGCCCAGGGCAGGAGCAGTCGTAGATAGATGAGCGCCCACCGTGTTAGTCTGGCTGAAGCCGGATCTTCACAACCTTATGACTTTGGTGACTCAAGAAACATGGGAGCCCCGGATCTCTGAGATGTGATCAAACTGTCGAGACAATAAGTGAGCGAGTGAACTTGTCTGTCTTGGATTGTTCCTTGGATGTGTGCCGGTGGCATGACCGATTGGAACTCCCAGAATAGCTTTAGACCAAGTCGGGCGGCTAACACATCCCGAAAGAGACCGAGTGGCGAGAGACTTGCCACTCGTTTGCATGCAGACAGTTGATGTACACTGTGAGCAGCCAGATGCAGCGCTTTCCCGTTAGGTTCAGCGAGGAGAGCGGTCACCTGGAGGGGAAAAGATGGGCCTAGCCAACGCGGGAAACACACAGAGTGAGTGTCGTTGACTGGTGGCGTGCGAAGGTGGTAATTTTTGACAAGAACCCTGTCGAGCTACATGCGTTATGTGGCGGGAAGGGAAGCTCTGCCCCGGCTGTCCGGCTCACCAAACAGGGCAAGTGGCAAGGGAGTGTCTAACGAAGGGAAGACACAAAGAGCGCAGAAGAAGACATGGGAGTGTAGACAAGGATGGCGAGAGTCGAAGCCGAATGGAACTTGGTTCGGTCTACAAGGCGAGGAAACCGGTATTGCTGCCCTTACTTATATTGTTGTTCGATATGGCTCTAATTTAGTGCGCCGAGCAAAGGCTATTTATGAGAATTTAGGGGCATAATCAAACCAACCCGCGTCTCGTGGTTACTACCTACCAGTATTTAGGAGGCTGTATGGCAAAGGAGGGTTCAAGAGGAGCCGGGGCGGAGACATGGCTGAGGAGAGACGAGCGAAAGCTAGTTAGTTGGCCAGGCCAAGGATATGTTTAACAGCTGGTCCTGTACTAGTTGAGTATCCGTAGGCTGCTCAAGAGGGCAAGAGGGCACCAAGAAGGGCACTTGGACAGAGGCCTGTGTGGTGAGCGTCTGGAACAGGGCAACGGGTTCCCAGCTTTTTGGAGTATTGGTAGTTGCCGTGTAGTGGCTGGACAAGGACAGGGGCGTGGCGCGAGAGAAGCCATGATGGTTTCTTTAGACACTGCTTGACTGCTTGACTCCTTGACTGGCTACCAGATAGATGGTGGGTTGTTCTGCTAACAGGTGGTAGTGGTAGTGGAGAGTGGTGGTGTGGACTAATGGCGATCTGGGACATTGCTACCGGTCATGAAGGGTCCACAACGGACAGAGTTGAGAAGGCCAAAGGGCCAAAAGCACTAGGTGGATGCTCTTTTCCAGCCAGCCATGAACGGCTCGTTGTAGCGTAGTTCGGCCGACCGATGTTGGGACGAGTTTGAAGATGGGCCACCGGCGGCGTGAGCGCGTCGTTGGGCAACGGAACCCGAGGACCGCCGGTTCTCCCGTTGGTCTTCTTCAACGGAAAGCGCAACAGGCGAGTACATGGAAGCAGATGACGGCAGGATCATGCAACTGGCAAGGGCAGCTGGGGAGCCAGATGCAGCCAGACAGGTCGACGCTCGATCAGCAAGCCACTCTCCTCAGGCGGGCAAGGGCCTGTGGGGGTTTCACCGTCGTGCTGGAAGATGGCGCCGACTCGCCTTGTCGTATTAAAACGATGCGCCTTTGGCTTGGAAAGTTAGATCCGGCAGGCAGGGCGGGGTGCTAACTAGTTGGGTAGTTAGTACATAACTAGTTAGTTACGGGCGGCAGTAGAGGGCAAGAACCAGTCCGCCGTTTCGGCTGTATGTCGAGCCATGTCTTCTTATTGATGAGGAGGAGGCTTGTCGGTGACGGAGGGAGGTGGTCTTGAGGAGAAGCTGTTCCTCGTACGTTGAGTTTCGGGGCCAGCCAAGCTAGCATTTGCGCATTGGAACCAAGCAGCCGGTCCCGAGACCCAGCCTGCCAACTAGTTTCGTCCCCTATTCCCTTCACATAAATAATAAAGGGAGACGAGAGAACCCGGGGGGGGAAAACCCCCCCAAAAGGAGCGAAACAGGAGGCCGTCAACCCCATTCGCAGCGCGGTGCCTTGGTTCCCATGGCTTGGCAATGCAACCGCTCAAGACAGATACGGCAATCGCTCAACTAACTACCGCACCGTGCTGAACTTGGTCTAGTTTGACGCGTTGCTCGTGCCAGCCTGACAAGGTCAAACGGGGAGAGATGCGAGTTGGCTGGCTGCATGCGCGGGCATCTCGTTAGTTGTCTGCAGTCTGCAGTCATGCATCGTCCTACCCACCCCGTCCACGCGTCGCGTCCAATAGAGAGTCATTTCGACGGCCTGTAACGAATAAGTCGGTCGCAGGAAGCACATGCTTGCCCGTCGTCTTGCTAGTTCCATGCTTGGTGCCCGCACATACTCAGTACAGTTTGCACGGCAGTTGGCAGAATCCAGCGAGAGGCGAGCTAGCAAAGACAGCATTGCATCACCAAATCACCAAGAGGACTTTTGCAAGCCAGTCATGGTCTTGGACAAGCAGACAGACAGCCACAGCCGCCTCCCCTGCTTTGTCGTCTGCCCTACTAGTGGCACGACCCTGCCCAACAGCGCCCAACAAAGCCATTCTATCAGATGTCCATGTGCATCTGATTTTGACTTTGATGAATCAAGTTTTTTCTTTTTCTCCCCCCTCCCCCCCATGTCCCTCCCGTTTTTTTCTCCGTTGTGAGTATCCACAAGCAGTTGAAACCCTTGTGCTCGCAGCGAGCCACTTGGTTACGGAGAATTGTATTTGTGTTTATAAGAATACATCGTATTACGGACAGCACGGACAGCTATGAGGGTCGACGGGCGGCAAATGGGCAAATGGGCAATTGCGCGGAACTTGCGAGGGCCATTTGCGTGCGGCTAAGAGTGGCAGTCTTCCAGTACCATTTTAGCCGTAATCACGATCCAGGGTTATGAGTCGCCAGTGCAAAGAATCATCATTCCAAGCATATCCAATTCTGAACCACCTGAATCAAGGCAAACCACACATGGCGGCGGCAATTCGTCGCCGAACCATGTCTCCTTTGCGCTCGCTCGCCCCCTACGACGCGAAATAAATAATAAAATCATACTCGCCCTCTTCACGCGTAGTTATGGGATTCATACCGCCTGAAATTGTCGAAACCAAAACCCTGGGTAGTACTACCTATCTTAGCAAAAGAATTCATTCTCATGAATCCCCGCCGTTATTTGACATAAAGGGCCGTGTGTTATCCAATGTCACGCAGATGACCTGCGACGGACCAGTCACGGTCGACGTTGGGAAACCTTAATAACCCTTTTGTCAGCGTTCTGGTGTTGCCGCCGAGAAGGGTTTCCAACACAGGCCCACCTCCCGGTGCGACTTCCGCTTCGGCAGCCATGGCAGACAACTTCTGACCAAAGAACAAATGCAAGGGCCCCGGAGTTTTAGGAAGAGCCGTCATCTTAACGGCCAGCTTGGATCGCGGCTGACATATGTAGTTAGGTGGCTCGAAAATCGATCAACCGGCGCAGGAACTAGGATACTGGTCAGCGGGCAGATCGGAACGATTTCGTGACCACCTGTTGATGGTCTCTTTGATAACGTTAGCAGCACCGGTGGGTTTCCCGCCCACTTCCTTTTATAAGAGGGCTGCCCACAGTCGTACAGTTGTCTCGCCTCCCCCACCGAAGATCCTGATCCTTGACAGAACAGGTCGATGGTGTGCGTCAAGCTTGACCGACAGACAACATGACTTATGACTTGCCGTTTCCAGAATACCAAAGGAAGCAGCTCATTTACCTCGCAAGCCTCCAATTTTCTGCCAAGTAGCCAGAAACCGATGGCTAGCCTCCGAGATGGCTGTCGGCAAAGTTCCAACAGTCAAAAAGAGGGTTGGACCTTGCAACCCACCAACGACAGGCTCAGGAACGCAATCCGTCGACAGGGCCACAGTGTATGTAGTATGTACCGTGCCTGTTGCAAGGCTGGCGCATCCATGCGCGATGGTACGCGATGGGGGCCTGACGACCCTGGACCCAACATGTGAGTTGAAAGTACGTACTCAAATTTGACAAGTCTGTTGAACCTGCAATTCGGAGAAAATAACCCACAACAGCCTTTGTGCCCATGACCCTGTCGCAGAGCCTAAACTAAGACTCATCTGGGCCAACCTTGGCCTGTCAATACCCCTTATTAATATTTATTAATATGTCGTGAGCATGCTGAGCTGAAAGATAACAGGCTGTATCCACCGGGCTGCAGCGATGTAGTACTTCTCTCCACAAATTGCCAACGTTGCTCCAAAAAGTGTAAATCTCGTGAGCGGTTTTTCTCGGTGGCTTCACCGTGGCCGTGGCCGACGCAAGCCACCCATTTGCGCCGTTGTCGCGCGAAGCCTGCCTGAGACGACGGGAATTCCGCAGCCAGGGGCCGCAGCCACAGACGATGAACCAACCTGTTCTGATGGGCAGCTCGGGGGGTTTGCACTTGGACCCAACGGTTGTCGTGTTGGAAATGCCAGCGGCCTGACGAACGTGAACTAGTAGTACATATTAACGGGTGCCAAGATATCAGGTACTGGTTCGCCCTCGTCAGGGAACATGTACCGAGTTCTGACAGCATATGTAGCTACGTCGCGCATACCTTGGAGTCGAACGTTGGCTGAGCCATCAAGGAAAGTGGTATTTGATGATTGGCTGAGCGTTAGAGATGATCATACCACAACAGGCCATCAGTTACTCGACGTTTGCGAGTTGACGAGTTGACGAGTTGACCGCGGCTCTCTATGCTTCCCCGCGCCGGCCCACTCTATGCTTGGCTGTTTTGTCTTGCTGCGCCTTCCCAGCATAACTGCTAACCTAGTTACCTACACCTAAGAAGCAGCCCTTGTACAAATTACATACAACATACTCGAGATGCCAGGGGGTTCTTGTCACAATGAAACATCAAGGTATGACCAAGGAATGAGGGATTGAGAAAACATTTCTTCGCCTGACCATTCTAGGACAAAACATGACTGAGCCTCTTTCTGCACAGCTTTACGCGTTTGCCCCCCAAGCCTTGTTTTTTTCTCCTTCTCCATCACATGGCGCCAATGCGAAGACGAACTCGAGGGCTCTTGCGAGCAAACCGAAGCTAATAAAGTCCAAGCTACAACGATGAAAAACCACACAGGCGCTTCTGCCGCAAGATTCCGGGATGCATGAACGCTTCTGCTTCAGCTACCAATATCTCCATCCGCAACTCGTGACGCGACAGGCAGAAAATGCCCTTGCGTGAACGGACTGGGACAAGCATGTACCTCCTCAAACGGTGTGCCGTCTACGGAGTACGGAGTACCAGTAAAGCGGGCGAACATGGACCAGCACTCTTGCAGCAAAAAGAAGTCGTTTTCGATTTCATGTTCTAATTACTTTGGGCACCCTCCCCCCCCCACCTCCTCGGTGCTTGTCGAGTTGTCGACTATGGGTCCTAGTTTCATTTACCAAGAGATGAAAAGCTGAGCCTCGTTTTATATTGGGGTTGCATTATCCGCGCCGCGCATCCTCCAGGCGATAATATATGAACTTGAGAGTCCACTGCGCATTGTCGGCCCCTAGTCCAACTAGCCGTCGATCAATCAACAGGACCCCGCCGCTTCGTGACTGGTTGCGAGCATTTTACGTTAGCTCAATGGCCAACATCAAGTTTTCTTGTCCAGCCCAACTAGACAATGATTGACGAGCCAGTATTCGTCATGCTCGCAAGTCTCTATCGCACTAGGGCTTTCTTTGGTCGCCGACTTGGAAAATGGTATTTCATTTTTGTTTAGGGCGTGATCATGAGACTAAGACTGCCAGTCTCCTGGGGGACTGTGTCCACAGTGGCGTTTTTTCTTACCGTATTTAGTATAGCACGCCCCCCAATTTTATGTAAATTATGCACAACTTGTCGACAGAGGTACCTTTTCTCGGGGGACTCCGTGCCTTCTAAAAAGGGTAAAGAGGGTGTTTTTCTGCCGTTTTTTTCAGCAGTCTCATGAGATTGCAGTCCCGGGTAAAATGGCCGGGACTACCATCTAGTCCTACAGGAGACTCGAAATTCTAGGTAAATCAGCCGCCTACAAGGCTTCCACGTAGCCGCCTACAGGGCTTCCATAGTGGCCACAGGGCTTCCACAGAGGCCACAGGGCTTCCACAGT